TTTCAAATATAATAACTTTCAAATATAATAACTTTCAAATATAATAACTTTCAAATATAATAACTTTCAAATATAATAACTTTCAAATATAATAACTTTCAAATATAATAACTATTAAATATTGCATTAAAAAATGAGAATTTCTCTACAGGCATGCGTTGTCTACTCTGCAGGCAGGCAGTTTATGTAGTGCAGGTGCAAGCAGCTGCTGGAAAATCCTAGTAGATGGTATTAAAGCCGGCAGCCTTTTAAGAATACTGCCAGAAAATACTGCCACAGCATCCACTGCAAGTAATAATGTAGCAGTAATAACATAGCCAACCTAACTTTTACTGCTACTTAACTTACCTATCTACCTTCCTTACTTTCTTACTTTCCTACCACAATACCAAATTGAATTGACTGCTATTGCTATTGCGCCTTTTCTACCTTAGTAGGTCTAGCACTTTGCCTACTCTTCTAACGCATTAACTAACAACTTCCTAGTCAATAATTACGATAAGCATGCTAGACAACAACAATATAGACTCTTCTAACAAGTTTCTACTAATTAAAGACCTTATTGACATTGCCTGGTATAGACTAGTGGTAAATCTATAGCTGCAGCAGCGTTAGCTATAGAAAGTTATCGACTTAACAGCTATTGACAGTAATTCTAACAGTATTTACAATAGCAAAAAGTGGGAAGGTTTTTCAGACAACCTAGTTAGGCTTGACAGCAAAGATTCTAAAGGCAAAGCGTCTGGCAGCAAAGAAGATTCCAACTACAAAGATTTCAACAGCGTAGCCTCTAACAGCAAAGAAGATCTTAACTGCAAAGAAGATTCTAACCACTGCCTTAACAACTTTTACCATTTTGACAATAATAACAACAATAACTTTAAAGATTCTAACCCTGTTTTTAGACTTAAGCTGCCTTCTAAAGGTAGAATCTTACAAAAAGATAGGTTAAAAGTCTTTGCAGCAACAATTTAAAAGCTTTATGATTTTCTTAATAACTTTGCAAAAGCTTATAGCTATGCTATAATTAAGAAAAACGCGTCAAACTATATCAACAACTAGGCAACTTAATATGTTATTTGCTATAACTAGTCTTTCTAACCTTAGCCTTCTCAAGCAACAATATAAAAGACAAAATTGCGCAAGACTAACTGCTTCTTTTGCAGCTTTGCTATTCCTTAGGTAATTCTAAAGACTAGTTGCGCTTAATAAAGCTAGATATATTACAACAATAAAGATCTCGCCTTTTACATCTATAACTATCAAGCCTTTAGCAATCTATTAGCTTATCTAATGCATTGCAAAATAACTGCTAAGGCCTTTAAGATAATCAAAACGCAGTTATAACAGGTTAGAATATAGTTTTGCAATATAGCAGGCATTGTCTAAAACAACCTACCTAGCTTTGTATATACCTAGAAAGACATTAGTAACACTTGCTATCAACTTTGCCTTTAAGAGTTAGATAGGTATACTTTTGCTAGCACACTGCTTAAAAAATTTAACAATAGAAACATTAACTACATCTACAAGATAGATTCTAACAACCTAGACTAGCTGCTTGGCATTATCTTTACCTTTTCTTAGTGTAAAGGCATATAAAAGCGCTATAGCAAAGTCTTTTCGATTAACAATATATACAGCACTAATAAAAGTCAATATCCTCTTCTTATAGTAACTACAACCACTAGGCTTAATATAGTTGCTAACCTAGCGTTTAGGCTTATCAATGACAAGAAAAGAGAGTCTTTTGACTTCTTTATAGACAGCTTAAACCAAATGCAAGCTAAGATCAACACTCTAGTCTCTTATATGGTAATAACTGACTAAAACAAGCAGCTTTGTAGCGCTATATAGGCAGTATTTCTAGCTATATAGCTTTAGATCTGTATCTTTTATATAAACAAGAATGTTCTTTTTTAAGCCAAGACAAAGTAAAAGCAGGAATTAGGTTTAGACTTTTCTAGCAGTGACAATAATAGCAATAGCAAGGCGTAAAACCTTTAGAGTTAATCAACTAAGATTAGCTTAACAATAAAAACTGTAATATATTGCAAACTGTAAACTAAAGAGTTTATCAACATAAGGCAGTAGCTACTGCTTTTAATAAGATTTCTTACAATTATTATAGCATTTTATAGCTTTAAAAGGTTATAGTGTTTGCAAATACTAAGGATAATTTTAAGAAAGTATAAAGCAAGCTTTAGAATAAGTTTGCATATTAAGAAAAAATCTTTTTTTACCTTTAAAAGTCGTAGATGCTAGTAAAGGATTAGTAAGCCTAGTATTATATTAAGACCTACTTGAATTAAAGTACTTGCATTACTTTACCTACAAAATCTAGCAACTTTAATATTAAAAGCTACCTTTTTAATAGTAATAGCAATCTCTTTTGGCTTGTCAAGGCATTTCAAAAACTTTGCAGTGATTAGCAGCAATGCCTAATGTAGATAGTTGCTAAGCAGGAGAAAAAGGTAAGGTAGATATATCTTACTTAGGATTACCTTAGTTGTTTACCTTGTTAGATCTTATACTATGCCTTTGACTAGATTAACAAAGAGTATTTGGTAGCTTTAAAAGCAGTCTTAACAGCAACATGCCTTGCAGAAGATATTGGCTAGTATATAGCAAAGTATATAGTAAAAGACTAGATAAGTCTTCTTTACTGTTATCTAATACTAGAATAGCTTTAAACAAATAAGCTATTGGTTTTTAGAGACGTTGATAGCTACTAGCATTTTCTACAGCAGCTAGTAAGGGAATAACTTTATTTTTTTACATAATTATTTAATATCTACTATTTAACAAGACAACAATAACCTATACCTTTATATTTAAAACCCTCTTGTTGCAAGTTAACTCTAAGGTTGCTTAAGAAACAACATAATTCTACTTTTGCATTTGATAGTAGTCTATCTATGCAAAAAAAATGCTTTTAGTTAATAGAATACACTTGCAAGTAGCTTGCAGTTATTTACAGTCTAGCCAATACGTTATGTAGTGCCTAGATTATACCTACAACCTAATATTTAGCGCTAACAAAGTTAGTAAAAGTAGGTTAGTAGTACTGCTAGCAATAGCAACAAAAGGAATAGCAATAAAGGAAAGCTATGGCAATAAAGAGAAGCTAGCGCTAAAGCAACAGCAAGGCTAGCCTAAGGAAAGCAAGAATTAACTAAAGACTATTTAACTAAAGCTATCTAGCTTAGCTGCAGTTGCTGCTTAATCTACTACTTTTATAGACGCTTTTGCAGGCACTTTTGCAAGCACTTTCGCAGGCACTTTTGCAGGCACTTTTGCAAGCACTTTTGCAAGCACTTTCATAGTGTTACGCCTTGAAGGCCCAGGTCAATATTGCCTCAGCTCTCACGCGCAAGGCTTAGGAAAGCCTAGTAACCAAGGTGGCTTAGTCCGCCGCATAAGTGGCTTCAAGTGATTAGCGCGAGCGCAGCTTTTAATTGGAAGGCTTTGTAATTAGTATAGTCCTACCCTGCGGGGTAGGAAGGTCTAGCTAGCCTAGTCAACAGTCTTATAGAGTCTTTGCAAGAGGCTTGCGTAGAGACTACCAGGCAGCCCTAAGTTAAAGACTATAATAGACTTGCCTAAAGGTTTACAAAGGCAAGCTTCAATATACATTCTAGCCAAAAAGCTACTCAAGACAGTTTCCTACCTAATTTACTAGTAATACTATTGCAACTGCCTTCTCTCTCAAAACCTATGCCAATTAGCTACCTTATATAAGTTAGTTAGACTAATCACTCTTATGCCTTTATTCTGCTACTAACCTAAGTCTTGCAACCTATTACAACTTTAAAGCTTCTTTTAATAAGCTTGCTATATAGCATGCTTTTGCCTTTAATCTAATACACTAATCCTACCAAATTTACAATGTCAAATAATAACAACAATGCTAGCATGCCTAATCAACCTAGCATTAACCTTGCTGCTAGCCTTGCAGTAAACTCCTTTGCTACCACCTTACTAGCTAGACAAGTAGCTTCTACTGCTACAAACCTAAAGAGCTACCTAGCCTACAATATCAACCATATCTACTCCTACTTGCATAGGCAAATCCAATACTACATAAATAGCATTTATATCCTAGGTAACTAGCTAGCTGCCTTTGTCAAGGCAGTAAAGCTTTGCAACAAAGCGTAGCAACTTACTAGCCTAGGATTAAAGACTAACAACAAGTCATTGCAACCTACTAGTATGCTAGGCCTAAGTATAGTCTAAGAGAGTCAACAAGCTACCTCCTAGCCTAAGAATATAGCTGCAAATCTAGCTTAAAGAGCCTGCCAAGAGCCTAATTAAAAGTTCTGCCAAGCCTTTAGTCAAGAGTCTCACCTAGAACCTTACCAGCTATCCTTTAACAAAGACAGCAAGCCTAACAATTACTTTAAGGCCTACCCTAGCTTGAAAGGCACTTGTATTGACAAAATCACTATACTAAAGGCTAACAAAAGTCTTGCCAACTACTATGCCTAGTTTAACAACCTTAAGACTACTTTTATTGCAGACCTTAACTAGTACTAGACTGCTAATATATAAATTGCCTTTGCCACTAGTTACTTTAACTAGACTATAAAAAACCATTGGCATATGGCAATCAATGCCTACCTATACATACACTACCACTAGCATAAATTTGTCTGCTAGGTTTAACAAAACTACTCTTATATGCAAGCTAACTGTCAAGACAACTTTTAAAAGTGGTTTAAAGCTTAGCAAAAGGATAGTAAAAGCCTAGTCAACTTTTATACCTAACTAAAGTCTCTAGCCTTTAAAGCTAGCTAGACAATTAGCTACAACCTCTTCTTACACCAATTTACTAACTAGCTATGTAACAGCCTTATACAAATTAACTATGTTAGCATTGCTACTAATTAGCTACTTAACAATGCCTAAGAGGTTTGAAAAACCTATAATACTAACAAGCCTTAACCTAACTGCAACTCTATAGGCAATAACTAGTCTTATAGCAAAGACTGCAACAAATGCCTAGCTAATAATAACTGCAGCAGTAACTATAATAACTGCAGCAACTGCAGTCAAAGCTTTTAGTTGCAACTTTCTAGCAAGATAACTAATGCTAAAAAGCAATGCTGTAAAGACTAGCGCCTTTGCTTTAAGTATAGTAAGGCAAGGCATATCTTAAAAGACTGCTAAGATTAGTATAACCTAAACCTACCTGCTAATACTACTATAATAACCTTTTTGACAGTGCTTGCAAGTGCTACTTATAAAGCTAAGGCTTAACTAGCTACTACTAGAAAGGTTACAAAGCTTGATAACAATACTAACGTTAACTATGCTATGTTTAATTCTAATAGGCATATTGCTAAGCGCTGAAAAAACAATTAAAAAGCTATGTAGTTTTTAATACAAGCTTTACCAACTACCTAAAAGTAGTTAAAGCAGTTAATACCTAGAGAAAAGTAGCTATTAACAGCAAGGCTAAGAAGGTTTTAATTAGCCTAGACACTTACGTTAAGTTAAACCTAGTAGCCTTTAACTATGTTAGGCTAATAGGCTTAAAGCCTTGCTAGCAATGCAAGCATAACTACTTAATACTAGAAATTAAAAGTGCTAGCAAGACTATAGTAAAAACCTATAGAGTCTACCACTTGCGCCTTAAACTTACTAACTGCTAGAAGCGTGGCGTTAAAGTAATTAAGCCTTTTATAGCAGTCAATTGCAATCTATTCAATGCCTTAGTCTTAGTAAGCTAGCCTATTTTGCAAAACCTAAAGATTAATATTTACAACACTAATGCTATATAAGAATACTCTTGCCATTTGCAAATCTAGCTAGTAAAGATTAGTAAATTTACCTAAAAAAACCTTACGCAAGTAAAAGTCTGCATCTTTAAAGTCTAGGCACAATACTAGCCTTTAGTTGCTAAAGATAACAAAGACAACTCTTTAGAAAACCCTAGTCTTCCAAACCTTTAACAATTACCGCAGTGCCTAGCTAATTGCAATAGCAATATATTTGACAGTTGCTAGGCAAAGCTACTGCCTTCTTATAAAGAAAACAATTATGCAATTAATATAATATCTAGTAAATTACTACCTTTCTAGCATATATTTAACCTTTTTCTTGCAAAACTGCAAGTTTTAGAAAACTTTATCAACAATGCCCTAGAAAAAAGTATTATTAAAAAGTCTATTAGCTTTGCCAAAGCTTTTATACTCTTTGTCTTTAAAAAGGATAAGACTTTCTAGTTATGCATTAACTACTAGAGACTTAACAAAATCATAGTAAAAAACTATTACCTACTGCCTCTAATTAGTAAGCTTTTAGACTGCCTAAACAATGCTATAGTCTTTTTAAAAATTAACTTATAAGTAGCTTACTACCAAATACAAATCTAGAAAAGCAACAAGTAAAAGACTGCTTTTTGCATATGCTATAGCTACTTTAAATTTTGCATAATGCCTTTTAAGCTTACCAATATACCTGCAACCTTCTAAGCCTATATTAATAAAGCTTTGCAAGGCTATATCAATAGCTTTTGCATTGTTTATCTTAACAATATCTTTATTTTCTCCTAGTTAAAAGAAAACCACTAGCAGTATCTTAATTAAGTCTATAAACAGCTATGCTAATTTAAATTGTTTGGCAATGCAAAGAAGTGCTTTTTTTTTCAAACTAAAGTCAAATTCCTTAGCTTTATTGTCAATATAAAAAGTCTTTGAATAGACTCTAGCTGCATAAAAGCAGTATATAAGTAGTTAAACCACTTTCTAAAGACTTATAGAGATATTCAAGTCTTTCTTAGCTTTTGCAACTTTTACTAGAGGTTTATATTTGCCTTCTTATGCATAGCCTAGCTACTACATAACCTACTAAAAGGTATAAAGAATAGCTAAAAGCTAGGTTAAATTGGTAATGACTAGAGAAAGCTTTAGCAGCAAGCTTTTTAGGCTTTAATTAACACCTTTACTATAAAGCTAGTATTACATTACTATAACTTTAACTAGTTACTATATATAGAAACAGACACTTTTAATTACGCATTGGCTAGGATAATTTCCTAGCAATTTGACAATAGCTAGCACTTTATAGCCTACTACTCTTAGAAGTTCTCTAAGGCTAAGGTAAACTACCTAGTCTATAACAAAAAGCTAATAGCGATAGTTATAAGCTTTTGGCACTAAAGGCATTACCTTAAAAGCGCTACCAAAGTCTAGATTTACTCAAACTATAAAAACCTTAAGTAGTTTATAGATTAAACCTAGCTTAATAGTTGTCAAGCTTGCTAGTTGATTTAGCTAATGCTATACAATTTTTAGATTTTTTACTAGAAAGGTGCGTTAAACCTAGCAGACAAGCCTTTACGCAAACCTAACTATGTTAGTAGAGACTACTCTATTAACAATATGCTAGTTACCTAGCTATTATCCTTGCTATATGCAAAGCTAGTAAAACTTACTAGTATAGTAAAAGCGCAGCTAAGCTTCTAGGCAGCTGCTAAGCTATAGCTAAGCCTTTAGGCAGCTAAAGCGTAGCTAAGCTTTTAGGTAGCTGCTAATCAAGATAAGTGCAAGCTAGCTTTAACTTATGCCTTTCTTAGGCCTAACCTAGTAAAGGCTAGAGTTTGCTTCTTGCAAGACAAGACAGCCTAGACTGCTAGTAAGGCTAAAGAAAAAGACTAAGGTCTATAAGGTTAAGAATTACCATTATGCACTAGTAACTTTACTACTAGCTACAAGCAAGCTTGCAAGACATTGCCTTTGCTAAATTGCAACAAAGCAGTTGCATGCAAACTTTGCATGCAAGTTGTTACTAAATAGCAAGCTGCTAAGGCAACTTAGGGTTTTAGATTACTTAACAAGAAAGCTAAAGCTTTGTTACTAATTAGACTTGTTATAGAAGCCTAGGAAGCTAACTCTTACTGCTAGAAAATCTAGGCAAGCCTTTCTAAAAGTCTTTGCTTTAGTAAGGTTAATATAAGAGGCATAACTGCGCAAGGTTTTATTTAGTCTCTTGACTATGCAGACAGTAGTCTTCTATTACACTATCAAGGTAAGATTTACATCCTAGTGCAAGAATTGCTATAGCAAGAGCTTTTCTAGCACTTTTACAACTACCTTATAGCAGGTTACTAAGGCATAGACTAAACCAAAAAGCTAATCTAAAAGCACTTTAATTGGAAAAGCCTTAAGGCAGAAGTCTAAGAGTATGTTAGTAGCTGCTAGCTTTGCCAAAGCAAGGCAATTTACTAGCATTGCCTTTACAAAAAGCTGCAAGCATTGACTTTGCAAGACAATGCATGCCTTTTCTAGCATATATTGTTAGATTAAATCACAAGGCTTTTAAAGTTTTAGAAGAAAAGTACTAGCAAGTAGTATAACAGTATCCTTACTATTGTAAACTACCTTACAAAGTTAGTCTGCCTTATACTAACTTGCAGTAATATATCTATAGTAGACTTTGCAAAGCTATTTTTCAAGCATATTAAATTACAGTACAGCATGCCTTTAAGCATAGTAAGCAACTAAAACTCCCAAATTACAGCTTAATTCTAGCAAAAAGTCTGCATGCAAATCCTAATCAAAAGGCAGCTTTCTATAGCCTACCACTTGTAAACTAACAGGCAGTTAAAAGCTTTCAATCAAGTAGTAAAAGACTACTTAAAAGCCTATATAGTAGACAACTAGGCAAATTAGGTAAACTTTTTCTTGCTAGCACAATTTGCTTACAATAACAATCAAAGCTATATGATAGGAAAATCACCAAATTACCTATTATACAGCTTTAATTGCAAAGTTAAGTTTTATGCTATAGACAATGCAGTTTCAAAAAGGAACTACCTAACTAATTAGACTACCAATAGCATGCTTTTGTTAGCATCTGCTAATGCTATACTAGGCAAAAAGCGCCTAAAAGAACACTTGCTAATGCCTAAAGTTTAAGCCTAACTGCAAAAGTTAGAAGCTTTTAAAAACAACCTACAAGTCAAGTTAGCGTAGGCTGCTAAGCATATAGCTAAGTATTATAACTATACTTATATGCCTAAGCAATTCAAAGTTAACAATTTGGTTAAGTTATTAACCAAGAACCTACAGTTAAAAACCTTAAAGCTTAGCCTGCGATAGATTAAGCCTTTCCAAGTAATTAAACAAGTAAGTAGTCAAGCATACCAACTTGCATTGTCTAATAAATATAGCTGCCTCTATAACATCTTTCCAATCTAGCTACTAAAAGACTACCACCTTTACCTTAGCAAAGGTCTGCTACCTTCTCTAGACTTTAACAACCCTAAAGAGAAGTGAAAGGTTAAAGAGATTTGCAACAATGCTAAATTTGACAGTGTAAAGCACTATCTTGTCAAGTAAGCAAATTAGCTGTTAGAATATAACACCTAGAAACTGCTAGAGCATCTAGAAAACGCTTTAAAAGCAGTCTATGCGTACAAAAAGGCTTGCAGAAAGAAAAAGCCTGCGCCTACAAAGGCTAAGAACAACAGCGACAGCAACAATAGTAGTAGCAAAGACTTTATAAAGTCTTTACCAAACCCTTAAGCCTTAGCCTGCAAGGCCCTAACAAAAGGCAAGCAGATTAGACAGTTAAAAAGAGTCTAAAAGTAAGGTTCTTGCCAAGTTAGTCACTCTTTTTCCTTACCTAACCAAAAAAGAGGTTGCAAAAGGTTTTTTAACAAGGATTTAACGCTAGCTAGTTAGGCAAGAGGCGCCTACCTACTAGCAAGTAATTAGGTAAGGCATAGAAAGCGCTAGAGACGTAGACATCTCCTTAGAAAGAGGATAGTTGTTACGCTTTAAAGGCCTAGGTTAATATTGCCTTAGCTTTCACATGCAAGGCCTAGGAAAGCCTAGTAACTAAGGTAGCTTAGTCTGCTACATAAGTAGCTTTAAGTAATTAGCGCAAGTGTAGCCTTTAATTGGAAAGCCTTGTAATTAGTATAGTCTTACCCTGCAAGGTAAGAAGGTCTAGCTAGCCTAGTCAATAGTCTTACAAGGTCCTTGCAAAAAGCCTGCGTAAGGACTACTAGGCAGCTCTAAGTTAAAGACTGTAATAAACCTACCCAAAGGTTTACAAAGGCAGGCTTTAATATACATTCTAGCCAAAAAGCTACTTGAGACAATTTCCTACTTAATTTACTAGCAATACTGTCGCAACCGCCTTCTCTTTCAAAACCTATGCCAATTAGCTACCTTATATAAGTCAATTAGACTAATCACTCCTATGCCTTTATCTTGCTGCTAACCCAAGTCTTGCAACCTGTTACACATAGGCACTCCTATAGACGCTTTTATAAGCCTATAGCAAGCTATCTAACAGACTTAGAGTAGTTATGCAGTAAAGCTTACTGCAAAGGTTAGAAGCTAGTTAATTGCTTCTAGAATAGTTATTTAGGCTAATTTGCTAGTATTATCTTTTTTCACAGAAGACTTTTAGCTATAATAGAATCCTACTACAACCACTTGTTAAAACTACTTGTAACTAGTATTTCTAGATAGCTTTAATTAAGGCTATCTTCTAAGTCTATTTTTTACTACTTTAATTAAATGTATAGTGTTGTAGGTGTAGCAAGAAGGTTTTGAACTTTGTAACGTAATATGTAGCTCTAGGCGGTGTAGCCTTAGGCAGTGTAGCCTTAGGCAGTGTAGCCTTAAGCGGTGTAGCCTTAGGCAGTGTAGCCTTAAGCGGTGTAGAGATGGCTTGTGCGAGAGGGCTGCTAGCTTTGATACTACCTGCTAGGATTTTCTAGCAGCTGCTTGCACCTGCGCTGCACAAACCGCCTGCCTATAGAGTAAATAGCACTTGCCTGTGGAGAAATTCTCTAAAAAATTCAAGGAAAATTGTTTTTAATAGTAAAAAAAGTTAAATACTAAAAAAGATTAAATATTAAAAAATTTAATAATAAATAAATTTAATAATAAAATTCTTTAACAATAAAATTCTTTAATTATAAAACTCTTTAATAAACAAATTTAATAACAAAATCATTTAATAATAAAATGATTTAGCAACAAAGTTATTTAAGAATAAACAGATTTAATAATAAAAGAATATAATAGCAAAATAGTAAAAGAAGCTTAATATTTACAAACTTAACAAGTAGCGTTGTTTTGCAAGTAGCAAAAGCTTATTACTTTACTGTCTTGTCCTCTAGCTACTAGTTGAATTGTTTCTATTTGTATCGTCAAATCTTTACCCCGTGTCTAAGTTCTTATTTCCTAGACTTGTGTATAGATTGCAGCAGATTGACCCTGTTAGGTGGGTCTTTGTAAGGGGACGGTTTATCTTATCGGTACCGTACTAGATGATCGAATTCCCAGAGTCCCAGTTCTCATTCCACCCGCCAGTCTAGATTGGAGATCGACTTTCGCATTCCAAGGGTGCCTACGCATTTGATCGCTGCGCCCTGGGAAAGCTTTAGATATATACATAGCATACTCGACATACCCAGCCAACTGATAGACGACGTAGACAGGTCACGTGATAACTGTAAATCTGACTTGGAAGGACACCGTGTCTCCTGTTCGTGCTGTTATATCAGTTAATCTAATCCTATCAACTCATAGACTCTTTGGCCTTACATACCCACAACTAAGTTTAAATTGACCGATTGTAAACTCTAAACAGTTGTACTTTATCTCCTCAATTGTGTCTTCATTAGAGCGTAGCACAACATGGCCGCCCAAACCGAGCCTGAGATTGTTTTGTACGACTTGGCATGCACCAAGAATGTCTGCTTCTCTCCCGTTGTCTGGCGCATCCGCCTTATGCTTAACTATAAGCATATCCCTTACAAGACCATTTTCCTCGAATTTCCGGATATTGAGCCCACGCTGAAAGGGCTGTGAGTTATATTCGCCTTCTTTTGCTTTTTATTCTTCACCTCCTGCCCCCCTTCCTTTCCCCTTTCTTCCTTCTCATGTCCCAATACACAGCCTCAAAGCCATCCGATCGCGCGCGAAGATGTCTTCTAACCTGAAAGTCCTCAGTGGCATAGTCCCCGCCGAATCCTCTTCGGGATATAAACACAAATACACGGTCCCCGCTATCCAGCACGTGCCAACCAACACGTACATAATGGACTCGGGCCCCATCGCGCAGTTCCTCGAGTCGACCTACCCGGACCCGCCGGTTCCGCTGACATCGGAGCTGGGCCGCGAGGTCGAAGCCAAAACGCGCGCCTTGCTCGGCCCGGCCTTCCGCACGTCGGTGATGCCGCGTGAGATAGGCATCCTGTCGCCGCGCGCGGAGGAGTACTTCCGGCGCACGCGCGAAGCCTCGCTCGGGCACCGGCTCGAGGACTTGCTCGATCCGGACAAGGAGGAGCAGGTTTGGGGCGCGGTGGGCGACGGCATGCGCGCCGTCGGCGAGCTGATGCGGATGCACAGGGCCGACGGGCCGTTTGTGCTGGGCGCCCAGCCGAGCTACACCGACTTCTTCATTTCGGGGTCGCTGCAGTCTGCGAGAGTGGTGGATGAGGGGGTTTTCCAGAGGAATATCAAATACCCTGGTTTTAAGGAGATCTATGAGGCATGTCTCCCTTACATGGAGAAGAAGGATTGAGCGGGTGGAATTGCAGGGCAAGCCACCACTTGGGTCTTGTATGGGATCAAGGACTCACTCGCTGGAATAAGAAGATACGACTGAACAGTGGTGATCAAACGATGTGAAGCACGTTATTGATATATGAACAAGTCCTATGGGGTATCCGCTTCCCAAAAACGCCGCATCAAAGCCATTCGATTTCCTGTAATCATTAGTGCTCCCTGTTGCCGTCGGTCGAGGACCGACTCCCTCCGTCACGTATGTACATCCGTGTCGTACGCCCTCATTGTTTGGTTGCAACATGCCAATATCCTCCGAAGAGGGGAGTTATGGGATCTTGTCGTTGGAGTCTGTCTTAATGGAAGGAGAAGTACTAGATCCGCTGGCATGGGATGGGCCATTCCAAGTAAAGAAATGGAACTTCAAAAAATTTGTTTGGTTGATAGCATTCTAGACGGAAGACACTGAGTGCGATACTCTATGTCGCAGCCAGCGGTCATACCATCCCCAAGTCCTCACTTGCTTCCCTGAAGCCAAGACGACTTTCGCCTTCCAGGGGTCTCAACGGCAGTCCCCTTCTTATTCTTCTTCGGCGAATGCGCAGGGGTGGGGCTCCGCTTGTGCCGGGCCGGCATGTTCGGGTTCGACAACAACGACGATAGCGGCGAAGACAGCGTCGAGACAGATAATATCGAACGCCGGTTACGCTTGGTCCTCTTAGTTTACTAGCAAAAAGATTTATTAGTAAAAAAATAAAAGATTAAAAGATTAAATATTAAATAAATTTTATATTAAATAAATTTTATATTAAATAAATTTTATATTAAATAAATTTAATATTAAAGAGATTTAATAATAAATAAATGTAATGTTAAAGAGATTTAATAATAAATAAATGTAATAACAAAATACTAAAATACTAAAAGTATTTAATACTAAGGTTGTGACTTCTTTAATGTAAATATATAACAGAGAGAAAGATACTAGATAGTGAAAACTTGCAAGTTGCTTAGGCGTAAACTATATTTAAGCCTTTCACGTCCTTTCTCTGTCCCGTCGAGGTTGCTAGGGTTATCGTTCTCCTTGTAAGCATCCTCCTCAAAGCCACTCTCATTAGGAGCATACTTTCTTAAATCCTTTTCCCTAGAAACATCCTTTCCGGAATCCGCATCGTAGTAAGCATCTTCGGGATCACCCTTCCCAAAATCATCCTCCTCGGAATTATTCTTCCTGCGATCAACCCTGTAGAAACTAAGCTTGTTGGCACCAACTCTGCGGGAACCTAGTTTCCAAGGATCCATCCTTGCCAGAACCACCCGAGACGAAATCCCTCAAGACACATGATCATCGTCTCCTACATCTCTGCCCCCAATACTGTACCCGGTGAAGGACTCCCCATCACTTCTGTGCTGCCACTAGGCTGGTCCTCCGCCACGTCGCTGAAGATGGGCACGTCGCGGAGAATATCCCTGATCATGTTCACCTGCGCCTTGAGGTTAGTGATGAGATCCTCAACAAACCATCGTGCAGAGATCTACGCATGTTGATACCCCCCCTCCCGTTCAATGTCAGCGACACCGTTACTCGCCTTCAGTTTGCGAAAGGCCCCTCATCAACGCCTGACCAGGTCTCGCGAGAAGGAAGCCATGCTTGCCAATGACAGCATGCCCATCCCTAGCCTCAGCATCAGTCACCGCCTCGGGGGTATCGATATAGCCGTCCTTACAGAAGGTCTATAACTTAGCGGCACTAGGAGAGCCTACCTTCTTCACATCAGGGGTGCGGCTAATACCGACCGGCAGTCTCACCTAACGCACACATAGAAAGGAAGATCAACGTTTGCTTGATACTTTGCCTGGATCCTCCAAAAGCTACGCCGTGAAGAATAAGGACTTTTGTCCCGGTTTGTTTGCAGTCCAAGGCCTTGTTAGGAATATCTCCGTGACATCGCTGGCAGAGGACAGAGCATACTGCTCGGCGTCTAAAAAAAGGCAAACATGTCCATGTATTTTCTTATTGTCTCATTTTCCCCTTTCCTTTGAGGTTGTTGTCTAATCACCTCTCTGCCATTTTATAAATACACGCAACGCACATCGACTTGGCAGCGGTTGGGGCTAGTCTCAGTGTCAATCAAGGTCCCATTCTCGTTATCGTTCTGATTTGCAGTCACACTCTAGTTTGTCGTTACCGTCACCCGCTCCTTTCGTTTACCACATTCCGTAACCTAAATTATCTGCAGTTGCTCAGCCACTTCCCATGTCATCGTGCTTCCATTTGCGCATCCCTAGTCAAATAGCGATGTGATCTGGTCACAGTCTTAGGTTGCAGTAGGGTAGATAAGCGTGGATCATGTCTAGGTAGAGAGATTCTTCAGGACCATCTTCAAGCTTTCAAGCTGTGGAAAGCCTAGTTTTCTATGATGAAGCAGACATGTTCTTGACAAAGCGCACAAATGACACGAATCTCAATACTATTGTCTCTGTGTTCCTGTGTGCGTTGGGACACCATCAAGGCATCTTGTTTCTCACAACATATCAAGTGAAGTTATTTGTCAAAGCAGTGGCTTAGCAGGATGCATCTTGCGCTGAAGCATAAACTGCTTGGCGGGAATACGCGCAAGGCAGCTTGGCAGCGTTTCTTAAAACATTCTGAGGCGAAACACAGAGACCTAGTTCTTGACCAAGATGTGATTAACGAACTGGTGGAAATGTGACTGGACAGATGGGAGGAAAGAGGTATCGATATATGCAGGAAGGGACATCTGACTATCAGAAGCAGACACAAAATACCGTCTTTGAAGCTCGGTCGCTGGCTAAGTAATTAATTATAAGGAGACGATGGTTGGCGAAACTCTGCGGAGAACAATTCCACAGGTATTTTCAGGGTGAGTCGGCGAGAACCAACACTTGTATTTATCGAGGTTGCTAACTGTACGACTAAGGTATAATTAGTCTTAGCTTGTATTGGGTAGCATGATAGCTCTCATCTCCCATTACAAGGATAGCTAACCAATAACGGCGGTCAAAGGTAGGATTTTTGGCATAATCGGGGGAAAATGAATCCGAGCTGATCTAAAATTAGGAGGCTGCCCCTGACTAGGCCAACTTCGGCAACGCCAAGCCAAAACAAATCTCGGATCCCCTCATCCTCATCTCCAAATCTCAGTTCCCGGGAACCTCGCTTCGCTATATCGGATTAAACAGCAACCGCCTCATGAAACGGAGCGACTCCAAGAGGCTCGGCCAGCGCGAATATGTCAATCGATTCCCTGCCAGAATGCTTTAAGAAATGCCTCGCCGACGCTGCCGCGAGCATCGGCTGCGCCGGCACCGACACGACGTGTCTCTGCACCAAGGATCTGTCGGGCTCGGATGGATCGCAACTGATGACATGCGTGCTTGGCACGTGTCCACTCGATGTCATAGCTTGTAAGAGACCTCTTTGTTCGTCTGGGTGTCAGTCGTACTGATCATGCAGCTGCTTCGAGCGATATCGTAAACATCTGTGGACAAGACCCGGGTAATGCTAGCAGTTCCGGTACAACTATGACCACAACATCATCCCCGGCATCCGGCGGTGCTTCATCCTCTTCATCCTCTAGGACGACCCCTGGTACATCTACCAATTCCCCTTCCCATACATCTTCACCTTCGTCCAGCGGTACTTCCACTGCAGTTGCGCCTGGTGGGAGTGATCCTAGGGGGGGTTCAGCAGGGCTGTCCACGGGTGCAAAAGCCGGCATCGGCGTGGGCGTTGCCGTTGCCGCAATACTGTTCATTCTCTCGGCATTTCTCTTTTGGCGGATGCGGCGTATGAAGAAGAAGGCTGCATCTGAAACTGCATCTGCATATGTGCCTGCGCCTACACCTGGATCTCCTGCGGAGGACGGTATTCCCGAGCTGTCTGCGAAACCAGAAATGGGTCCTGAACTCGGAGGCCAGCCTATTTCGGAGCTGGAATCGAACCCAAGGGTGGATGGAACCAACGATCTGCTAGGCATGCAAGGGATGGGGTACCCAGGAAGTGGGCAACCGCCTGTCCACATGACAACCAATTTCCCTTATGAAGCAGTGGAGCTGGATTCCACCCCTACATCTCGGGGTGGAGGAACTAATGTATAGGTGCGATGGCGACACCCCACACTTTTGTCTTTTTCTTCTTGTCATAGATAGGAAGGAATGCTTGCCTTTGAAGTACTGCTGCCAAGCATAATAAACTCATTCAGTCTAGCAATCCCGCCGCGCCCCCGGAGACCAGTGACGAGGACGAGGACAGCAAGGCGGCAGCGGCAGGAGGAACGGCACGGAAGACATGCATCTTTCAGTCCGCGCAACTCTCGGCAACGCCGGGGACAAGACCACGTGGACCGGACAGGCACCTACCAGCTTCTCGTGGACGTCGGCGATCATACAAGCGACAGTGCTCCGCACTAACGGCAAAAAGACAGGGTACACGATTGGCATCTCGTCGTTCCTCTCGATCTACCTCGGGGCTGGCGAGGAGCGACATTCCGGGCGCTACCGCGTACGCCGGCCTGACAGCATTTAGTGGGCGAGACGCTCGAGGGCATCAATGTCCGCCTGCAGGGTCTGGCGGTGGGGCTGGAGCGTGGGCCTCTGATGCTCGAGGACGTCTCCCAGCACGAGGATGACGCCGTGGTCGAGGTATACCGCGGCGTGGCCGTGGACTTCAATGTCTGACAGGTGTTAGCCATGCGCGAGTGCAAGATTGTGCACGCGACGGCGACGGCACTTGAGTACAATGCCATCTTCAAGTACGGCACGCTCGACGGCCCGTTGGTCACCTCGAGTTCGCCGCCATGTCAGGTGTGCGCCTGGGCTTCGGCTATAAGTCCGTGGTGCGCATGCCGCGCCTCGACGAGCCGGAAGGTTTCCCTTTCATCGGCGACTCAAACCTGGAGGGGGCCGGGAACAATCCCATGATGGTCCATGAAGGCTATGATAAGTTGCGACAATCCCTTCGCTTAGCCCCCCAAGGAAGCATGTGGTTCTGCGCGGAGATGACCATCAACCACTTCGACATGCTGATTCTGACGGCGGTGCTCATGTTCGAAGTCGCGTGGGCGGGTACGCGCGCAACTACACGCCGCCGCCCCGCTACCATATAATTAGCCAATTGCGTCGAACCCAGCTTTACTATTAGTGAGAGTATCCAAATCATAGGGTCCAGCTCTGTGTGACGTCGCCTGCTCCTTGGTCGGCGGGAACTTACACCTTCCAATGGGAATGGGTCCGTTACAGCCTATGCAAAACATGTGCCTGTTCAATTGGGGTGCACAGCCGACATCCAATGTGTCTAAGTATGTGTCTAAGTGTGGTGCCTCCCTGCCTGAGAATTCCTGGTGTGCACAACTCCGCAGCAGGGACTACGTTTATATGCCGCTACCTGACGGTTATGTGGTATATGACGCCTAATGGCGGGAAAGGTAGAATTGATTAACTGTTATTCTCAACCAGGTATTAAAGTACGATTTCCCCGCACACCATGCCCCGAGTTGCCCGAAATGGATTGTTCCGGGCTGGCGGGCCGGGACACAACCCGAGCAACTTGACGCTTAAATAAAGCGAAATATGATCAGCAACGCGGGGATGTGTTGCCTATATCGGAGGTGGAGATCGATAAAAGCCAGGCAAACAAACGGATGGACACAATGTGAAACTTTCTTTCCAATTCTACCCTGTCCTACTGTCTCATAAGACTCCCGACGCTTTAAGCAACTCCAAAAGCATGGCTTTCAAAACCCCCCTCATCAGCCTAGCAGCTTTGCTGCTGGCAGGTGTGACCCTCGTACAATCCGCCGAGGAACACCCCCCTCTAACAACCTGGAAATGCACCAACTCGGGCGGCTGCGAGGAACAGAACACGTCCGTCGTGCTCGACAAGGTCTCCAAGTTTGCACAGGGCGCCGCCGGCTCTCGGACCGCCGCCGACTATGCCGCCATGGGCGTCACCACCTCGGGCGACTCCCTAACCATGTACCACTACGTGCAAGGCAACCCTGCCTCCCCGCGCATCTACCTCCTGGGCGACGACGGCAAGTACGTGCTGATGTCGCTGCTCAACGCCGAGCTGTCCGTCGACGTCGACATGTCGGCGCTGCCGTGCGGCGAGAACGGCGCCTTCTACCTGTCCGAGATGAAGGCCGACGGCGGCGGCAGTGCCGAGGCCGGAGACGGGTACTGCGACGCCCAGTGCCAGGGGTATTGCTGCAATGAGATGGATATTCTTGAGGCGAATTCCATGGCCACGGCTATGACGCCGCATCCGTGCAATGGGAACTCGTGCGATAAGGGCGGGTGCGGGTATAACCCGTACGCGAGCGGGCAGCGAAACTTCTGGGCTCCGGGCGGGACGGTCGATACGAGCAGGCCGTTTACGGTTGTTACGCAGTTCCAGGCCAATGGGGGGAGTCTGTCGCAGATTACGCGCAAGTACATCCAGAACGGCCAGCAGATTGACGGTGGATCGATTAACAGCTGTGGTGGGGGCGCCACTGGTGGTCTGGCTGGCATGGGTGATGCTCTGGGGCGTGGAAGTAAGTGACTCTACTCAACTGTCCTTGAATTTTCCGACCTTCCCCATCTGTGTTTGCAAAAAGAGGGTGTACCGCGGAACAGCCTCCTTGCAAGCCAACACTAGGAGCTTGCGGTTTGTCTTTCAAATGGTTATCATTTGCTGACTCTGGACCTCACAGTGGTACTGGCAATGAGCATCTGGAACGACGCGGCGCAGCAGATGGCTTGGCTTGACTCTGGCAACAATGGACCCTGCCAGAGCGGACAAGGCACCCCGGCCAACATCCAATCTCAACACTCTGATACTCACGTCGTCTTTTCCAACATTCGATGGGGGGAGATCGGATCTACCCAGAAGTAGTACTGAATAGTGTCTGACAGGCAGCACTTTTCGCTGTCCCATGGCAGTTAGGGATAGGTGGAGGGGTGCAGATCAGCGTCATATATGGATCTGACCCGAATATCTTAAGTGCCTCCGCCTAAAAAATGAAAATAATATAAAAACGCAGCTAAGGCACGCCTCGCTAAATTTTAGTGACAGCAAAGATGTTACAAATAGATTAAACCGGGAACCACATGTTTAGGAATTTGCTCCAGGCCCTGGCAAAGTGCGGGGAAAACCCAATTGAAAGGGATTCCTCGGAATTGCTAGATCGACATTGTAGAGTTCCCGTTTAAATTTACCAAAGTTCCCGGTAGGCTCGCCACTGCAAGGCTCTTATGACGCTGGTCTTGCCTTATCTCCATCTTAACTGGCCGGGGTTATCGTCGGCTGAAGGGAAGCACAAAGGGAGGTGGAATAAGCGCAAGTATGATACATTAAGACCAGTTCCAAATCCAATGAGAGTTGGGATCCATGGCCCTATCTCCATGCCTACGGCTCGGGTGTCAATGAGTTTGGACGCGGATGGCAAAGAGTCTCTTCTGCGAGGCAGCAGATGCTGCGGTATGATGTCGCAGTCGTCTGAGTTAGACTGCCGGCGAGCATGGGCCTTGGAATAGGCGTATACTGTTCGCCCAACACTACAGAGATGAAGCCAGCAGCCGCCTTGACCGGCGAGTTGGTGGTGAGGTTTTGCTTGGCACTGGCATCTAATCGGCGATATGCAAGGTCCCATCCACAACTCCGAAGATGGTAGTGGCATCACTATGAAGGCGAGATTGGCCTGACCGTCCAGATTCTTACAGTGCCGATTGCAGATCTTGTCGGTCATCTCCGCAGCGCGGTAGAAGCAGTCGACAAAGAGGGTCGATGATGGCGACTTGTCAGACGCAAAGATGGATGTGGTGCGGAAGAGGGTTAAGCTGTTGACCCACTTCCCCGAAGCTAATAATCGGATGCTGTGCTCTACTTCGGTCGAAGAAGGAGCATAGGATTTGGCGTGAGTCGATTTTGTACATCGATGGGGGGTACAGCAAGTTGAGAGACTTCTCCGCGTTAGCTTTGACTATGGTAGTCGTCGAGATGTCCCGTCATACATATGTCTGAGTCGATTTGTTCTGCCTTGAGAGTCCTAGTCATGGGGATGCCTCTATCTTTGGCAGATACGGATGGCTCTGCCTGAACTGTTGCCAGTTCTAAAGGGCGGGGAAGGGGGAGGAAATAGACTGGTTTGGAAGGCGGTTGAGTATACAAAGCCTGCTGCCAGATGCCAACCACGTCAAGGTCACAGAGCTACGGAGTTCCCCAATCGGTTTATCAGAGGCTAGTCAAGTCTATCAGCCCATCTAGCCATCCAAAAACGAAGGCGATTCCCTCCAGCCGCCAAGCAACTCAGATGGCAAGAGGGCGCCAGTAATAGGAGGCAATCATAGTTTCTCTTTTAGTAACATTTCCTGCTACAGCTGCAGGTTATAATTATTCCGTACAATAATACGTACGTACAGTACGGGGCTAACGAGGTGGCGGATACAATCCTCAGTCATCTTCACAATGGTACCCTAGATGCACATCAAACGTTCAATCCTCTATCCCTACATCGAACCAAACAAAGACACTAGTGGTTCACTGGCCAAAAGAGGTGTCCATCCAGTCATCAACCCCACGAGAACATCGACGACGAAATACAACCCGAGGAGCTTCCTGTATCGCCAATCACGACGCGATCATCTGTACTAGATCAACACCATGGATACTAGTGGGAAAGGTTCATAAGGGGACTTACCACACGGTTTTCTTAGTCGCATGTAAAGAATAGTTGCCATTCATGGTCGACAATAAGCAAGAGCGGGAGCATTATCACCAAACCCTATTACGACACCGAGGGCAAACGCACCGGATAATTCTACGCACGCCCAGACATGATATTCGAAATGTCGGTGCTTAGAGCCGAGTGGCATCAAAGAACCTGGGTTCTCCAGAAGCGAATCCTATCGCGTCGCATACTGTACATCACCAAAGATAGCTTCTATTTCTGGTGCCGGACAAGCAACCTGGTCCGGGGTGAAGATGGCAGCTGTGCCACTGTCACGGCCAGGAACTAGGGTTGAACAAACGCATGCCAGTAAAGTTGATCAGGCGCGAAGACCAGTGGGAATACACGGGCATCACGGGCATGGTCCCAATATACGCGAGATCGGGACTTACGCAGGGGGGTATATTGGTGTCTTCAGTATCGGAGCAAGACTTTTCAATCTTTCCCGAAAGGCTGAAGAGCGCGGAAACTTACTCTGATTCCAAACTGACAGGCAGACAGACAAGTTGACCGCCATCAAGAGACACATGCAAGTATACTCAGATGCACTGCGGGACAAGGCACGCGACGAGTGCCATTCTCTTTGGAATTTGGCAATGCGGGCCAACGTAATGCTGGGTTCATGGTTCCGACTTCAACAGACCCGTCGCCTATCGGGTGACGCCCGAGTACCCCTACGGCATATGGGATCTCACGAAGCAGCTCTTGTGGCGGAAGAAGACCGCAGGCAACGTGGAATATGGCGAGGTGTCGGCACCTTCATGGTCCTGGATGGCCTTGAAATCGTCCATAACTAATCCAAAGTTTGCTCTCCACGGCTATGCCACGGAAGCAACAGCAGAAATTGCCGAACCAGTGAGATACGACAAAATACTGTTGATCGGGGTGAAAAAGGAAGCATGGCGTCATGCCATAGGGATTACTGGACAAAGCATCGGGTAAGACGAGTTCTCCAAAGCCGTGAATGAACAAGAACTAGAGCTTTCGGCAAGAGACTCCTATTCAGTCATGATTTCAGCCCTGCCCGAGAAGAGGATCCTCCGTGTTCCGAAAGACAACCAGGTCGAGAATGTGAAAGAACTCACGCTCGGCAGACACATGACTCCCGTATACAAGCATCCCATGGAGAGCACACAGTCCTAGGAAAGCTTTACTCGCTATCTCCAGGAATGGATATGTGTCTGGGATCGAGCGCCAACAACCCAGCTGGCAGCGTATAACCCCATCTGTTCACAGCGCGGGACGGACTCGTCAGGAGACGAATACGGGCAGGAGATGATTGGATGGGGCTGCTTTAAGGAAGGGACTACTGCGGAATCCTTCCACGAACCGGTGCATGCGCTGTACGTCTCGTGCAACGAACCGGAGCTGAGGAATGCCCAGAACGATGTTGACGCGGTTAGAGTTAACCTTGCATATGGATATGCGCTTGACACGCTTTTGGAGGGGGTGAGCCACGGGGAATTGCTATATGGAATGCTCTTCTTGAGATTGGTATATAACAGACCGGGTACGTATAGAAAAGTTGGCATGGGACAAATCACTGAATCAGGCTGGCAAACAGTTTAAGAGGAGGGAAGAGGCACCATTTGTCCTGGTTTAGGTTACCCGGTGGGTAGGCATAGGACTCTGTAATTTTGCCGCGGAATGTGGGCTATCGAGGCTGATTGAACTGTTTAATCGGTTGCGATGTGGATGAAAAGAGGGACCAGACGTTAACGCTAGCGATGGGGAAGACATGACCATAATGGGAGACAAAGGGGAGGGAATGGCAGAAGGAAACCAGGAGAGGTAAAGATACAAGTGTCAAGAGAACAAGGAAGCAGACTATAGAGTTAGGAATAGAAACTGTTCATGAGAGACAATTATCTAATATTTGCACATTGGTCTAGATCGTCGCAGTGACTTTCCATGCTTGTACAGTACCGTACAGTACCATACACGCGAAGTGGTGAGCGGCCTTCGACTTCCCCACTCGGGCTCCTCGTATTGCCCCCAGGCCCCCAGGGATAGCCATGAAAGCCACTCTGAGAAAGGGTGGTAATGTGGTTTACGAACACGCCCGGGCATGCATGAGAAGGTCAAGCAAGCGGCCCAGTACCAAAAGGGAAAGGGAGGAGGGGTGGCGGACGAGCAGTCGAGGCCCCCTTAAGCGGCGTCCAAGGTCGAGAGAGCAATTAAATTTTCACGCAACAGTCCATGACTGAAATCATTTTCTAGCGCTTCGTAATCATTTTGCTATCAATGCTTACCATTCAGCGCTGCTAACAATGTAGCTTGTCAACTTCATATCTTCAATCTTCCTTCTCCAAGCCTAATATGTCCAGCATCCATGGTGGTTTGTTAGCCATAGCTGCTCTGTTTATTCCAGTGCCACGATTATGTCATACTTGAGGTTGTAGGTAGTACGAGTTGTTTCGATGGTATATTAGCTGGAACTTAGCATTGATCCACCATAATTACCTCAGATTGGTAGCCATCATAGTGTGCCCTTAGCTTTGTCAACAACGTCATACATCACCCTTGCCAACAGGCAATTGGCGACAGTGATATGGGGCTGGGTATTCATGACCACCGTCTCGATCTGCATCGCCGCATCCATGACCAAGATATGCGCCATCTATCTGATAGCAGGCGCTCCTCACTTCTGGTTCACAATGCTGTCGAATCCAAGGTACGCGATAATTGCCTCGTGGACAGGGTGGCTGAACCTGGGGAGATGCATAGGTACTTGAACAAATTCTGCCGGCAGAAAAAGGCGGTGGGAACTATTGAATTGACCGGTGCCAAAATTGGGCCGCTTCTGATGCCTTACATAATTGCAGGTTATCTACGGATCCGTAATTCGCAACAGGAACACAGCGCTTACGTTATCAGTCAGAAGACAGCTTCCGGAACTCTATTTTCTCTACTTGACTCACTTGCTCCCAACAATTTTTATCTCCTCGACAACCAAACTACGACAGATGCCCACGTCGGTGCGAGACGCCAAGTTGTCTTCCCGCGCATCAAACTACCCTTTTTCACTATGCCGTATCCTCTCGGCCCCATCATCAATGGCTCTGTGCCGCCCAGAGTCTCCATTCTCAAGTTCCGCGTCGGCGCACCTACTCTCCACCCTCTCCCGCTGAAATGCACGTGGGACGACGTTTGCGCCACTCTCGACAAGTACTTTGGGGACAGATTCGTGGAGAAAGCGCGAGAGGTTCTATCGAGGAACAACATCCTGTATCGCAAAGTCGAGCTCACTTCCCGCACCATCCATGGTGAATCATCCAAATCCAATGCCCGGCCCATTATCTTCATTGTCGCCGACTGGTCCGACAGCGCCCGATACGTCTGGCCACGGATTGTCCTGGCAGTCAAGGAATACGTCGATTCCGAGATTGCAAAGAACACTCAGCTCAGCCACATCTCCGTCCATGTCGAGATGGTCGCGCCGGAGTTGACCATGCGCAAGTACCTCTCCCCAGTGCCCAACGACAAGACGCTCCCTGGCTTAGAGCGAGACTGGCCTATGATCAAGACGAGAGTGCGCGAGATGCTGGAGAGTGCCCCGGCGACATCCTCACACATCACGGCCATCTGTCTCTTCCGACTTGGATACGATCCACACCATACGGAAAACCCCAAGACGGTCTACGTCTCTGTCGACTACGAGTCAAACGAAGAGGGTTGGGCTGTGCTGGTGGACCGGATCCAAGCATATCTCAACACGCTGAGGCATGACCTCCACTTTCACATCGAACACAACGCCATGAACCGTTTCGCCTTCCCCCTGGTCGCGTTAGACCTTGACGACTACGAGAGGAAGGACAGGGAGCAGCGCTTCAACTTCGACATTAGGCGGCGATACGAGGAGAAGGTCAACCTCGGCGAAGACATCTGCGCCGCCCAGTATATCCTCCGGGACGACAACCGGAAATGCTGCCCCACCACCGGAACCCTGGGTTGTTACCTGGGGATCAAGTCGAAGCGATACCCAACCTGGACGACCATGGCCCTAACAAACTACCATATCGTCCGACCCACCATCAAAGGCTTCGAACTCGGCACCAAGCCCAAGGCCGCCACTCCTACCACCACCAGCAGCGGCACGAGATCCAAACTCAAGCCCCCCAGAAAAGGCACCGACCTCTGGAACGCCGACCTCAAAGGCATCACCCCCTCCACCGCGGCCACCCGCGCCCCGATCGAACACCCCGCCCGCGCAAAGCACAACTTCGCCATCGAAGGCCTGCGCGCCGCCCGCAAAGCCCAGGGCCAGAACTCGGATGACGACGACGAGGCCACGCTCGCCTGGCTCGCCGGCCTGGACGCCGAGCTGGCCACCAAGCTCGCCTTCTTCGATCGGGGGATGAACAAGTTCGGCACCGTGTATGCCGGCTCCGGATACAACCGGCGCACGCCGACGACGAACCACCGCCTGGATTGGGCGCTGGTGGAGCCGTTGGGGAACCGGGTCGGAGGGAATGTCCTGCCGGATGAGAGGGCCTGGAAGGGCAAGACGGCGCTGGAGTTGATGCCGCTGGTGGCGACTTTTGGGAAGACGTTGAGGGCTCCTCCGCCTGAGGGGGAGGGATCGCTTGGGGAGCTGACGCCGGAGGACCTGGTGTACAAGGTTGGGGCGAGTACGGGGGCTACGGTGGGCGTGTTTAGCAAGGTGAAGAATGACTGCTCGGTTGCGGAGGATAGGTATGTGGGCAGGGGTTTCTCGGAGGAGTATGTCTTCATCGGCCGGTGTAACGCCAACGTCAATTCGGACGTGCGGTTTGCTGATATTGGGGACTCGGGGGCAGTGGTTTTTGACAAGAGGGGCAGGGCGCTGGGGGTGGTGTTTACGGGACAGACGCCCCAGCAGGCTGGCTCGGATGGGTATTGCTTTGTGACGCCTATCGAGGACGTCTTTCGCGATATCAAGGAGTTTTCGAAGGGGGATATCACGGATATTAGAATTGCTGGGACGTGATGGTTGGGGGAAGGCGTGTATGATAGTGTATTGTTTTTTCATGGCGTTGGGGTTTATTAGCTGGTGGTCCAGCCTCGATACCCTTTTAGCTACAGAGCTCTTACGCAATGGTAACTTCACTTGCGTCAAAATTGCAACCTGGAACACAGAGCTGTGTCATTAGACCCTGCTGTTGTGCTTGATAGGCGCATCTAGTGTCGGACTGTTAATCACGCGTATGTAATAAAACCTAAATAGGAGATGCTGGAGGGCACAGACAAGAGTCTGACAAAACGTTGCCAGCTGAGAAAGAGCAGGAGAAGAAAATTGCCCCCAAGGGCCGCAACATATACCTGCGCGCGACATGTATGATGAGCGGTAAAACGAGACTAGGCAGAAAGGGTGAATCTGGGCCTGTGGGCGAGCTTTGTTTCTATGCAGGTTTATAGCTCATAGAAAATCAGGGGCCAAAACTAGACACCAGGCACCGAAATTCGACCACAGAGCCAATAGCGGACACCAGCCCGACAAGCGGCCCGAAGTTCCGCAAGAAGGGCATCAAGATAATACGCTGGCTAATATATACTGGAGACTATTGTGTGTTACAATAATGGCTTCGTAAAAGGTGGAAGGGAAGTAACGTTAGATGTTGAAGGTCTTGGATACTATCTCTGGCTTGCTCGTAGATTCCTCGTCTAGCTCACCTCGTGAGGTCACATCTCCCGCATTAGCCAGCTTAAGGTCGTCCAAATTGTTGTAATTCCGTAAATAAGAAGCCAACGGTCATTTCTATGCTCATCAAGCTATCGACTAACTACCTGCACTGTCTAGTCAAGATCCCGGTCTTCCAATGCATTCTGGATATGTACTAACGGTGGATGTTGTAGGGTATCCTTTCTGCCGCGCGAGCAAAGCTCTGTTTCACTGCCATCTAATCCCTGGAGTTCGACGTATGCTATCGCTAGCTAAGTCTTGCCTATTCCGCCGAGGCCCTGCTTTTCCACCGAGGCTCTGCAGGATAGCGGTACGACGTCCCCCATGTAACGCGGCGTGGGCATTGGGGTGGTGCGGCGCCCGCGGAGTCACGTGATCTGCCATATGCTAAGCTATCACGTGGTAGAGCTTCCATATAGCATGGTGTACTTAGTAATGCCTTACTTGCAAGTAACCAAGTCAAGTTGGGAAATATCCAAGTAAGGCGAGTTGGATAAGGGCCAAGTCAAGTGAGAGGGCTGACTTGGTTGAACTTGACTTATGCTAAACGCTGCGTGCTTCCGGTGTGCGCGGAGACACTGGTTGGGGCTCACGTGCATTATCACGTGGAGACTGTCGTTTTTGTCTCGCACACTAATTAGCGGACCAACCTTGTTCCGCCCCGAACCTCCTTGTAGCTTAGGTAGGTAGAGGTGGTTCCACGTTTTGCGCAGTTGTGGCTGTGGCAGTTGCGGCTGTGCAGCCTACCCCGCAATTTTGCCTAACAAGCTGGATTGCGAGGCTCTCTTGTGAGCCTGACACTTGTGACAATGACAATGTCGAGCTGAGCTACTGAGAAGCAAGGACTGGCAGCGACTCCATCACGGCTGTCGACCTTGTCCGCCCAGGTCCAGCCCAGATTCGCGTGCCAGTCTACTGGCAAGTTCGGTATGTATGCTGTCTACGAGGCCGCTGTTCGATGGATGCTAACACTTCTGATTTCACAGGTGCGAGCCCCTTGACCGTCCAAGACTCCTATCCTCGCCGAAATGGATCCCCTCAGCATAACCGCAAGCGTCATATCCGTTCTCGAACTGTCCGCTAAGGTTGTCAAATACATAAACTCGGCCGCCGGTGCGACGAAAGAGAGAAAACGCCTTCGCGAGGAGCTGCGAGCATGCGAAAACATCCTCCAACAACTCAAAGATGAAGCAGATGATTCGGAAGAGGGCAAGGCGTGGTTGGAGACAATCAAAGCCCTCGAGAGCCCTGAGGGACCGCTGGGCCGTCTGCGGGTTATCTTGCGCAAGGTTGAGGCCAAGCTCCAGCCTCGAGAGGGTCTAGGGAGAGCATTCGCAGCTCTGAGATGGCCATTCAACGCGCAGGAGATAAAGGAGATCTTTGCCGCGATTGAGCGTGAAAAGTCTCTGTTGGGGCTGGCTTTGTCCAATAACTCCCGGAAACTGATGCAGGAAATCAAGAGGACTTCGAACGAGTATATGAGGCTGCTTACGAAGTTGACCCAGGCGATCGAGAGAAGTTCGCAAGCACTCGAAGATAATCTGGTGCTCCTTCAGACCTCGCAAACCTCCCTTCACGATGGCTTAGATAGGCTTCATCGTCGCCATGACGATCGAGGACTCCTTGAAGAAAGGCTGGCTATTCTCGATTGGTTGACGCCAATCAACTACGCTATGCAACAAAGCGGATTCATCAATCAGCGACAGAAAGGAACCGGCCAATGGCTCCTGGACTCAGTGGAGTTTAAGGCATGGGTGGAGACCGAGAAGCAGACGCTCTTCTGCTCAGGCATTCCGGGCGCCGGAAAGACGATTCTCGCATCGATTGTCGTCGACGAGCTTGCTACTCGCTTTGGAACTGACAAGAGCATCGGCATTGCATATGTCTATTGCAACTTTCGACGGCAAGACGAGCAGAAGGCTGAAGAACTCCTAGCAAATTTGCTAAAGCAGCTGGCTCAAGGCCAGCCATCTCTGCCAGAGTGCGTGAAGTCCCTCTACAATGCCTACAAGGATCAGCGGACCCGACCACCATCCGACAAGATTTCAGGAACCCTCCAATCTGTGGCTGCCATGTACTCGAGAGTTCTGATTATCATTGACGCACTTGACGAATGCAGCACATCTGATAACTGCCGCTCGATATTCCTTTCAGAGATATTTGCCCTCCAGACCATGTGTGGAGCAAATATCTTCGCGACGTCGAGATCTATTCCAGAGATCACTGCCAAGTTTAGTCTGGGCATGTCGGTGGAAATTCGTGCGAGCGATGACGACGTGAAGCGATATCTTCAAGGGCACATGAGTCAGCTGCCATCATTTGTCGAGCGGAACCAACAGCTCCAAGAAGAGATCAAAATCAAGATCTCAGAGGCAGTCGATGGGATGTAAGTCTTTAGGTTGATGTCTAGGGGAGGTGTTGTTACTGACTGTTTGTAGGTTTCTCCTGGCACAAATCTACCTTGACTCGCTTGAGGACAAGCTCACGCCAAAGGCTATGAAAAGGGCTTTGGAGCAGTTCCAGAAACAAAGCACAGCGTCACGCGAGGACGAGAAGCTCGAAGTACTAGCTCAGGCCTATGCCCAGGCAATGGAGAGAATCAACAGGCAGACACAGGGGCGGCAGGACCTTGCTAAGAAAGTTCTGGCATGGATTACGTGCGCCAAGCGACCGCTGACGACGTCAGAACTCCAGCATGCCCTTGCGGTGGAAGTCGGTGAACCAGAGCTTGATGAAGATAACCTTCCGGAGGTTCAAGACATGGTCTCGGTGTGTGCAGGATTAGTCACGGTCGACGAAGACGGAGCAAGTGGCGTCATCCGGCTGGTCCACTACACAACGCAAGAATACCTCGAGCGAACGAAAAGCCATTGGTTCCCAAATGCGGAGAACGATATTACGCAGACCTGCATTGCATATCTCTCATTCAGCGAGTTCGAAAGTGGCTTTTGTCAGACAGACGATGAGTTTGAGGAGCGACTACACTCGAACAATCTTTACGGTTATGCTGCAAGATATTGGGGACGTCATGCTCAGTCGGCTTGGACCCTTGGGGAGGAAGTCACTGACCTTCTCGAGAACCAGGCCAAGGTTGATGCATTGAGCCAGGCATTGCTCGCGGTTGGGCACCGAGTGCATTCAAATTACAGCCAAAGTGTTCCGAAACGTATAACAGGGTTACATCTAGCTGCTTATTTCAACCTCGAGGAAGTAGCAAATGCCCTGTTGGAGCGAGGCTCTGGTCCAGATTTGAAAGACACTTACAATCGTACACCACTATTGTGGGCCGCTGAAGAGGGCCACGAAGCAGTCCTCGAAATCCTGCTCTGCAAGGGTGCTGGAGCCAACTTGAAAGATGGATTTGGCCGGACACCACTTTTCTGGGCTGCTCGCCAGGGAAACGAGACGATCGTGAAGATGTTGCTCGAGAAGGACGTTGACCCGGACCAGAAAGATGAGGACGGCGAGTCCCCACTAGGAGCTGCGGCTTACCGCGGGCATGAAGCGGTTGTCAAGCTCCTGCTTGAAAAGGCTGTCGACACTGATGCTAGCTCCCGGTTCGAAGACACACCGCTGTCGTGGGCTGCTTACCAAGGGCATGAGAGAGTCGTCAAGCTCCTGCTTGAGAACGGCGCCGACCCCAACCGGAAGAATTTTTATTATCAAGCGGCGTTGGGGGTTGCAGCAAAGCAGGGGCATGAGACTATCGTCAAACTCCTTCTTGAAAATGGCGCGTACCCGGATGTTATAGATTTTGATAATCGGACGCCACTATCATATGCCGCTGGAAATGGCTATGATACGATTGTCAAGTTACTTCTTGCCGACTACCGAGTCAATCCGGATTCTTACGACGACGGCGGCATGACCCCATTGTCGTGGGCAGCCCAGTCGGGACACGATACTATTGTCCAAATACTGCTTGCCGATAAGAGGGTAGATCCAGAGTCTAAAAACCAGTGGGATCGGACACCACTGTGGTTAGCGACGGCGAATGGGCACTTGGAGGTGGTGAAGCTGCTCCTCGCGAAGGGAGTTCGGTTGGAAGCCAAGGGCGATGAGGAGAGGACGACGGTGTTATCATGGGCGTCTGTGCAAGGACATGACAACATTGTCGAGTTGTTCCTGAAGGAGGGATGCGACCCGAGCACGACAGACAAATTCGGCTTGACACCGCTATCATTCGCGGCAGCTACAGGACGCAAAGCCGTTGCCAAGCTGTTGCTTCCCGATGGCCAAACTTATCCGGATTCTAAAGACAAGTGGGATGGGACGCCGCTATTGTGGGCTATCGTGAATGGTCATACATCCATTAGCGAATTTCTTGTTGAAAAGGGGGCTAAGATGCCACTAGGAGGCGAGTGGAACTTGCGACCGCTCTTGGCGGCGGCACTGGATGAGAATAAGGAAGCTGTCGAGTTACTCTTCTCGGACACTGCCATCGATCTATTAATATCGTGTATCGGCGAAAGGGATCCAGGAATGCTCGAAAGCCTCTATCAAAAACACCCACACTGGCGCTACAGAGATTAACGAGATTGGTATCACTATTTTCCTTAGTAATAGAGCGTCATATGGCTGCACCTTGGCACTTTTGGAGGGCAAAAGTGTATTCACAGGATAGGATTTTCTCTTGAACCACCAAATTCAGGTACCTTCTAAGCAAAGTGCGTAGCGCGATGTGCGAAACTCTAAGTCAAAGTGATTCATTATCCGTCCGCGAAGCTAAATTGGTGGTATCTTACACGTGGGTGTTCGTGAATCGGAAGATTCGAAGTTCGCCAGAAACGGCCGGGACTAGTGTGCTGCTTCCAGCACCACGATATCCAAGCTACATCTGAGTTTGTGTCATTGCCACCTCATCCCTACAGAGTCTAGGCACGCTCACATGTACAGATTACGCAAGGCCTTACATATCAGCAAATCGACACAAGCTTAATCATTATAAAGTTCCTAGGCAGATCTGGGGAGCTTGATATTCATGCGTGACATGAGGATACCTGGTAGCAGGGTTTCCTACCAAAATCCCAAAGCTCGTCAAGCTATAGTACAAGCCAAACCCAGTCCCTGATTCGCCTATGTCAGGCCACAGCTCGACAAATGCTAACATTAGAAGCAAACAAGCCATATGAAACACCAAAGATGAAGATCCCGACCAGCAAACGGGGATTATACCGCAAGAACATGACGAACGCCAGGTTGTTAACAGAGCCGAAGTTATTCCCGACAACTCCCAGAAAGCTTCGTCCAAAGATCGACCCTGTGCTTATGACATAGAGGATGCCAAAGGTGAGGGTGGTTGAGACGTAAAGATACTGTTTGGCATATGAGAGACGACGTAATGGAACGGAATGTAACGACTCGTGAAGCTGAAGAAGAGAGAGAACCAGGTTGATAAAGACGGACTTCCTATTGCCAACGACACTCAAATCTAGCATGGCGCGCAACATGCGCCGTCCTACTAGGTCCGATCGAGGCTAGAGCACGAAGGATAAAAATAATATTGTAAGGGCAACAAGTGTCATGACTCTAAATGCCCAGCTAGACCCAAAAGACTCCAATGCCGCTTTGAAAATGACTGGAATCACTGCACCCCCAAAGACACCACTGTTGGCCAGTATGCCTAGTGGCAAGAAGCCGCTAGACCGCCGTGAACTACTGCGATAATGGCCACACTCGGCAGAAAGAGACATCCAGAGCCGAGCCCCATCTTGCGTTCATTGCGCTTAATATCTACGACGAAAGCGGAAGGATGCGGATGGAATGCACGAGGGCCTTGGTTTATCGAGATTTCACGAGCAGCAAGTGCTGAGCAAAGAGGAGGAGAGAGGCGGACACTGGGTAAGCGGAGAAGGGGGAACAGAGGCAGTAGAGGAGCGAAGGACGCGAGCGGAGGAGGGGAGGAAGTGAGCATGTCGCTGTGAAGTGTGCATTTGACAGCAAGGTAAATCAACAATGCTCACTTATATTAATCGGAAGGACAATTTCACTGTCCAAGGGAAGCTAGAGGAATGTTCACCCTAGCCGTACGCCTTCCATCAATCTCTCCGTCCACCGGCTAGTATGCGGCAGCCTACAGTTTGTGCAGGGCAGAATGAAGTCCAGGAAGGCAGATTGTTCCCTTGTAGTTGAGAGTTCCGTAGGTCACCGAGGGGGGGGGGGGGAGCCTCTGTTCAAGCCTTAAGGGAGATGACGACAGTTGGGTTTTAGCTTGCGCGCGTCTAAGAATCACAACGTCAATATACTAGACCTTTGTTGGCGGTGCTTCGAATTTAGAACCGCATCCTTTACCTGCTGCGTTCCGATGTGCAGACAAGGTCCATCCAAGCCCCTTTTCACAGTTGCGTTAATACCTAGAATGGCATTGATTCCTTCGCATAACCTCCTCGATGCACTCAGCCCTCGGCCAACATCTTTGCGCAGCCCCTAGGTCCTCCCATCATGGCGTGAAGTCGCGCCACATCAGTGCCATAATTAATCTGTTCCTTCACCATCGCCGCCACTCCCTGGATCCTAGTCGCACAGTAAACATCCTCTCTGTCTACCCCAAGTATAATGACAAACCGACATCCCAGTAGCATCTCCAAAACCAGCAATACAGCCAACCCCCTCAAGCCTCGCTCATCTTCTGAGAGTGGCGGTAGAATGGCGGCAGCGGCTCCAGCTTCTGGCGGAGGACCCACGTCCTAAAGTGCCAGACAGCATTCCTTATCTGGTAAGCCATGTGCTTCCTAGTACTGACACTGAAGACCTGGTCGAGCTCCTCAAGGGTAAGGGCCTTCGTCTCGGGCACGAACAGCAGGATCAGGAACCACAAAATGACGCACCAGGCGGCGTACCAGCCAAAGCCGCCCTGCGGCTTGAACACGGTCAGCATGCGCGGCCAGGTGAAGGAGATGATGAAGTTGAAGCACCACGTGGTGGCGGTCGCCCACGACATGCCCACGTCGCGGATGTGCACGGGAAACGCCTCGGCGCTGTAGGTGAAGGGGACGGGGCCCTCGCCGGGGGAATAGAACACCTCGAAGAGGTACATGCCCGTCGTGACCATGGCGACCTTGGTGCGGTTGCCCGTGGCGAAGAAGGACATGCCCGTCCAGAGGAGGAAGATGGCCAGGAAGGGGAAGGTGAAGAGCAGGAGGTTGCGGCGGCCCCAGCGGTCGATTGTGAAGAGGGCGGGGATGGCGAACACCCAGTTCAGGATGCCGGTGCCCATGGAGGCTAGGAGGGCCGAGTTGGTCGAGTAGCCCGACTCGATGAAGATGGTGGTGCTGTAGTAGGCGATGATGTTCACCCCGCAGAACTGCTGGCCGAACATGACGATCCATGTGGCCAGGGTCGCTCTCCGGTTTCGAGGCACGCTGAAGAGCTCGAAGAACTGCGTGAAGAGGTTCTTCCCCTTGTTGATCTCGCGCTCAAGCTCGACGCCGACGTATGTGTAGTAGCAGTCGCGTGCCGCCTGGATGTTGGAAAACCGAAGCCGCTGGAAGGAGTGGAACGCCTTGGCGACCTTGTTGTGTTGTATATACCATCTGTGACAAGGGACGTTAGAAACAGATGCTTCCACAGGACTGCGTGGGCTCGGGCTTGGGGGGTTGAGAATTGGCTTACCTGGGGGATTCTGGGCAATAATAAACCTGCGCGCAGACAATCAGCGGGAGCACCACAGTGCTTCCGAGCATCAGACGCCAGCCCAAGCTGGGGTCAATGCCGGTGGCGGGCCCGAAGCAACTACATCGTTGTCAGCGAATGGCCCAAATTGCCGAGAAAATAATGAGAAAATGCAGCCTTACACTCCCATGATGTTACCAAGCATAATACCAAAAGCAGTCCACATTTGCCATTCTGTCCGCGCACCGTTTAGCTACCCGCTTTGTTCACCGTTGAGCAAAGGAAAACTCACGCATGACCAACGCACCCCGAATCGGGGCCGGAGTACACTCGGCGGCGTAGACGGGCACAGTGGAGGACTTTGGCCCGATTCCGAACCCGAGGACGAACCTCGCGATGAACAAGTTTACCCAGCTGTTCGCGACGCCCTCCCAGATGGACGCCACGGCGGCCACGAAGCACGAGACGAAGATGGTGCCCCGGCGACCCAGCACTTTATTGAGCGGCTCGTTCAACCAGCAGCCGATGAGGGCGCAGCACAGGTAAGGGGCGCCCACGACCAAGCCGGTAAGGCTCTCCTGCATGCTCTTGGAGAAGCGCGTGACCCCGGGCCCCGCGATATCCAGGTCCTTGAGGTACAGCGCCTGCGCGCCGTTGTTGACCGTCTCGTCCATGCCCTGCACGGCCGCGGCGAGCGAGCACATGATGCACAGCCAGTACAGCGTGAAGGGCTGGGACCAGCGGTGCGTGTGCTCGCGCTCGATGACCTCCTTGTCGGCCGCGGAGAGCTCGGGCAGGTCGGCGTAGTCGCGCGGGTTCTGCGCCACTAGAGCGCCCTTGCGGAAGTCGGAGATGTGGTCCATCAGCTCCCACTGCTGGCAGAAGGCCTCGACATCCGCGAGGAGCTCCTCCCGCGTCTTGCCGGCGAGCGGGTTCTCGAACACGGCTGAGAGCTGCTCAACGTCGCTGTTCGCTAGGGAGACGTGCCGGGGCTGCTGCACGTCCTCGACTTTTTGGGTGTCTGGTGACCCCTGATCTTGATCGTGATCGTGATTCGGCTTCTCCATCATGGGTGGCAAAAATCTCGTCGTCGTCCTTTATGGTAGGTGATGTTCTGGGCTGGGCGACCAGAGGGATGGGCTGGATATAAAAGCCGGGCCAGAAGCCTTCCTCCTCCTCCAGAAGAAACGCCCCAATTATTCCCCGCGTGCTCTGCCATCCCGACAATACGAGACGAGACGTCTCCAATTCGAACAACCTAACCTACGCCTCCACCCAGGGTAATTAATGTTAGCCTAAGACCTTCATTTTACAAACCTAGCGAATAGATACTGCTTACTCTTAAGTGGAGCTCGTGGCGTTGACGTCTCAAACTAACGTTTATTACTCTGGTGGAGGTGTACCTTCCTAAGCTTGCTAAGCTGGTTCAAAAGGCGGGAACCCTGTCAGCCTATGTGCCCGGAAGTGGGGAGCCATGCTTCTTCCGGCGGATGTGGCCGTCAGTTTGCGCAATACATCAGCACTAGTGGCCAAGTTTCCTACGCACCAGCGTCGCCGGAAACGTCATGCCGCATGGGGCCCAATAATTTGCATGCCGGCTGGCCGGTTCTCTCGGGAGAGAAGTGGAGAATATTTTATTCCCCGGCTAGTGCGAAGGTAGTGCGAAGGAAGGAAGCGTCATCTGCATGGAAATGCGGGTCTTGGGAATGCCAACAACGAACAAGGCTGAATTTTTGTGGCAAATGCCGTGTTATTTCCCACTACCGAAGCTAGTTGTCCCAACGCCGTACTTCTCATAGATCTATCTATGTAGCCAAGCGAGCCAAGGTAGCCAAGCCTTACCATAGTACTATGTAGGTATTCACATTTTTTGTGCGACAAAGTCGGGGTCTGTGATGTTTGCAGATCTTATGTAACATAACCGTGTTCAATTGGTCGCGTTGCGAGGGATCAGCAAGCAAACGCGCGGAGAGAAACAGTTTCATGCTGATCAGTGAGTGATCCACAAAATCCCCACCTCTCTCGGCCTCAAAAAAACAGCCGAAAAAGCCGAGATCGGCGTGCGAGAGAGAGGGGAACACTCCATTCTGCCTTGCATAACTCTCCATCAAGGCGTTTTTTTTTTGAGGGCACGCGGCGGACTTGTTCTGGCGGCTGCAACACGAGCTGGGTCGGCTGACAGGTGTGTCTAGTAGGACATGGCATTGCTCGAGAGGCTTGGGGCACTATTTGTCGCTCACAACCGTGAAAACGTGCCAGCAACACCTATCAGGCTCTCTCAGACGTGTCATTGGACGTGCGCCGCAGCGCAGGGGAGCGTTCCTCGTCCGTCGTATGCGAGACCCATAACCATACGGTTTGCCTATACGATGAATTCATTCTCCAGTTTTGACGCTAGAAATGCGGGATACTGATATCAAATACAGTTGGAAAAGGATGTCCCAGAAGGTGCCAATTTCAGTTCGTGTGGCTCTGTCCGTCGCTGATTCCACCGAATTCTTAAATACATGGTCCGGCAACCCCGCCTTTGGCGGACCTTCAACCCTAACCTGAACCTCTATTTTCCAACACTTGAGCTGCTGATCCGAGCTATTTGACGAGCAATCTATGCTCGACCGAGTAGGGCAGATTCTGAAGGGGTGCATCTAGTCAAGCTTCCGGCAATCCTTGCCATCGTCCTAGTGGGGAGCCAGTTAAAATTATTATTTACAATGGAAACAGAGGTAGTCTCAAGTTCCTGGCAGGCCAGACAGGCAGTCAAAAATACGTACCATACTTGGCGGCCAAGTCGAGTGGCTTCCGACCGTCGTTGTCCTTCCCTTCTGCATCCGCCCCGGCCGCAAGAAGCTGCTGCAGCACTACCTCATGGCCGCCCATGGCCGCCCAGTGAAGCACGGTCCAGCCGTTATTATTCCTTGCGTTAACATTGGCTCCGGCCGCGAGAAGCTGCTGCACTATGATACAGTGGCCGTTAACGGCAGCTAAAGAGAGAGCCGATCTTCCCTCCCGACTATCCGTTGCATCTGCATCAGCATTGGCCTCGAGAAGCTGCTGCACCACCGCATCGTGGCCACAGTTGGCGGCCCAGTGAAGCGTTGTACAACCGATATCATCCTTGGCGTTGACATCGACCCCGGCTGAGAGAAGCTGCTGCACCACCGCCTGATGGCCTCTCATGGCAGCCAAGTGAAGCGCTGTCCAACCATTGTACCTCTCGTCTGCATCGGTGCCGGCTCGGGGCTCTTTCCAGGCGTACTTTTCTTTCGCGTTGGCATCAGCTCCGGCCGCCAGAAGCTGCTGCACTACCATGTCGTGGCCTTTACCGGCGGCGTTGTGAAGCGCCGTCGAACCAAATCCGTCCCTCGCGTTGACATTGGCCCCAGCCGAGAGAAGCTGCTGTACTACCGCCAGGTGGCCGTTGCCGGCGGCCCAAGAAAGGGCCGACTTCCCATGTCGACTGTCCTTCAAGTTCAGATCCGCAAACACTTCCTTGGGTAGCCGATCCACCACCTTGCTAAGCCCAAAATAGGCAGCGACCAAAAGCGACGAAAATCCCTCCGGCACAGCCTCCCCCGGCACAGCCCTTGTTACCACTATTCGAAATACCTCAAACCATGCCTGGGAAGCCTGTATATGCGGGTGGCAATAAGCTACAGCTTTCTTGATCGCCCAGTCTCCGCCATTCCAGCCACCTTCGCGGAAGTGATCGGCCCAGTACTGCGCTGAATAACGCAGAAACGTGCGATCATCGATGTACTGATCTGGTTCCCCAGTTGCCTGAAGGCTCCGAAGGTTAAAGTCCGATAAGGAGAGCCGACAAATGCAGATTTCGGCAAGGATGCGATGAGATTCTTCGGAATGAAGCGAATACTTCCACTGTAGCGTCGAGCTGGTAGGGCTAGGAGTTGCCAAGGGCGACGACAATAGCGGGGGAACCAAAAACTCGCGGGCAGTTTGATGAAGCAAGTAGATCCTTGAGTCAACCACCACTACAAAAAGCCCACAGCATTGCCTGATGTTATGGCGGATACGGTCTTCTGGCCCTAGCTTGAGATCGCCGAAGGATCGATGATGGGGCTGCATCGCCAAAGCCAAGGCCATCTCCTGCAGAGTAAGAGGCCTCGCTGCTGCGACGACGATATGGAGGAGCTTCCTGGCGTGCCCAACATCTGGACTCTTTGACAAGATCCTGTCGTATGCTGCATCAACCGTTTTCGGGATCGTCTTCACTATCGTCCGAATATCTTCTGACCCGTCGATAATGCTGCCGGTTATGATGTCGAGGATGAGATGCACCCAGAGGTAGGTGCGATTCGGAGCCAGCGTAAGTTCCTCTCGAAGAACGTCGCGCTCTTCTTGGAGAAGCCCGAGCCTTCCACCAACATCCGCCACGCTGCTTCCTACGACCAAGTCGATCTCGCGAGAAATCTTATCTACCTCCTCTTGGGTCTCCCCACTTAGGTGGATCATCGGCAATTCGCGTTCTAGAGGATATAATCCTCTCTTGATATCCAGGTAGGGCCGGCTAGTCAAGAGAAACTTCAATGCAGGCCGAGTCGTCGCTGTTCCTGAGTAGAATTTGCTGACAGCCTCGAGAAACTGATGCCGTCCTGAAACCTCGCATTCGTCTAGGGCATCAAGGATGCAGACAATCTCACCCCCCTTGTGGCCAGTTGCGACGGAAATAAGCATATCCCAGAGGTCGTGGAAGGACGCTAATCGTTTCTCTCCATCTTGATCAAACTGTTTGAGGATTTGGTCGGAGAAAGAAGAGGGATGCTGAATGAATATCTGACGCAAAATACAGCAGAGAGCGGTTGTTGAAGATCTCTGGTCTTCGAAGTTGTCCTTGAAGAAGAAGTAGCAGGTTGTTCTCGTAGTCGTGCTGGGTAGCACCTCGTCTGCCAGGAACTTAGCCAGCACCGATTTTCCGCAGCCCGGGTCAGCAGATACCCAAAGCAGGCTAGCTGCATTGCTCTCCCACCATTGTAGGAAGAGCGGATGGTTCGTGAACCACTCGCATGTCCCTGCTACTCGTGGCGGATTTAGATCCTTGCGATCTCTGTATGGACAAGCGAATAGCTTTCGGAGCCATTCTAGCCGTTTTTAGCGAAAGATGTTCAAGACATAGGTGACAACCCGAGACCGCTAGATATACCTTGGCGTTTCGGAGTATCGTCGATCTCCTTTTTTAGCCGCCGCATTGCATTTTCCACCCCTTCGCCGTAGATCAGCGGTATAAAGACACCGAAAACCCCTAAGAGACAGTACACCATATCTTCCGCGCGCGTGGTTAGGCGTGTCTCTGTCCATGAGAATCGCTCATCGACACTAAACTGAGAAAGTGGGGTTCCTTGAAGCGCAGGAGTTGGTATCCCTGTTATCTCGTGAATATGCTGTTCGAGGGATCTCTTATCGCCCAGTCGTGTGCCTTCCTGCGTGAAGAATCCGACCGAAGATGGCGCAAGAAGCTCTTGGAGCGTCCAGCCCCTGGTAAACCACCGACTCGCTCGAAAGGCCAGGTCCCACGAGAGGTCAGGTTGGGCATTTTTTGGCAGAGCGCCGGTGATGGAAACATCTGACAGGTATGCATAGCATCGAGAGGCATTGCGGTACCATCGAAACATGGAATTTATCGCCTCATCGAGCTCCGCCTTGTTCGATTTGTCGATACAGCAGGTGTCAACCCAAATGTATCGCAAGCCATCACGCCCTGCCTGTTCTGCACAGAATTTGATCTTTCCATAGCCTGCCTTGCCCTTGCCGGTATCACCTTCCATATCTTTGAAGGTGACCTCTTCGGTGTTGTCTGCGCTCCATGTATGGGATAGTATTGCGTATGGGGGGATTTTGTCGTTGAATAAGGTCTCACTGAGGCTAATCTTGCCATCATCGCCGCAATCTAGTAGTCTCATTGCTGCGTGGAGACCGCCGGTCGGATGGCGAATGTTTTCTTGGACAGCGGATTGTCTGGCGGTTTGATGTTGTTTGCAACGTGAGCTCGACTCGATACGGCGCTTTGCGATGTGGATAGTCTTGCTTGGACTGTATTCCTTCTGCTAGGATCTGCTCTTTTCACGCCCTGCCGTCTTTACGATCTTGTGTTTTCTCTGAAAATAGCGCGGGGTATCACGCGGCTGCTAACGCAGCGACGGGACGCGTCTTGTCGAGCTGTCTCGGGTGATGGCTATTTTGGTACAGTGCCAAGATAGATCACGTTATTAGTAGATAAGATGTTTTCCTGGGCTTCTGTATCGAAATTAAGATGGAAAGTGAGCTGCCGAAGTCGCGTGTGGTGGATTGTCGGAACGGATAGATTTATTTCTGTTCTTTGCTGCCTTAGGCCAACCGCCCCGCCATTTGTGGCTGCTCAATGCGGGTGGCGTTTGTGGGGCTTCGCTGGGTCGTCCCGCGGCTGTGATAGAGCACAGACAGTACGAAGAAGCTCGTCCGAGACCCAATAGGCCTAAATGCAATGCAAAATCTCGGGAAACCACTACCAGCAAAGACATATTAAAGACAGTGACTTGATATTGAGGAAGCCTCCAACAGATTCCGTACAAGAGAAGTGGCCTCCCAAAACAGCGACCAAAGGATGGTCCGAGAATAGGGCCTGACGACACGTCGCAAGAGAAGCGAGAGGAGGGACGAGATGGAGCCTCATGATCACATGAGAAATCAGGACATAACGGCCCGTGTACCAGCCAGATTCAAGGCTGGACAGAAATTGGGTTAGAATGCCCCGCATCCCAGCTCCGAATCTAGAGTCTAAGCTTATTAGAATCATACCTTCTGGATATAATTACTCCTAACTAGGCAATTACCCATTGTTGAATCGTCTGCCTCTAAGTTGCTTGTCCTTTTACGTGGTTATATTGTTGTTATCTCTCCCTACGTGTCTCTTCCTTCCCGCGTGAACAGTTTCCTGGTGAATCTACCTGGAAAGAGGATCGTAATGGTAAGTTATTTTCAGTTAACGGTGAGGTAATTAGTAATTATGACAGGACATCACAATCACATAATCAAAGTTGCTTCTCCCTCTTATTCACTGCATTGGAACTTGATCTGAAAGGAAAACAGAACTCGACTGTGAGTTGTATTCGGCAGCTTTCCATTCCTCCTATGTCTTCCTCTCTCTACCTGCCAAGAAACCACCTGTTTCTATGCTGTCCTATGTTGCGCGTAATCATCCCTTTTTTTTCCCACCCTTTTCTATTTGCTTTCCGAACAGACTCTGTCAGATCCAAAACTACCTGAGTCTTGGGCCTTGGAATGAAAGTTAAAAAAAGAAAGCCAGTCTAGACAACCACCAATGCAATAGGAAAATCAAAGCCAATGATACTGTACCTCTCCTGTAAATTCCTCACCTCCAATTCTTCTCCTGTTTGCAGCGACAAATCTCATGGCCTTGCGCCTCTAGGACACATTCCCCTAGTAAAAATACTCACCAGTGTCAGCGTCATAACCCTTCGGGCGCGGCTTCTCCCAACGCTCCTCACGTCGCTGCCGTCGAGACTTGCTGGAAGTCGGAATCGGCGGACTAATCGGTGAGACGGTGCGAATCGGAGAGACCATGGTGCTGACCGGCGAGACCTCAGTCTGAATCTGTTGTCCGAGATCGACCTCGAAGTATCCCGGGTGGTCGTTTGAGCCCGGCACATAGGTGGCACCGGTTTCTGCGGTACCAGGACGCTCATGGACGATTCGGTCCGTTGGCGCGGAGGGAGCCCCGTTCGCGTGGCTGCGACTGTTCTCTTGGGCCGGCACGCGCCTGACCTGCTGCGTCCAAGCCGGCGGAGCCCTGCGGTTGTCGGAGCCCTCGCCCCAGTTCATCCTGCGAGGCGAAATTCTGTATGCCATGCGAGGCTGTTCCGGGACGTTATTCTGCCTTGGTCCGGGTGCCGCCTGAGGACCGGGGTGCTGGCGGGGCGGGGAGCGACGAGTGGTTGCTTGCCTGCTCATCTCGATGCCTTGCTCGACGTCGGCTGGCTTTCGGCCTTGGCGGCGTCGGATGCATGGCCAAAAGACCATGAAGAAGATGAAGAGGCCGAGGGTAGTGGCTAGGATAGCCACTGCGATCTTGAAGCTCGTGTTCTCGTCTCGGGCAGCCTTCTCCGGAGAAGGGTGGCCGGTTGGCTTTGGCGGCGCCGCAACCGTGGTCCCCAGGTCTGGGTTGGCGGGGGTTGCTGTTGCAAGGCTCATGATGATGGCTCTAAGTGTTGTCGGTCTCGATGAGGGATGAGGGTCTGGATGAGATTCCATTGAGGGAAGGAGCAACCCATATTTATACCCCGATGTTTCTCAAAACTGTTTGCAAATGAGGGGAGCATCGAAGACATTGTTCCTGTCAAAACCTTGTTGTGCGTGAAAGAAGAGCACAATGCCTTTGTTGTCGTTGTGCATTACAAAGAGTACAATTGTAGTCGCTGGAGGTTACAAAGAATGCAACTGCCATTGTCTCCAGAAGAGGGCAATTGTTTCATAACAATTCCTTTGTTCTCACAACGTTAAACGAAACACGAATCTAATCGCGGCTATTCGTAAACAACTAACTCCTGCAAGAAGTTTGCATAATACTCACTGCGTCTGTTTCACTCTCTTCTTTTTTTATCTGCGTCTGTAATTAATTATCAAAAAGAAGCGTGTGAAGAAAGTGCTGTACCCTACCATGGCAGGAATTTCTACAACAGACAGACTTTTGCTAATCACCCCGCAGCTGTGAGTGACCTCTTGCGCTGCAGTCCCCGTAGATAATTCCTTGTACATCGCCTTGGCTATTTGTGTTGGTATTGTGTCGCTACCTCCAGCAGGGATGTCTTGAGATAAGGCAACCAATTGAAAGGCAGCATGGTGTTTGACCCTGCTAAAAAGTCTCAACAACAGCGCTGTCCAAAACAAGTCCCTAATTAATTATCACCTGCAACTTCTTTTCAAAGCTTTCGCATCGCGACTACCACTCTTCCTCTCAATATCTCCATTACAGATGGGACTTGATTCTGCATGTATTACCGCTTGGGTAGCTGATGTTCAATCAGCCTAATCCTGACGACGACATGTGACCACGAAGCCATCGCAAGGGTTGCGCAGCGAGCTAGTGAGCATCCCCAAGTTTCCAACTCATAATTCCCCCGGAATCAAGCAACCGTAGTCAAGGCGAAGAACAACATGACGATAGCGTGCGGAGGAGTCTGCAAAAACGCAAAGTTGTTCGATCGAGCCTAACCCCTGTGCGCGACGCCGAGGTCTTCGCGGTGAAGGTGACGGATAAAGCTGCCTCGCAAAGCGATCCGGTTCTCGACCCTAGCCACCTCGGAGAAGCCAAGGAAGGAAATATGCAAACACCTTGAGCCTCAAGGCGGAAAGCAACAACGACCCATTTACGAGTCACTCCACAACAATCTCTGTCGAAAGATGTTGCGACCCTCTTCTCCACCCAGCTTCGCATCAGAGGCCATACCTCATCCATTCGCGCCCCGACTATCTCCTCAAGCACAAGTCACACAAGTCGCACAAGCCAGACACTGTCCTCGAGTCCCGTGAAACGTCCGGACGCTCTGGATATGCTAGAGCGGCCTGTTCGCTGGATACAACAAGACCTGGTACAGATGCGACAGACTATGACAAAAAGAGGCGGGACGGCCAACCTTTCCCTTTTTCAGAGGATCCAGCGCATCGCCCGGTTCGGAGGTGGACATCTGCCTCTCGAGAACAAGGCGTACTGAAGATGCTGTCTGCCCAAATGTTGCTTAAGGTTTAGAGCCCTCGCCCGTCTTTAAATAAGGAGTGTCGTTTGCAACGTACTCAGAATAAGAAATTCCATTGTCTTCCCCAAGCCTGTCTTTGGCGTAAGTTTCTTACTGGGCAACCCTGCCTCAGCACCCGGGCCTCGGAGAAGCTAATAATCAAGCTCTCAGCAGTCGCAGTAGAGGAATCCATTATCAGCAACATGGCCAATTTCAACAGCCCGCCAATCCGCATCCGCACCCGCGCCACCACCGCGACCGCGACCGCTTGGCCAGGCGGCCGCCGAGGAGGAGGTACTATCCCGGATCTAAGGAGCTGACCGTCCTCGCCAAGGTTATGAACATCGCCGTTGCGGCGCTGGAGCGGAAGGAGTGGGAGGCTATCCGCCGCCGCATCGTCTCGAGCCTCGAGCACTTGCTCGACAGGCTAGTGTCCGACAGCATTGCCCAGAAGTCGTTTGGCGTTGACAGGAGGTGCGCCTGTATCGTGTGGTCCGACGAGGTCCGCGAGGCCTGCATCCCCGAGGGCTGGCTTGGTGATCTTGCTGCCAAAGTCAACGACGGTGCCGTCAGGGGTAGTCAGAATGCCCCAGATGCTGCCGCCGGCGGGGCCGGGCCAATCTCCAACCCGATGCCGGAAACCTCTCTGGGGCCATTGTCGGTGCCATCGCCGGGACCGTTGGCGCTTCCAATACCGCGCCCACTCCTCCAGCAACGCAGGCAACAACCCTGGCCTGTGCCCCGTGGACAACACAGGGTCTGGTACCCGAAACGTCGCTAGCGCAATCGCAGGCACCAGCAAGCAGAATCGCCGGGCCCAGCACTGGGAATCCTTGCAACCGGAGCCATTGGCATTGGGGCCTGGGACATTTGGTTCCTGCTTTGCCCCTGCTGGGAGGACAGGATTGTTTGATGAGCGGTATCGCTGAGCCCATCGAAGAGATGTTGGTCAGAAACAAGGATCTTGTCGAGAGCTGTCTTCCTTGTTGTCTGTGTGTTAGACATGGGAATGCTTGGTTAGCCCGCGCCATTAGGTCTTGACATTGCTTGATCACTCGCATAATCTCCATGTAGTATCCTGTCGCGGCAATGGTTTAGTTTTGCCAGGCGTTAGAAACATAGCCTTGAAGTGAATGTGGACGGGGATGGAGAGTAGTTTGTAAAGTGCATTAGTATCAATGCTGATAAACGATTGTTATGAGTATTCTCCCATCGCTTAAGATGATCACCAAAGTATACCAACTGCTTAACAGGCGTGGGATATAAAGCGAGTGCTAACTAGACACAAGGCATCCTTCTTGTACCATCTTATAGTTCGTCGCCTCCTTTGTCGCCTGGTTCCAAAAACGCAACCAAGTGGGTCACACCAGCGAGTAGCAAGAGCTGCCTTCTCTTCGCTGCGATATTGCCGTGGACTGGAACCCATAGCGCTTCGAGAATCGCGTCAACCTGAGGACCTGTCCTTCCACTCAGCCGCAGACTCCTCGGGGCATTTCTTCGATCCCAAAGCAGGATATAAGTAAGATACTTGAAGGCAGAGGGAACTCAGTGTACTCCATGTAAATCAGCATAGCAGCAAATCATCCCGCTCCTTAAGCTAGCGATGAATCTGATAGGGCTCACGCAACCGAGTCATCTCCCGCTAAGTCCCCACTCGCCGGCGTCTGCGGGTATTATTCACGTGGCGATAGAATGGCAATCCCATTCGGTGTCCCTAATCTACTACCCTAGGGCATCTTCCGAGTAACTTCCGTTTCTTGTTTAGAGCATGCTGGTATGGTAATTCCCAGTGGGGGTCCCGACGAAATCCCGGCACAAGCACCAGCACTGCTATATCACCAGGTCAGATACGAGAGACGCCACGTCAGGCGAGAATGCCGACACCAAAGCGCCACGCAGTAGCTAGACACCAGAGTAGACAACACCACCCGCGACTAAAATTGCAGATTCTTTTGAATGGCAATGGGAATCCCCGGCCGTCACGCGATCAGGCCTCCTCCCCTCCGCCTCCCTCCATAGTGCGCGGCTCTGCGGGGTGTGTTTTGACACTATCGGAATAGCTCTCCACCATGATCAACACTTGCGCCACGACCAATGCCATCCTAACAATGCAACTCTTGTCCCAGCACAGACGATGCAGAAGAGTATTGGCATGCTCTCGAATAGCAACGCCGGCGATGCTATCAAGGGGTTAAGCCTCTTATTCATTAACTACTATTTCTCAATCCTTCCCAAGGAAGCCCAGAACAACTTCCTGGCACCTCTCCTCTGGCCCCACGTGGATTTCGTGTCCTGTAGCATCAATCAGCTTAAGCTATGCCCCGAGACTCTGAAAGCCAGGTTCTGCATCATCTCCATGGTTAGCATGGCGGGCGCTAATAAGCATCAGTCCCATGATCTTCTCCACAAATAGACACAAATAAAGCTGACATAGAAACTGCCCATAACCTGCTAGGCCGTCACCGTGCGCCTGGTCAACACACCAGCCGACATAGTCATCCCGATCCGGAATAGCAAAAGAGCCCCGGGCGCACAGGCCAGACCCATCCGCGGGCACCGACAAGCGGCGGGATAGGTGCTGTTCCCTAAAGGCAAGCATCCGCTGGGGGAGATGGATTGGCGAAGAGCACACACACATTGAGCAAGCTTAGCCCAGGCGCTCCCGGAAACTTGCCGCCAGCGCTTTGCTGGTCGTCGAGTCGCCTGGAAAATGCACTTTCTGGATCCGAATCTGGTCGAGATGCTGTCGAGCGACTGACTATTCGTGATTATGTCGGGTCGGTGACCATTGCCGCGATCACTTGGTACTCTCGAGATAGTGCTGGGATTCAACGGTAATTGCCGGTGGGCTGTGGGCTGTCATGCGGTATAAAGAGGATGATCTCTTATGACTTCCAGGGATCGGTAGAGCTGTTTTCCTATGTAGTGGGTCCTTTGGTCGTTGGGATGTAATTACTATGAAGCTGTTCCCGACTTCGCCCACGGTCAGAGCCATTCACTGTCTTGGGAGAAGTGGCTGTCCAGCCACACCTCCCATTTTTTGCTGCATGTGGGGAAGGATTCTTGTTTCGTTTCCCCCACATATTCGAGGAGACGCCAAGATGTGGAGTAATTAACCAGGTTATGTGAGTTTAAAAATAGCAATGCGCTCGGAATTAATTAATTATTAAATCTCAGCATATACATAGTGTAGCTATTCAGCATGTGTCCTGATATTGAACTTCTCCAGCAGGTTGTGACGGTGCCACATGCTGCGGTACCGCTTGCCGAATATGAAAACAACAGGCGTAGTGAGAGTCAAGAAAAGGCTCACCCCCCCAAAGACATAGAAGACCTCGGCCGACCCAGCACGCGCCGTCCAGTCGTTGGTGAAGTAGCTGAAGGCGTAGAACAGGATGTTCTTGAACATCATGCCCGCGATGAAGATCTCGCTACTCATGTCCCGATACGCGTCCAGCGCATACGCCGCCGTGGAAATGGTCGCAAAGATGACCCCGAACAAGACGATGCCGTGCACCGTCGCCGTGGCGTAGTAGCTGATCCCCCTCTCGCACATGACGCCAAAGGCCATGAGCGCGGCGCCGGCGAGAAGTGACCCGACCATGGGGAGCAGGCGGTACTCGGGCTCGTAGACGCCCTTGTTCCGGGTCGTCGCCCACCGGATGGTGGGATCCAGGACAAAGCCGAGGAGAATGGAGGCGATGACGCTGCCGATGAAGGGGCCCAGAGAGAGGTAGCCGATGCCCGCGGCCTGGAGGTTGTAGGGCGGCAGGGAGAAGATCTGGGCCAGCACGTACGCCTGCACAATGTATGCGGCTGTGATGGTTCCCGAGACGATGACAACCCAGAGGACAGCCAGGTTGGTGCAGACTGCGAACGGGGCGAGGATGAGCTGCAGCATGTTTTCGTCCGAATAGGTACCTGTGAAGATGGCCATCTGCTGCACGAAGGTCTTGGGAGCTGGGATGGGCCTGTTGGTGGTGGTGGTGTCTGTCGTGTTCCCTGCCTCTTCGATTTGCGATCCCTGTTTGTTTCCCTTTTCTCCGGCAGCCAGATCTTCGAGGTTGTCATTGGCTATTTCATCGGTGTTGTATCGCCGGTCTCGGATATAGCTGGTCTCGGGGCAGAAGAGGATGAGGAGGATGAACTGTGCCCCAACGAAAGCGATGAGGATGTGGAACAGGTATCTCCATCCCAGATTTGTAGTGATCACGCCGCAGATAATCGACGTGAAGTTGGAAACCCCGCCAAGAATGAACTGAATCCCCGACATGTAGATACCACGCTGATGAACAAAGTACAAGTCTCCGACAGCAGCGACGATGAGAGACTCGTAGGCGCTAGTGGAGCCTCCTTGAATGATGCGGGAGGCGAGAAGACCATTATAGGTAGGCAATGCAGAGCCGACGATGGTACCAAGGATGGCAAACGCTGTCGAGATGATGAAGCAAGGACGCTTGCCCCATTTCCGCGAGCAGGCAGAGACGATGGGGCCTGAGCATGCGACGACGAGGAGCTGGTAGCCCGATATCAAGGTGATGTTGCCGATGGGGACGTTGAACTCCTGAGAGATGTCAAACATGCCAGCATTCAGCAATGGGCCCATGGTTGCCGCGTTGAGGATCGCGCCGAGCCCGATGATGAAGATGTTGATGAATTTCTTGGTCTGGGACCAGTTCAGTGGGTCGTTCGGGTCGTCGCTCGGCTGCGGCGCCAGGACGATATGCGCATCCTTTCCAGTGCCATGCTTCAGGCCGGAAGTGAGATTCTCGGATTTCGCAGCCTCTTCGTTGAGGATGACTGTTCCCGGGACATGCGGGAGTTTCTTGTCTTCGAGAATGCCGAGAAACCCCATGATTGCGATTGTAAGCCTAGTAAAGGTGAGGTCGGGACCGACGGTGAGGACGGTCAGGAGAAGGTTGAGGAGGGAGGGAGCGAGTCTCTGGCAAACAGGAGCCTGTGCACAAAAAGCGAGGTAATCAATCGAATGAGATGGAGATAATGGGTTGTTTTCTATAGAACCAAACATTGCCCCTGTTTCACTGCAGTGCTTCTCAACAACTGCCGGGCAGAGGCTCCCCCACATCTAGTGCTGCCCTGTCTGGGATTATCTTACAGGGATTACATGTGCTAGTCTGATCCTGGGACTACTGAAGACGCTAGTGCGGGGTTTCAGTGGAACTAGATGTGGGGAGATTCACTAGGCCAACGCAAGATAGGACAAGACTGCGGGGAAGTGGGCCGAGAGTGCGGCGCTAAGCAAGCTGGGGCCACTTATTAGGGATGGGTGTGTGGGGTTTGGTTCGATTTGTCGGGAGATCGGCAGTTCAGGCATCTTCGAAGCCGCCGCCGACGATGCTGGCCGCCGCGCTCGCGCCGTCTTGCATGGCCTGCGACCCGGGCTACCGACACATCAATTGACACCGCCGCCGCCTACGGGTGCGAGGCAGACGTCGGCGAGGGGATCTGCAACAGCGGCATCCCCGTGACCAGCTCTCTTGCCATAATTACCTTCCGTCCGTGGAGCCGAGTCAGCTAGGGAGACCGCAGCCAGCACTTTCGGACCTCCCAAGCTCACTCGCTGGGCCGACGGTTCGGTTCTGTGACCTAATATCCTCGTCGGACTGGTGGCGGCCGTCCTCTAACAACCTTGTGTAGGCTTGATTGCGCTTCTGCATACGATTTTGAGGGGTATGTAAGCAGCCTTCACATCTGCATCTGGGACTTTCTGCTACTACAATACATACTCTATCACGTAAGCTGCCATTACCAAGACCTGTGCAGTGTCATGGCCCTTATAATTCAGTGCAGGAACGGCCAAAGTGATTGTACTTGTAGCAGTTGAGTTTCAGAGCCTCGACCAAAAACGAAAGCGGGGATTGCCCAAGGCGGAGAAGCTTTAGCGTCATCGTGGGATTACTCAAGTATGTCTAGATCATGCAGTACTTAATTAGGCCTTAGTCACCCTCCCTGTCCTCTGCAGAGGCTCTGTTTGCCCCACTCCCCCCTCCTTCTCTCCTTCCCCTCTTCCGCTCCTCCCCCTTTCTCTCCTTCCCCTCCTTCCCCTCTCCTGTCCTTCCACCTTCCCCTCCTTCCCCTCTCCCGCTCTCCCCTCCTCCCGTCCTCCCCTCCTCCCCCACCTGAGTTACCGAGGAGTTGGCGATACCCCTTAATGGACCCAGCTGAAATCCGGGGACCTGGTTGAGCGGGCATTAGCTGCTAGCTGAAAAGAGAGGTCCATTTAGATTTACGTCCTAAACCAGGTTTGTCTATGCTACAGAGTGGGCAGCACCAACGTCTTACTCAGCACCTGTAAATTATTGATAACCATTAGCATCTTGCCTACAATGGCTGTTACATTGGATCATCCTCTGGCAACTCAACTGTTCCCCTCTTTGAGAGAGAATGGTACATTCCCCACCCCAATGGACAATTTTCCCACCACTATCTTGACCTCTTTAGCACACGTGACTGATCAGGTCCTCCTGATCAGCCCAATGCGTCTCGCTGTCATGAGCTCTTTTCAATAACGTAAGGAAAGGAAACGCCGGCGGTGTGATCCATTAAAGTGAAGGCGTAGGGAGTGAATAAAGTACATACAATCTCAACTGTGAAACTCCCCAACCCCCTTAACCTTGAACGTAAGCCTTGCCGACAATCATAGCTGCAGGTGCTTCCATTTCCTCCTTCCATGAGCACTGCTCTTTCTCGACTCCTCCGTCTTCGCGTTGTCTGTCCTTGATACTTCCTCGGTTTGCTTGGGGAGTGCAGCCCAGAAGTTCGAAGCTGCTGGATCAACCGAGCTGTTGACGGGCGACAACACCTGGCAGAAAGGTGGTGCTTGATTGGGAGAAGCTGTCTTCGATGAAGGCCGCTCCGATTCCGATTGTCCGGCTTGCAACCAATCTGAGTTCGTGGTACGACTCCGATCGCGGGTTGTCTCGTGTGATTTCAGGGGAGGAAAGGGTGGTGGAGCCGTATGTGCAACACGTGGCGAGCTGGCGGCCAAGCTTTTTGCGAGGTGTTGCGCCTTTTCAGGAGTCCAGACACTACTGCTGGTTGTGGGTTTGGAAGTGGGTATGCCGAGAGTAGGGCCGCCGTCAAAGTTAAAGTGGCTTGAACAATGTCTGCTGGCATAAAACATTAGTACTGGCCCTGTTTGCTTCTCTGGTGTTGGAATAACGCGTTACTTAGCAGAACCCAGTTTCGTTCCCGCTTTCGGATTGTGCCGGAATCTGTTCTCCAAGGTTTCCTCCACTTGGACGCTGGATGATATATAGCAGCTCGCCGCCATGTGTATGACCTGATCCTCAGTCCACGTAAACATTTCTCGAACTTGCTTGAATGGGTGTCTCTCTGCAAGCTGCCAAGGCGACGGGGCATTTGATGTGATGTTTGGATCTGCCTCGAACTTGTCAAGGTGCCTCAGGGTTGTAATGACATCCTTCTCACGCCCCAGCTGGGTCTGTCCTAGAACCTCGATGAGTGGCGTTCTTCCGTTTATGTCTAAGACATTAGTGTCTGCCCCTCCTTTCAGCAAGGCATCCACCATCCGTGGGAAGGCATATCGACAAGCAACGTGAAGAGCTGTTGTTTGGTGAGGCAAGAAAACGATGGGATTCGTAATGTAGGAAGTCCGGTCTAGGAGGGCCTGCGCGATGTCTCCGTGTTCCTGAACCAAGGCGTAGTAAAGCGGAGTGTATCCATCGTCGTTGGGAAGTGAAGGATCGGCTCCACTCTTAAACAAAAGAAACACCACTTCCTTGATGCCACTAGCACACGCCATGTGAAGAGCTGTCTGGCCGCGATGATCACAGTCCAGAGAGCGCCAGCATCTATGGCTACACTTATGGATTCTTGATGTGGTAGTTCGAAGCTGAACTTGTGCCCCAAATTTCAGCAGCTCTGAGACTGTTTGCATGATCATCGACCACCAAATCACCTCGGTATCCTCAGCTCCATGTTGCAGGAACCTGGACATCTTGGTGTGGGGTATGTAGTACTGGCTCACTCTCTCGAACATTTGCCACGGCAGTCTTCGCACCAATGCAGCATGGAGGGCAGCAATGCCATAATTCATCGCATTGGCATCGGCCCCCCTGGCTAACAGAAAGCGCGTTGTTCTTGGCAGAGCGTAGCTGGACGCAATACGGAGAGCGGAGTCAAGGTCTCTTTGGCTGCTTGTCTGGGATTGACTAATAGTCAAACAGAGGGGCGTGAGGTCTGGGTAGTCTCCCAGACTTTGGTCCATATTGGCTCCATGCTTCATCAAATGTGCTGCGACTTGAGGGGCGTCCGCCAACAGAGCAAAGTGGAGGAAGGTAACGCCGCTGAGCAAGATACTGTCCATCCAGGATGTATACTTCGTTGGAATATATCTATAGGGACCGAATCAGCCGACGTAAAGCTAACAGACGACTTACATACCCCCTAACATTCAGCTCGTCGGTTCTGAACATGAGCCACTGAATGATGTTGGCCGAGTCATGCCGCAAAGCATGAGAAAATAGGCGGAGAAGATAGTCTTCGTTGCAAAGATATCTCGCAGACGACCGTTGCTTGAAGCAGAAGCCAAACAGATAGTCGAAAAACAACCAGTGGAAATGCCGATTTAAGCGACTGAGGGAACTGATATCCCAACCAGAATCGAGATGTCGCCCGATGCCCAACAACAGCTCGTTAGGCAGCTGGCTCAGGTAGTCCATGCTTGCTGCGCCTGTGAAAGGCATGGAAGGGGCTTGGTTTAACCACTTGAGACCAAATACAGCTCAGTTTACTTGGAAGCTAAAGAGGAAAAGAGGGGAAATTTCAATCGGGCCGTCCATGGCTGCCCGATTTCAACGGTGCATGCGAGCACGTGCTCGCGTGGGGGTGTTACGCCCCGAAGGAAGGAAGGCCCGGGCTAATAGAATCTCCGGCACCCCACGTTCGGGGTCCGGGAAAGCCTGGTGGCTGAGACCCCGACATAAAGTGGCTTGGAGTAATCAACGCAAACGCGGTCCCCTATTGGAAGGCCCTTAGTAATGAGTACGGTCCTGCCCTGCGGGGCAAGGAACGTTCAGCTGGCCTGGTCAAGTAAGGCAAACCAACCGTTTGTTTCACCAGGTTCGTCAACAGGGGAACCTCTGGGTCTTCTGGCCTCCTTCTCGTCCCGGTTCTTACAGACGCATCTTACCGCTTTCGACTATCCATGACCCTGTCAGAATATTCTGTTACAGCATATGCTTTGATTGGCAACCGTATGGTCCTTGGAGACACATCTCACTAGCTTCTCCCTTGCCTGTAAGGTTGTTACCGAAATAAAAATAGCAGCAATCATGTCAAATCAATGGAAATACTCGAAGTCTGTGTTGGCATCTTTGGAAAATGCATCTAATGTAGCGATATGATCGAGTTGCCCAGGCAGGCAAAAAGGGGGGGGCATGAGACACACGTTGCAATCACGAATTAACTAATAGACTTTTGGAAACACCATGGGACAGTCTTTTTCTGCTTTTCCAGAGCATCCTCCGAGTACCCATTGTGTCCTTGGGGATGCTGGTATGGTAATGTCCCGAGGGGAGAAAGCAAGGGGGAGAGATATGGTAAACAGGAGACACACTCTGCAATTACAACTTAACCACTAAAATTTTGAAAATTCCACTGAACCGTCTCTATCTACTGCTCAAATTCAATCTCCGAGTACCCTTTTTATGTGAGGACGCTTGTGTGGTCGTGCGCCTTATGTATTTGTTTAAATTTTAGGGGGGGGGGCTTAGCATGAGACACACTCGGCAATTACGACTTAACCAGTTGACTTTCAGAAACGCCATTCAATGTCCCTAGTCTACTGCTCTAGGGCATCTTCCAAGTAACATTCATTTCCGTTTTATAGCATGCTGGTGTGGTAATCCTCAGGGGTTCTGCAACCAAAGCCGGCACTGGAAAGCATCAAGTGTGCAGTGCGACGCAGGGACTATACCGGGAAAATAGTAATACCAAGCGACTCGGTTTGCTCTGATTGCTCAAGTCCTCTCAGAATCTTCAGATAACCGATTTGGTGTTGGGAAATTGACTATCTTAGTAGTAATTAGTAGTGTAAGGTCTCCAACCTAAACTCCTTAACATATGAAGTATCAGATACGATGCAAGGGTCCAATTGGTAGAAGAGTAGTACCATGCGACTCAGCCTGATCAGAATGCTTAGGTCTTTGTTAAAGTCTTCGAGAAATCATCCTAGCGTTAAAATCAATCGACTTGCAAGGTAGGCAGGCAATAGTATAGTCAGTTTCGAAATCTCCAAGCAGGTTCTCAGCACCTTTTCATAACCTTCAAGTGTGCGACACAACGAAGGTCTCAACCGGAAAGAAGCTGATACAATTTAATTTAGGTCGATATTCATACTAGGTCCCTCGTTGAGATTCTTAGCACCTCAATTTGTCACTACGTAGTTTGCATTTAACGTCTAGTGCTCCTCACCCGTCTATCACAACCTGTTGTGCATCCCTCCGGGCATGTTATCAGAGTAGAGCAATCAAACGCGTAGTGTCAAAGGCAGCCGGAGAGGATGGTCAAGCAAGCGTGCACTCTACCCTCAAGTCATGGCGATCCTAATACTAGGCCCCCCAACCGCAAGGTCGACGATGCTGGGTGTTCGCCGCAGGCCGTTGGCCCCCCACTCGGGACCCCATGTGTGGGGGGCCAGCTTGAAGCAGAGTGGTTCCAGAGCACCGTATACCTTCCCATACTCCTGCCGCACGTGGCTATAACTCTCCTCATTCTCTTGACGACAGGTGGGTCGGCTGATTCTCTACAGCGGGAACACAACTGTCCCACAGGCCATTCTCGGGGCAGGACAATGCAGTTTGATGGCTAGGCAATAAGTCCATGGTCTGGTTGATCAGAGCTTTACATTGCCTAAAAGCCTACAGTTGACAAGGCTGGAAGCAGTTAACACAGTCACCGTCTAGGATTTTCTTAGATAGGCAATAGTCAATACTAGTATAGCTTGGAAACCAAAACCATAATGATCTTATACTTCTTCATCCACAATACCAAAAACCTCCCTCCAAAGCCAAGGCTTAAGCGTGCCAAGAGACCATCGTTCCATTGCCCGCACAAACTCGACGATCTTATAGCAACCCAAAAGCGTCCGGGAATCACCAATGAGCAAGAAATAAATGATTTGGATATGCGAACCGCAATCCCAGGCAAGAAACAAGTCCCAGGACAGCCCAGACACAAACACCACAGGCAAGAGGATATCCAGCGTAGTCAACTCAGCCATCCCACCACCACTCTCTTCATCCCCGGCTGCTTGGCTAGCGGCAAGCAAGGTATGTAGTCGCATGGCGTGCTCAGCAACCCATATCAAAAGCTGAATCTTCGCATCCCCCTCCTCTCCGTCTGGCGTCTAGGTCTCGATGCTGACTGCCAGCTGCCGGAAGTGGAGCGACGACTGCTCTGTGTGGTTGATGGAGGAGCATATGCTTAATGTTTTCTCGCGGAGGAGCTCGACGCAATGCTGGCGAGTCGCCTCGTTGTCGAGAACGATAGCGTAGTTCACGCGCTTGCCTTGCAACGAGGTTGTTTGCGTCGCATCCCGCGACAGGAAGTCCGGGTGGATGTCGGCGGCCGTGATGTTGTAATAGTCCAGCTGCGAAGGGAAAGGCTGGAGCCCGACTTCGAGCAGGCGGCTGTGGACTTGCTCGTTCCACACGGCCTCGGACATTTGTTCCTAGTGTATGCAAACGTCCATTGGTGGATGGCGATGATATCGTGCATCTCCCGAAAAAGCGTCTCCTTGTCGCGTAGCCTGTCGTCCTGTTCGGTGATGTTGGAAGTTGAAACCTAGGAGACTTCGGTCTATAGCTATGACATGCTCCTTCACCGCGCTTGGGATGATCCGGGATGACCCCGCTACGGAGACGATGCCATACACGTTGTCGATGAGCGACTGCACATCATCAGGCATTTTGCTGATGTCCTGGCTCGTCACATATTGTACCGGAAGCGCAGAGAGCTGGAGATCTGCAGGGTTCTTAGCCCGCTTCGTCGGGCTCCGGCTTCTCGATTTGTTCCTTGCGGGGGTCGTGGTAGTCGTCGTCGTCGTCATTGTTGACAGTGGCACAGAAGCCGCCGAAGGGTTGGTGCTGGGCCGGAGAGGGAAGTAGGCCATGTCTTTCAGTATGCTCGACTGATACTCTCCCCGGCCTGCGTTCCCTAGCTGCGGATTGCTTTGTTCTGCTTCACGACGACGGTACCATCACGCTGACAAACCGGCCACTTAATTGCACTACCATGCTTCTCGAAAACGACGGCATGCCAAGGACTATGCAGAGGAACGACATGTATCTATCTACTGAGCCTTTCGTTAACGACCTCTTTTGCTTCTATGACCAACGCTTCCTTAGTCACCCAACGCCATCTTCGACAAGAAAGATCGTCATGCCGAGATGGCTGCCAAGGTGCTACTCTGTGCCCGTGCGTATCATTACATCTGACAGGATCAATGGAATGGACCTTACTTTATCTAACTTACCGACCTTCATGCTAGCAACATCTTTGTCGACAATGACTGGAATATCACTAGATGCGAGAGGCTTGACAAGTCGCAAGGTAAATCGAATTGTAGCCTAGACTACTGTCTACTTTGACTAAGAGAAAAGGAAGAGAAAAGGGGGAAGGAAAACTCTGCCAAACGAAGGGAAGAAGTGCGTGCGTAGGTGCATGCACTGCGCTACTGTTAGCTTCGCAAGTGCGTGGGTTTGAGTTATCTGGCAGCTGCTAGAAAGCCGCCAGCTGCCAGATTGGACCCAAACAGGCCCTAGCCCGTTACACTAGACTTGTGAACCTAGAGAGGGTATGCGCCTTACTAGTTGAGAACCTGGCAGTGCCATACTGGCTGATAGGATGCTCTATCGACGAGATGGAAGGAAAGAAACTTGCTGAGTTTGAGAAGGTTCAAGAAGAGTTTATGGATATTTTTGAAGATGAAGAGCGCAAGGTTGTAATGGAGCACAGCCTCTCGTTAACGCAAATCATGCGCGAGACTTGGAAGTCAGGCGGCGTCTGGTTCGGGCGAAATATTCGGTCCACAAGTGCTATAGAGACCCGCGTTACCCAACATATCTGTCCCAGGTTTACGCCTCGTCTCTTGTTTAGGGAGAAAGAGTTATTATCTAGGTTTCGGTCCGAAGATGCTGCTAAGATAGTCGAGACCAAGATGGAGGCGTACCATCAGTATGAGGAGGACCTTAAAGACTTATTTCGTCAAGGAGCACATATCCAAAAAGCTAAGGCCTACCTTGAATAAGACGATACTGTCGGAACTGTCGATACTGACTGTCGATACTGACTGTCGATACTAACTGACGATACTGACGATACTGACGATACTGACGATACTGACTGTCGGTACTGAGGGTTTTGATGGTACCGCCGATAGTGAGAATCCTGCCGGTACGGTTGGTACTGAGAATAGAGTTGGCACTGCTGGCACTAAGAATCCTGCCGATACTGAGAATCCTCTGACAATACTGACGATACTGACTGTCAATACTAACAATACTGATTGACCATACTAGCTGCCGATACTAACTGCCGATACTAACTGCTAGTACTGACGATACTGACTATCAATACGGACTATCAATGCTGATTGCCGATACTGATTGTTGATACTGATTGTCGATACTGACAGTCTTGGTAGTATGATGATACTTGCCGGTACTGTCGTTACTGCAGTACTGCCTATACTGACTGCCGATACTGACTGTCAATACTGACGGTACTAATGGTACCGCGATACCTATGATAGTCGACGGTACTGCGTATACTGCCGATACTAACGGACAGAGTCAAGGTTGTGCGCTTGGATGTCATCCAGAGCGCAGCCTATATGGCTCAATGCTTGACTGCTACGGCAGCATACTGCAGCCCGTCACTCTGTATAGCATTGACAAACCTTTCCTCAGACGAATCCAAATCAGCGGCCGAATGGCGGGATGAAGTTGCGCACCGATGCCGGACTAATAGCCATCCAGGGAGCCTGCTACATGACGCTGGAGAATATCGGCCAGCGCAGCGATGATCTCATCATTAGACTGGCCGCCGTGGCACGCTTATCAGCCCGGCCCTGCCGGAGAGCGCGGCTAGGAACATCGCGAGCTACGCCACTCCGTAGGATACGATCATATCAAGGACCGAGCATGGACATTCAGAATGCCGAATCCAACGCCTGCTGGAAAGGACCCTAGTCAAGCTAACATACCATGGACGTGTCAAAGATTTTATTTCGCTTTTTGACAGTCCAATGTATGGCACACTTTTCTATAGATAGGAAGGCGTGAGCCGAAGGAAGCTGAAGGGACCAAAAGAGGGAGAACTTGCTATATGAATGGCAACCTGGGGGAGAGCAGCTAAACACGTGACAGAAACAATTTAAGGGGTGAGGGGCGCTTAAGTTTGCGGATGTCAAAACAAACAACACCCCTCGCCGTCGTCTTGGTTATCGACATTATTACCAGCCCCTTTCCCAGCAAATCATCCACACATTTACTATTTGTTCCCACAATTGTATCTTGCACGCCCTCATGGTTATTCTTCCGCCGTGTGCCCCGCCAACATCGTCAGCCGCGATCGCGACAGACGTTCCTCGTATCAAGTTCCGGCACCCCGCCTACCCAGATTCTGCGCCAGACCTGCTGTGCCTCAGCGCCGTTGATGGCGATGACGGTGTTGACTACGATATCGCATTGCTGGCATGCTGCATTGTCACTGGAAATACATGGCGCGATATATCCTTCGCTGTGAAGGTCAACAGTCACGCAGTCTCGCATGTTTCCCGTCCTGCCAATGGGGTCCTGCGCGGCCGGGTATTTTATTTCCGTCTTAAAGGTTATGAACCCAATGGTAGGCTCTATGCTCTCACTTTTCCTCTGATTGTTTTCCGAGAAAACCTGCACGAACCTATCTTAGAAAAATATCCCGTCATTCCCTCCTTCGACCACTGGCGATTTCCACACGACGAGATTCCTCATCTTTGGTCCGACTTGACCATACCTCACTTCGCAGCGCCTCCAATATTGAAACATAAGCCAGCTGCCATGTTTCGAAACAAGACATGTCGAATGAGCGGGTACGTTGATGCAACCGAAGCTGCGCATCTTGTGCCACTCGCAGCTGGCCACTGGTTCAACCCGAACGACATAAAGAGATACTGTTGCCTTGCCTATGACGCTTTCCCAATCAACGACGAGAACAATCTTCTACTTCTACGCAAAGATATCCACCACCTTTTTGACCAGCGGCGGTTCACCTTCGCTCCCAAAAAGCCAGACGACGATACACCTCCCCACCTCGTCACGCATGTCCTTCCCCCTCATGGCTCAGTCGAGCTAGTCAGTCTCTACCACAACCGCATCCTCCATCCACTCAGCGGCGTCTCAGTGAAGCTTCTCCTGGCCCGTTTTGCCTGGTCTATCTTCACGGACGAGATCTTCCCATTCTTCAGCGGCACGCAGGAGTACGCCGTGCTCCTTTTCGACCTGGAGACTGGGAAGGCAATTACCAATAGACTGCGTCCGTCTCAGATACGGGCTAGAAGCTCTATGTTCGAGGCCTTTACACGCAGCTAGAGCGTCAGCCCTCGGAAATGGCAAACTGGCCAGGTTGCTAATCGGGGCACGGACTGGGACGGTTTTGACATGTCAGAAGATGATAGAGACCTGGAGGAGGAGGAAGACGAGGGAGAGTGGGTGGACGATCTAGCCAATGATGCATCTATTGAGGAAATGAAGAGTCGTGGACGCCGGCGGAAACGCAGTTGGGATTACGCACAGGACTCGCCTCCTGGTCTTGATAATCCTTTCACCACAGTTTCCTCTTCACGGGGTTGCCAAGAAGTTGGGGATGACACGCCTGCTATATGTAGCCTAGAGGTGTCAGGGGATGCGGATGGGTATGGGCTTTGCGAGTCGCCACAGAAGTGTCTTCACAAGGATCTTTTGGAAGGAGAGAAACTAGTAGATAAGTAGAGTTAGAAAAGTGATTCTTGTCTCTCCGATTTGGGTATGTGACTAGTATTAGATAACCTTCCCTTTGCAACTAGAAATGCTCAAGAGGCGGCAATGTAGACCATCCCTGTGGCCGCCAACCCATTTGTGGGAAGTCATCGGCGAATTCTTTCCACTAGGCAAGACAGTGGGGAAGATCAGGACAGTAAAGTAAATGTTCTGCTGCAGATATGGACCAAACCTTGGTTCTACGTTAGACCTATGGTCTGAGATTATAGTCAGCTGCCAGGGCGATATCCATGGTCTTTGTTACGTAGTACAATCTCTGGCACGGCAAGGCTCCCAACCAAGACGTTCAAGGTGTTGAATATATTTACGCCGCTGGCTGTCTTGACACTGTCAAATACAACTATCTTGACCATTTAGCTGCTGTTATCCCTTCCATCGGCGTCTTGAACAGAGAGACTAGTACGGGCGTTGTTGCTGTCACCCGCAGTAATACATTGGCGCCAGAATATGCCCCGGCTCCTCTGTCCCCTCCAGCCTTTGTGCTGAGGATGACGATGGTTTTCACATGTCCAAAACGGAACTCGTCAATGTTCTGACAGTTAACACCACCAGGACCGCCATGGTTCTAGGCCCGCCGACCAGCGTCATCTGGATCAACATCCACAAATCAATCGTCAAGGCTTTTAAGATTGCTCACAGATTTTCGCAGGCGCGCCATATCCACACCATCTGCTCCGCGAGGCCCAAACACTTCGCATACGCGCTGATGATAACGACCTTTGTCCGCGCAGTGACCCGGCCGTCATCGACTGGGATCCACGCGTAGCGGTAGCTAGGTGCTGTTAATGTCAGCAAGCCAAGTCCGAAGAAGCAAGCGAGGCCCGTGAACAAGTTTGCGGCAGGTAACTCCTATATAGCAACAAACCCGGGCCTGGAACCGGGGCTTCCCTCCCAAGCCCACCGGATCCAGCTTAGGCTCTTCCTCGACGACGTCCTCGGTCACTGTTAACAAGGCCGGCATCATCGGCCAGCTCCGCGCCACCATCTTCGCCCTTTCAGCCGTCAGCACCGTAATCTCCGACTTTTAGTTAGCTTCCCCCTCCGGGCCATCCCCACGAGGTGCTTTGGTTTTGGGGATGGCGCTTGTATCACCTTCGCGGTTTTCCTAGGCCGCCCTTCCCAAGGCTATCGAAGAGGTATTAGCTGTATTGACTCGGCCTCTTAGTATCGGCAGTACCGGCAGCATCGGCGGTACTGGTAGTACCGACAATACCGGCGGGTATCATTAATATTGGCGGTACCATCAGGACTATCAGTATCGACTGTTAGTATCGACCGTATCAACAGTATCGACAATATCCACAGTGTCAGTAGTGTCGACAGTGCCGACAGTATCGACAGTATCGACAGTATCGACAGTATCGACAGTATCGACAGTATCGACAGTATCGACAGTATCGACAGTATCGACAGTATCGACAGTCCCCACAGTATCGTCAGTATCGTCAATATCGTCAATATCGGCAATCAGTATCGTCAGTATCGTCTTACTAAAGGCAGGCCTTGGCAAATGTAGCTCTAGATAGGCGGTGTTCTGGAGATAACAAAACCCCTACCTCACAAAGTGATCCCAGAGTATCTAGCGCACCGCTGCGACATACCAGTCCGCTTTTCGCGCCTCCTGCTAGCAGCAATCAACCAACACCTAAAGGTCCTCAGCAGCTCACCGGCAATTAGTTGATATCCTCAATATCACCGATAACGAAACCGCATAATCCATGTCACATATCAGAGCGCACACGAGAATTGACTCACGGATCCACCGAGGATGCCGCAGGTTAGTGTGTTTAATTCTTAACGACCGGTTTCTCATACCTATAGTCCACGCCTAACATGCACATTCCTGCAGTCTCTAGGGTTTTTGGAAGCTGTTGGTGGGTGAATGAGACGACGATAATGGCTATCGGTAAGGATGTATTCACAGACATGGTGAAGCCAGCTGCTGAGGATCGTCGAAGCAGGTCGAATGTTTGAGAATTAGAACCAGCCACCCCCGCCCACCATCAGCATCATCATTGGTGTTGAACGGGAGGTGTTGAGAGGGAGGGTGCTCTATTTGGCACACGGCATTCGGCAACGACGGTGAATCGGCGTGGAAGCAACAATGTCAGATAATGGCTGTGGCTATGAAGACCGAGCTGAGGAGAGAAATACTCGAGAGCCCATAACAGAGATCGCGTGGGAAGGCCAGGCGTGGTCAACACAAGACAGGCCAACCTGAAACAGCAGTTGATAACCTAGACGATAATAAGAAAGGACAGGATAACAATTGTCAACTGTATCGCGCTATGTCAGAGACATACACACGGCATGTGAAATTGCGGTCCACGAGGGTGCAGGAGTTTCTCAAAGCCGACAAGACTTGTACATTAACCACTTTCTAGCCCCGACGATGACGTTGGAGATGGAGACTGAGTCAGTCCTGATACACTTCTCTTTTTCGACGCGCCGTCGTCCCACTCAACGTGCTCGCTGTAGTCGGATGCAATTCGAGTAGCACTTGTTCTCGATCCATTGTCATTCCGGCTTGCGTCCTTCTGCTCTGATCTCGACTTGGGTATCTTAAGCGGCTGCGAGTCAAGCCTATCACTGCTGCCACTCTTCCCGCCCCCTGAATCTGGGTCGCCACAGGGTGTAGCCCATGAGATAAGCCGGGCCATGGCTTGCGATAAGTCAGTGATGGTCTGTACCTTGGGCAAGTCGATTGTGCCGCAAATTGCGAATGAGATGCTTGACGTTGACGTGGCAGTTGCTTGAAGGACCCGTGCGGTAGTTGCGGTAAAGGTGATGATAAAAACCTAAACAGGGTAACTGTCAATCCACCTGCAGTTATAAACGAAGGGGAGCATGTACCGAGATGGTCTGATGAGACGCCATCGCGTCCCAGTAGTCGTTATATAGGAGTCGTTGGATGGTAGTCATCGCGCAGACAAACTCGCTCCAGAAGAATCTCCCTGGTGGCGGAGATGATTTCGTGAAGTCGGCAGTAAGACAGCCGCCTGGAACGAACAGTTGGCTGTCGCAGCCTGGCTGTTCTAGCATTGCCAATGCAGTCCATCGACGGTTATTGTCGCTTGGTAGGGATAGAAACCACTCTGCTTTGTCGTTTGGGTCAAGGCTATGCCCATTTGAGGTTAGAAGTTGTTGGGAGACGAAGGGGAGAGAACGTACTATCGTAGGCGAAATCTTGGCGCGAATCGCTGCACAGGTTGAGAGGACGCGATGCCCTCGAATTTAAGAGCCCACTCTAGCGCAGTGTGGTCCTGATATTGGAGGAAGATTGAGCCTGAGAGGAGACCTTGGATGGCATTATGACAATTACTGGGCTCAGCGCTGGTATTAGGTTGGTCTTTCTGGACGCAAAAGTCGATGTGCTCAGTGCTGGGCAGGACGTGGTCTGGCTGGAGATTTGGGAGGCTGTTGTGCATGTCTCGCAGCGTGAAGAAAATTCGGCGAAGTAGTTCTCCATTATCAATAGCCGGGGTGTCATCCATGTTTGTCATTGCGCGCAATGTTGCGGCGGGGTTATCCCGACATTTGTTGTTACATTTGTTATTTGTTGTTTGTTGTTTTGGTAGCGGTTGGTTTTAGGTTTTCTTGGCGTCACGTAGTTGCGCTTTAGCCACGGAACAAGTTTTGATCCAACTTGAACACGTGCAAATGGATCCAAAGTTAACGCTAGGCCATATTAGGCGACTAGCTGGGTACGGAATACATTATCACGTGATTAGGCCACTTTAGTCAGGCATTGGGCTCGAGAATCCGATAAGGCATCAATACCTACTTACCTCTCTGACTTTCCCCTCCGTCTTGTGACCAAAACGACGCATCCATAACTCTTAAACTTGCAGATTGTCAAGAGACGGTATCTAGTACCAGCAGCTAAAAACCATGGAAACGGTTCGACAAAGTATTGAAGACTGGCATGATCTTATCCGACGATACGACCTTTCCCACTCTAGGCTAGGCAGCATCGATCGACAGCAACTCTTCTCAGCATCAAAGATGCCTGTTCACGCATGGCTTTTCCTCCGCCCCATATTTCTGAAGCATAGACCAGATGAATTGTCATTTTTCCTTCAACAAACCGCCGGCCTTCTCCACAACGACGTGCTGGACGAGGTCGCTGCAATGTTATCACTGTCTCTAGACAGCCCTGTTCAGCCTTGGGCTCCGGACTCTCCAAGCACACCAGTCTACAAGGCACTTCCTCTGGTTAATCAGGCCCCAAGACGTGCCCGAGAGAAACTGCCAACTGGGTCCGGTTCTGCCTCACCATTCTCAGGTCTCCACAACCTCATCGACTGGATGCAGCGGAGTGGGGATAAGACGTCCACTGATATTCAGCTAGGCCCTGGTCAGACCGTAACAAGCCACCTTGGAGCATTTAGCACAGCATGGGTGGACTTTCAGCAGATCCGGGATTTTCCTGCCCCCAAGCCTCCAGTCATTGCTACTTCACAGTCACTGCCGAGAATTCGCCAACCAAAGTTCGGTCATAATCCATCCTCCCAGAATGCCGATCCTAGCACCCCTCACCTCGATCACACGACCAGCCCATTCCCATTCCTCTATGGGTTTCCAGGCGATCCACCCTCGCCCAGCGACCAGATCAAGGCAGTTCGTCGACAGGTGGGGGAAACACAACAGGGTTCGTTAAAAATGCTCGAGTCACTTCATCTTGACGACGACGACGAGGAAGCCCAGCCAGCTGGGATCCATCCACGCACTCGATCCGAAGCAATCACTGTCAACTTCCTGATCAACTTTCTCAACGGCGTCGCCCTGGAGCTCCACCCTCACTCAGTCCGACCGAGCTTTGCCTCTGTGTCGGAGCAGACTTGCTTTGTGTTCGGACCCAGCCCAAAACGGCAGATGGCCACCGGATCGTATCGTGCCCATGTCGACGGGTACATGTACAACCTACCATCCCGCGCCGGCGAGAGCAATAATGGGGATCCCAATCAAGTCCGGCGTCTCTTTCTGTACGAGGTCAAGCCAGTTGCCTACACTCGCACTTCTTCTGATGTTCAGGACGCATTGCTTCGCCAGGTTACAGCCGAGTTGGCGGCGTGGGCGTACACAAGATTAGAGGAGCTCCTTGGACAATGTCAGAGGTATCCTGTCCCTCTCTTCCACCTTTTATCCACCCTTCCTTCCTCTTATCCTAACCCCCAATTGTCCCTATAGCTTCATCCAAAGTTAAATAATCGATGTAGTTAACACACAAGACCTTAGATCCAACCTCCCTGTCTATTTGCCCACCATTGTCCAGACACAGGATGAGTCCTGGCTTTTTATCGGCGTGTGCCACCAAGACTATCTTCTTTACATCAGAAATCCTGATGCTCCTGTGGTACCTGCAGATGATTTGATAATGGAGACATCAATGCTGCAGATACACTTCTTTGGCCGGTACTCTCTATACTCCCGGGAACACATGTTGAGCCTTGTTGCATTTGTCGTTGCCCAGATGCGTTCACAGCTTGCAGCTTTTCGATAACTAGACCTAGGCAGAAATATTTTATTTACACGCGTAACTAGCCGTCGTGCCATACAAATGAGAAGTTCAAAAAAAAAAAAAAGCTCGGGAGATCGTCAGGGCATCGAAGGGAACAGTATCCACAGTTCCAAGCTGCTAAACTCAAAAAGAAACAAAAAGAAGAGTAAAATTCCCCCCGCCATAAATTCTACTTCATAACTAATCTCATCGCCCCAGCAACAGTACAGCCCCCTTACCAACCCCCACTGATTGGCAGCGAGGCTCTAGACGTGCACAGACATAAGAAAACACAATGCGGCATGTTTATGTTTACCACAACCATAGGTGTACTCTCTTTGCACATCGCTAGCATCTCTCAGCACCACCGATGATACTTAATGAATCCCTCTCAAGTCGCTATCCTCTCCTGGATCTCTTCAATTGAGCACGCTGTTGACAAGCCAGTCTTGTCGGCATCTCCAGCCTAGCTGACACCTCCTAAACATTCCCAACACCGCAAGTGCCATCTGTCATCGCTATCACCATTGCCCTCTCAGTCGACACCTCCCATTTGCCGCTCCATATCACAAGTTGACGCAACGACAGCTAACAAACGGCGTCGCCTAGCCAAGGAGAACAACAATAATAACAACCGTGGCGACGATGCGGACAATGACGAAACACCCCGCGCTCCCTCACTTTACGGCAGCGCGCCTCGGCTCCGCAGCGATGCGTCCTCGTCCAACTCCGACCTCTTCTCCGAAAGGTCAGGAACATCTTCACCGACAAAGCAGCTGTCGGCCATGAAGCTTCACGACGATGGGTTCCGCGTCGGTAAACTCCTCGAGCGGCCCTTGGCTGGGGCTTTGGATCGTCTGGTTAAAGACATAAGGTTCTACACGTATAATGTCGGTGTCATTTCCGCGGAGCTAAAGGTATTATTAACGTAACGTCACCATGATGTTATTTTGTGTGCCTGATTCGTCCCGATGCTGAGCATCGCGGGAAACTCCAGCCCGCCATCGAGCCCAGCGGCGAAGTCGACGAGCTCCTCCTCCCCTTCGTATTTTCCGACTCCGCCTACCTCCCCCGACTCACCCTCCGCAAAGCCCGTTGAATCGTAGAGCGGGCAAACCGCTGCGAGCTACGACACGAGGAGGAGGCGTCCTGGAACGCATCGGTGCTCAATACTATCTTTCTTGCTTCATGTCAACCCCAGGGAGAACGTGGGGTGGTTGACTTTATGTCTTGGTAAGAACCTGACGTTTGGATCCCTTTTTGCAAAATCTCCCTTTGTAAGGGGCTCATGCTAACACCGTTCTCCTTTAAAGCACCACCGCACGCATCTTCCCAGAATACCGCCCCCGCAACGCCCTCTCCAAGATGGTCGACTTCTGCATGCACATCGACCAGACCCTCGGCCCACCTGACGACAACGACGCTGAAGCAGCCCGCCGCATCGACCAGCTCCAGCGGGCGCCCAGACGTGTCCATCATCCACACAAACTACTCGCCCCTGGTAGACCTGCCTGTCGCCGTGTCTGTCGAAACCAAGAAGGGCACCGATAACTGGGACAGGGCTGTCCTGCAGATGGGGACGTGGCAGGCCGCACACCTGCGGAGACTGGCTAGCACTGCTGACCCTAATGGCTCGAGCGGAGGCATTGGGTTCTTGCCGGGGATTATTATCATGGGTCACTTTTGCCACTTTGTTGTTATGGTTAGGGAGGAGGGTGTTGAGCAGCCGGTTTTGTTATCTAGCATTTTGGTAGGTTCGACAGAAACTGTTTTGGGCGTTTATAAGGTTCTTGCTTGTGTTTCGAGGCTTACCCGTTGGTCGAAAGAAGGGTTCTGGCCTGCTTCTAAGCGAGACATTTTGGGAATGGGGGTTGTTAAGAGTGGGAGTTGAGTTGTCTTGACGGTACCCAGAAGTGTTCAGTTAGACTTTTCGACGCCCTAGACTACTCAAACCCAGTGGCTGTCACCATAGACACTCGTGCTCAAGGAGGAGCTAAGCAGATCGAGTCCTAGCAAACCACCCTCGTGACTGTTCCGGTAGGCGACCCTCCGATGATAGCCCACGGCTTTGGTCCGGGAAGCTTACGGCAGGAACACGGCTGGGGCTTACTCACTTGCTGTGGAAGTCTTCAAAATGGAGTACTATGCGATTACTTTGCGAGTTGCCGGCTGCTGTTATGCTCTGGCGGAATGGCAGAAGGATCTAGATAGCTCCAACATTCTCGAGACAGCAGCAAGACTAGGAGGAGAGACGTGTATAGTAAGAGCTAAGATAAGATACAGCTAAGCACTGGCCTGGTGGGAATACTGAATAACGCTGTGTTCCGCGAACCGGATCTCAACAGGGTCTGGAGGTCTTATCACGGGGGCTTGACTTCCCCCAACTATCTATCGTCCAGTTGTCATGTGCGTCAGTAACGACAGTATCGGCAGTATATCGGCAGTAGTATCGGCAGTCCGTATCGACAGTCAGTATCGACAGTATCGACAGTATCGGCAGTATCGGCAGTATCGGCAGTATCGAGAGCATCATTCAAGACACCCCCAGAGCCACGTTCCATGAGTTCTCGGCTTACAACCCCGTAATCTGGCCGGACTCTATGCTATAGGGTTGATGGATTTGCCGCTCCGACTTCCTCCTTCTTGTATAGACAACCCCACCCCCACAAAGGCGTTCATGGGATTGATCCCGTCGCGGGTTTCAACGTGTCCTTGGTGTCGTTGAGGCAATGTTCTTGTAGAGTTAATACGAGGCGACGGGATCTTCTGACAGGCCCGAGCGATTAGAAATTCGATTTCCCGATACGGTCTCCATTTTCGATACTTGATGTCTTGTCTTGAGGGCTCCTAGAACGGTTGTCTTGGTGTCGTCCAATTAAGGGCCTGTTGGAAGCTCTTGAGGGGACTTGTCTTTTCTTCGCCGCTGATCTCCGTGTGCGCTTGGCAGTACCTAGCGGTGTATTTATGTTTTCCCAAGGCTCCGCCAGCGACTGTATACCCAAGAATAGACATTGTGACAGACCAGAGTCCTCTGCATTGTCCATGTATGTTCCAGTTCCAACTCTCTCTCGTGTAGGTTTCCTTTGTGTATCCTTCTGAGCTCCCAGAGTGAAACTAGGCGGTGACAGTGGCAGAGATTGAGCGCTGGTCTTTGAGGTTTGTGGAGTCTCTTGTTTGGGCTTGTGGGTGTCGATGGACGCAGGGTGTGAGTGGAGGAGAGTTGCGAAATGTCGGACAAGGGCGTCGAAGGCGAAGGTCCGCGAGAGGTGCATGAAGGTGCCTAGGCTAACGCCGTCGGTATCTGAGATAAGATCTGGTTGCGCGCAGAGCTGTTGGGCTGTCGAACTCTAGCAGTCGCGCAACTGGGTGAGGCGTCGTCTCGCCGCGTGGCTAGTCGGCTGCCGAATTCAGCGAGAGAGCTGGAGGTGTTGCTAATGTCGTACACGTCGTGGTTAAATGCCTCCCTGTCCTGCAGCGACCAGACTTCGCCACTGGCGCGCATCATTTTAAACCCAACCGCCCCCCGAGGATATCTCCAAGCCTTTCAAATCAGGCTGGTGCCAGTGATTGAGCAGACAAGTAGCGACGGCAACAACATGAGGGATATCGAGAAGCCTGACGGTTTCACGTAGGTTCATCTTTCTGGGTCTCCTGATAATGTGGACATTGAAGTCCTTGTAATTAATTACCTAGACAGCTGAACATATTGGCTACGATATCACTGCACCGTCCGCACTTTCGGGAGCTATTTCTGAGTGCAAACTCTACTTTGATCCCGGAAAGGACTCATTGCTGCTTGCCAATCGCTCCACGAGGGTCTTGATATACCTCTAGCGTCTTACGGACGGGGATGGTGGGTCGCAGCAGCTCCTCGGCCCACTGTGTTGGACGTTGGTCGACCTAGGAGCTGGCGGACATTTGCCGATAACCAATCACCTGTCATAGACATGGATTTCCGGGTTATGTCGCGGCGGTTTGTCAACATTCAAGACAAGGAGGTTGTCGTAGCCGACGGAGCATCAAACAGACAAGCGATAACCCTAAGTCTAAGCGACGACGTCAAGACTTGTCCCAGGAGCCTATCAAGACGGCGGAGTCGGTCAAGCGCCCGAGGGGATAGAATTGCAACAACCGGGCCACAGTTATCTTCCAATCTCTGCAGTTGTCTCCACTTATCGAAAACATCAACCATCCGCTTGTAAGTTACGAGTGGCTAGACAGCGCAGGTCTTTGGCGCCAATGGAGAGGACTATTGTGTAACCTGGGCTGAGTACATTGCTTTGACTGGGCGCTCCCTTGTCTATACCGCCTCTCATTCAGCAATGAAGGACGAACCGGTAGACATTAGGGCATAAGGAACCAACTCATCCTGACTGTAGAGATGTGCCTTTGCAAGACTCAAATACATTCCTGGCTCTCGCAGAGTGTGAGTCACTTCTTGTTGTCAAAATAGCCTGCTGGGTCTTAGCGGCTGCCCTATTCCTCGATTTGTATTTAGGTTTTCTTGATATCATTGCCAAGAGGACAAGAACTACGTCTTGTTGGATGTTTGGTCACAACATTCTAACACGGCTCACTACAGATTTCTTGTGTGCGTCTCCACTCAGCCAACGCCCGCTTTTTGAGCTTCTACCTAGAGAATGTTAACGCCCCGTCTCTAGACAAGGTCCTACAGTGGCGAGACTCGGCAGGGTTCTTTACCGATGATGCCGACGACGCGGAGCGGATTCTCGCAGACATGGCGGGCGTTTGTGTTTCATCCGCAACCGCGGGATCCTACACAATGGCGTGAAACCTGCGAACACTCTTTACTCACCCGTGTGAGGGGCTGTTCTTGTCGACTTTGGTCTGGGAACTGAGGCTGAGTTTGTCACCAAACTTAGTCAAGGAGGTGGAGGTGTAAATCGTTGATATCGACAGGATGGTGTGTCTGATCATAGCTAAGAAGCTGTTGTTTATCTACAGAAGATCATGGACATTGATGCCAACCAGGCTCGAACTGGCTCTGGAGCCAACACCCAGTGATGGGGTGGTGTTGGCGACTTTAGAACCATGCGCCTGAAGCAGCTGACGGTCGACTTGATGCATGCGGATGGGAAGCTGCATGTGTTTGACAATGGGGTTGCGATACAGGTTGCGAATGGTGACAAGAACATGGAGGTGGGGATGATGTACTTACGAGATAGACGTGGTTAAGAGTAACTACAAATACTATCACGATAGTGAATCCTAGGCAGAGCGTGGCTAAGAGGATGACGAACTCTATCATATTGAAAGGGCGCATGCTAGTGCCAGGAGAGACCCTGTAGAAGACTCGACTTTGCTTAATCTGATGTCGAGGGTGTTCTCGATGAGGGAGAGGGTTTACACGAGGGCATAGGCGAGGGGGCGTCCAAGGGCAGGAAGGTGACCGTGACATTCTGTGTCAGAAAATTCCAGGAGTAGATAATAATCAACAACGTGTCACACATTGCCATCAATCCCAACATCAATCTTGCGTGGATAACCACGAAGATACGGAGGGTTACAATCATACCATATGACTTTAGCACGCCGCATCTAGTATTGCTATCAGTACTGAGGCCTACTACGCGAAACCTGCTAGTCACCTGTTTCTACTGGAATACGCGCTGACTTAGCTAGTCTGACTAGAAATAGCATGACTCAGTGGCCATGCTGGCTCGGCGCTGGTTAATTTACAATAGTTGGTCATTCAAACTCTAGTATGATTATGACAGGTGTGATCCAACAAGTGTAATCGATACACAGGTGTAATTACATAGGTGTGATTTAGAGATGGGGTGTGATTTGCAGATTTGCAGACGAATAAATATGTTCACACACAAAATGCGATTCGCACACGGCTGTGAGTCGGAAACGAGTGTCATTCAGACACGATATCCACACGGAAGTGATTCGCACACGATATTTGTAGCTACAGGTTGGTACTCACTAACACGTTTTTAACCCCTCTCAACCTCTGTCTCTAGTATAAAACCTGCTCTCCCCACGCTTTATTCTTCAACTCCTTTAACCTCACCTCTCAACTCATCACAGAGCACTCTTTACTTTCTCGATTTCCCTACTTGGCTTTCGCCTACAAAGACCTCCGCCTACAAAAATCTGCGCTCGCACAATCCTTTGCTCCCGAAATCCTTTTGCTCAAAATGTGCAAACTCATCTTCTATGTCGAGCGGTGCGCTTGCACAATCCAGTTCTGCAAATTCCACCCCGGCAAGGGCCCTCCTGGCCACCCACTTCGAGATTGCCAGCGTACAGAATCCCATTTTGTACGGTGGGATCTCTGCGACGAGATGGTCCACCGTCGTGCGGCAGAGCAATTCTCGAATCGCCCTTCTTACTTGCCAGACCACTTTGGGGTCGAAGTCCCAAACTGTGACAAGGTTGCGGCTGCGGTTCAGAACTACAACACTGGTGATGTAAGCACTTGTCAATTCGATATCCTATCAACTTTTTAATGAATACTTTCTGACTTCTTTGATCAGCCTTGGCGTGGCGCTACTCGCAAGGCGGAACTTGGGTATTATGGCCCATCTTGGTACTGCCATAAATGCGCGCCCTTGCAGGGATAGAGAGAAAGGGTAGTTTTTTGAGACAGGTTTTTGCTTCTTCTTGGAATGTAATATATTCCCTACTACAGGTAAAATAAATACCAAGGAATTTTCTTGAACCCCAAGCTCACGATTAGTTTACCTGTTAAGTGCGTAATGAAATATGGTCTGGCTGCGGGGGGGGGGGGCGTTGACACCCCAAGGATGAGTGGTTTCTTTGTCAAACTGGTGGTTTGGTTAGCCGAGGGAATCGACAGACTATTAAATATTTGGCGATATAGCTGCTGCTGTTTTCATCCAATAATAGCCATATCTGTCGCTACGAAGGTTGCTTAGTGGACCCCTTTTGTGTAGGCTGGCATGTGGACCGTCTTCGCCTTCTAGTGCAAAGATCTTCACCTATCGAAATCTTCAGGATTCCGTGGCAACCGGGAAGACCGGCTGTGGGACCGAGAAAGCCGATGATAGTCTAGACCATGACCTACCTTCTTCGACGTCTAACGGGAGAGTCAACGTTCGTATATTTAAAACTTAATTTGTCTACGTGACGAAATTTGGAGTGTTTAATGCTGCGGACTGCATGTCGGAAGAGACTCGCGTTGAATTGGACTTAACCTATCGTGCATCATGCCTGTATGAACCCGTGGAGGGGCTTTGAAGGCGGGATTGTGCAGATGTAGCGAGGGTCAAACTGAGGCGGTCGCGTCTTGTCAGTGCTGAAGGCGGCCCCAAATACGTCTCGCGGGGTTGCTTATGCGCTCCTGCTCCGCGCCGTTGTTGTCTTCGACGCTTATGGTGACGTCCTTGTCGTCATCCAAGCAGACAGCAAGGACCCGTCCTGTCGGCGCGTTTTTGCAAGTGCAGAGGAGAGTGGCTTTGTGCCTCGTGACCCACCCTCTCCCCTTTCTTGGCAGCATTTTGGAGCATTGCGTTTTTTCCCCTGTAGAGCTCGTTCAGCCGTCGAGAGTCACCACTTTCTTATGAGGATATGCATGTGCCTCTATCGCTGCATGTTCTGATAAAGCCGGAACTTTCTAGACCAGGAGTGTATGCCTTTAAGCTTCTCGATCATGGTCACACGGGCTCGACAGCCTTACGCATGCTGTAACCACGTGGGATGCCTGACCTGTCAGATACGACAAGAAGGACGTGTCCATCTTGCCCATTTAAGAGAACCTAGTGCATGTCCCAGCGCGCTGTAAACCCAAACGTAAAGAGCCCTGCGGAGCTATCCTGCTAGAATTGCGACGCTGGTGAAGCGGAGGCAGGACTTGGGATGTGTTAGGCAGGGATTTGTGGTGCATTAAAACCCGGGACAAGGAGGGTCACGTAGAGTCGGTGGGCGCAGTCTGTTACTTGAGGCAGTGCATGTCTATTCCTGTTGTACGCCAAGCATGATGGCCATGGTACGATCAAAGCCGCAAATATCCAGCCCGACAGCTCTTTGGTATCTCAGCTCCATCAGCAACAATAGACTACCTTGACTATTTAAACAAGCAGCTCTGGCCCTTTGCCAAGGGCTGTGCCTGTGGTCTAATCCCGCGGCTCTAAAAACGTATCTTGCTTTAGCGCCAACCTTATTCCTCCGCTATGGTGGCTCGTTTGGCTCGATAACGGGTAAGGAGGGCTTGCGGTTCATGGTTGGGCTCGTCATTGTCGACAAAGTCAAGTCAGCTTGACGGGACAAGTCAGCTTGGCGGGAAATTGTCATACTAGAATGCAATCATCACCAATCGATTCCCCTCAATTGGCTTTCTCCATTTCTCAATAGTCACTGAACAGAATGGATCTTGTTTGTTTTGGTGGGATTGCGCACTTGCTCGAAGGTTTCCCTCAGCCTGGCGGCCCCGATTTTAAAGCCGAATACACCCCTTTGAAGCCGAAATACTTTACACTTCCCTGACGCTCCCAGGCCCAGCGTAAAGTAGGGCACGCGGGAAGGTCGGGGATTGTTTAATTTCCCCCTGAGTAGAAGTGCGCGGAAAACGAGACTGTCGCTCGGCGACAAGCCTCTAATTAGAACAAAAAAAAGCAAAACAAACGCAAAAACAAACCGAATAACAAGGGCAGAAACGAAATGTTGCCAGACAATGTCAGCGCCTTAAAATCTTCCAGTGTCTGGCTACAAATGTTTTCAGAAGAGACTGCACTCTCTTTATATATTGAGGATTGGCTCCACAACATTGTCGCAGCCGCACCCTCTGTCGCACCCGCAGTTGCACCTCCAGAAGCCGTTTTCTGGCCTACCGACTTCCATTCCGCAGCCACTCCTATGCCAACCTCGTCTCCGTCATCGAGATCAAGTTACTACGTTGCCGGTCGGGAATCACCGGGGAAGAGAGAGCGACCGAACTACCCTTACGATGGCCTGGATGACCCTTTTGTCGGTATCAATGATGAGACAATGATGGAAAACATGGACAAGACACCAACATCCGATCGCCAATCTCAGGGTGCTCTTGCTTTTCGAATCCAGCCGCCCGTCCTAAGACCATCATCCCCTTCGACTAGACGGTCTTCGACACCGAGTGGGACCACAACAAGCACGACCGACAAGTCCCGGCGTTCGACAAGTCCCGGCGTTCGACAAGCCCGGTGAAAACCACCAACAGTCTCGACCGACTCAAAAAGCCCATTCGAATTCCCGCCCTAGCAGAGAACGCGAGCAAACAACTGCCTGCCGACATACAAATGCTGTACCGAAGCATTTACAATATCACCGTCAACCACCAGCACTTCATGCCTCCCACGATTCGCGAGGATATCGAGTGTGTCGCAAAGCGCAGGCTACCAGATCATTGGTTCCAGGATATGACATGGGAAGAGAAGAAGAGCATGCAGACTCGTCACAGCCAGACTCCACAAGCATAGCAGGAGCAGAACCTTGGACGGAAGAATAATGTACGGGATGCGGGAGACCGCGGTGGTGACGAAGACAACGAGAATGACAATGACGGTGACGATGGCGATGCGCCAAATCTTCCCTCATATGAAGAACGTCGTCAGCAGAGACAAGACGCCACCCTGCCTTTCTTGGTACACATCGCCGAACTTGACGCCCTTGTCCACCTCAAAACCGTCGCTGACAACTGCAGACGGCTGAACCGGCACGAATCCGCATGGAACGTCCTCGTCCACGGCCCGCTCTTCCAGCTAGCCCTCCCATCCCACATCAAGATCGAGCCTGTAACCTCCGTGTCCGTCTCCAAGGCCATCATCCCCTTGTGGCGGCAGCGCACCAAGGAAGTCCTAGCGGCCGACTCCAAGCGCGTCGACTTCGCCTTCACGCTGACCCCGCGCGACGACGTGGAGGCCGCGATCCGCGCCGCTGTCACGGGCCACCCGCCTGGGATGGACATGGTTAACTAGACTGCTACGTATGTGGCGCTAAGGTACGCGCCTGTCGCTCTCAGCGCCGAGACCAAGACGACGAGCGGGTTGGTGGAGGAAGGGCGCGCGCAGCTGGCTGTGTGGACGGCGGCGTGGCATCAGAGGATGGGGGATTTCCTGGTCGGGCGAGGGCGAGGGGGAGCGAGGGAGGAGGAGGGGTTATTGCATTGACGACGACGATGACAACGACAGGAGGTGGCCCCTCTAAGGTCATTACTCTTCCGCTGTTGCTGATTGTGGAGCATGAGTGGAAGTTGTCGTTTGCTGTTGATCGGGTGATTCGATTGTGAGTGCCTCTGCCAACTTTCTCGTCTACTTTTACCAGACTAACAGCTATCGACAGGATATCCTGACTGAGATGTCTGTTGGCGATACAGGAAGCATTGCCGGCTTGTTTACTATTGTTGCTGTGTTGCGCAAGCTTGCGCGCTAGATAGAGCGGCCTTTCCAGAAGTGGATCAGCGATGTATTTCTTCGTCCTAGCTCTGTTGCTTAGTATCAGGAGGGTATCATTCTATATCTCTGTCTAGATGCCCGTCACATAATCTTGGAAATCAAGCACAGGTTGTTTATGATGAGAAGATTTGAGATTTGCAACACGATAATGTCGTCAGACGTTGTGCTAGGAGGTACCTAAATTGCAACCGAGGAGACAAATAATTACCACCTCGATTTACCACCCCTACCTTGACAATCCCATGAAAGATAACGTATCAAACTGAAAATAAGAAACAAGACCACAAAAGACAGGAGATCCAAAAAGTAATAAGACGAGAAGCAAAAAAAAAAAAACGTACAACACCGGGGATTCGCTGGTCGTCACCGACCCAACTACTGATCCGGCCCTCAGTGGCTTATCTATGGGAGAGCGGACGGGATCCCGAGTTCTCCACTGGGTATGGTCGTACGTGAAAGAATAAGCTCTTAGTCCAGTATATATGTGCGGATGTGCAGTAGGAAATGTGAACCCCAAGGCTCTGGTGCAGTCACGTGGCACCTCTGAGGCTACCGCCCATGCCGGACATACTATCAATAATCAACCAACACCCAAACCAATGTTTCTCAACGAATGCACGTCACAAATGTACGAAACGACGTGTATCCCCATCGCTGTCAAGAACATTACAATAATCTTGACGTTCGCTAGTTGTCCACCTCGACAGGTAATGGTGCATTCACGTCCAGCAAACCTTCTTGTCTCTGCCCATTCAAAGCCAGAACTAGAGGGAGTATTGCTCTCGAATAATAGATTCGACGGACGATTCCTGTTCTCCTCTGAGTCCAGATCGTTGGTGCAAAGTGTGGCAAACATGGAAACTCAGGAGCCTGGAAAATGGGATACAACTGCAGCTAGAAAGAGTAACCTCAAATCAATTTTTAGTAACAGGTTTTATCTCTTCAATATAAAAAAAAGCAATATTTAAGGAGTGGAGCATTCGCGAGAGTAAATGAACTAATAAAGCTGAACAAGGCACGGCGGCATAGTTTAACGCGCTTCCTTGGTCTGAGGGACTACATGTTATCTTCGTCTTGCATGCTGAACGCGACAACTACTACGGGTAGTCTGTCATCTTCATTCCTCTCTACGAGTGAGACAACGGCACCTCTCATCCTTTTCTGCGGCAGAGTAAGGAGCGCCACTGTCTGATTCAACCATTTCTAGAGAGTACATTACAACTTGAGAGGGGTCCAAAGTACACATTTGGCGTGCCTCCGAGAAAGAGACATTGGGTTAATCCAAAGAGAGGTACTGCTCCAAGACCCAACGGGCAGATCCAATGCCCCATTGCGGCGAATCTTTATGGTTGTCGACGCCACAGGAATACACAGACAGGGACTACCCACTCTTTTGGCCCACGTGGAGAGGCATAGTCATGGGCAGAGAGAGGCTCTTTTACACTTTCTCCTTGTTTGTCAGTTTTGGCAACTGTCATTTCAACATGCTCACGCAATACCATTACATTCTGCTAGTCGCAACATCCAACCAAAACTACCATGAAACCAAGGTCGGGGATCAAGAGCATGCTGTTCTATCGCGTTTGACAATTAGCTTAGCCGAGTTCAGCTTCTGACCGCGCATAGGACGGATTTAACGAGAACCAGTAGATCCAAAGAGTGAGGACAGCCTGGCTGTACATAGTATGTGGGACAGAAAAGAGGAGGGGGGAACCCGAGCCAGTGGGTAGGATCAAACCCGAGCTAGTGGGTAGACCGGGCGGGATCCCAAATATAGTTACCTTACCGAGGTCGGCGAAAAGCGCCAAGCAGGGCTGTGTAGAACATGAAATTGGGGAAGCGGTTAGAATTACCAGGGACGAGAGAAGGGCTGGTCCTGATAGAGTACAGGGATTTTGTTTGGTATTCTCCTACGCCACTTGGACTATGCCGCAATCAATATACATCTCCGCGGGGCAATAACCATCTTACCAAGGGTGGAGGTTACACCGCTACTTCCTACGGTCACCAGCTGAACCAGAAGTAGAGACCCCCGTGCAAAAATAACATTTAACATCCCAAGGAAGATAGGTGTATACAGGGGTATCATCCACAATGAGGGAACCCCATGTGCCAAGCCAACAGTTTGTGTGGCGATGAGTATCGGAAGTCGGCATGTCGCCATCCAACCTGCTCATTCCTGAACCGCCATTGCTCCCAACCTGCTCTTCACAAACAGGTATTGTGCTCACCGCGCCTACCGCGTATAACCACTATGTCCACGTGGACAATCCTAATGCAGATTCCGTCAGATATTGTCAGCAGCTTGCATAGAGTAGTAATACAAGAAGCTGATTTGTTCGCTGTCACGGTGGCCATAGTCGGGTATCGCTGGCCACTTCCCCTTTCGTTGCATCATGTCGTAATCGTTATGCAGGCCTTGTCTTCTTCCAGATCCTCAACAACCACGGTAAAAAGCCCGGAAGCCTCTTTCCGGCTTTCCTGAGGCCCCACCCGAGCATGTCGTGCTTCTTCTGTCTCCGACACGGTACGTGGGGTGGCTACCCGCCGCTATAAAATGCCGGCGATATCGGCCGTTACTCACCGGAGTTCCGGAGATGTCTTGTCCAGGAGGTCCGGAGATGTCTTGTCCAACCCCACTCTAGTGGAAGCCCACCAGCAACAAATAAGGCGGGCAGGGCATGGATAGATGTCCATCAGATATAGATATTCACAACCCCTCTCCATTGCGCCATCTTATGCCATGCGCACGTCTAGACAATGTCGATGTCACATCATTCTTGTCCCGTTGCACGTATGGGATTCGAGGTAAGGAGTAACGTGGTCAAGATAGTGTTAAAAGGAACAAACTTTTCGACAAGCTTTGCGGCAGTCTTGGTGTAAATTGGCAAATGAAAATTGAAGTTCAAACCATCACCAATTATTGTGTCTTTCAAGCCAGAGTTGATCTGCAGACGCGTCGACAATGTCAGAGAAGCAAGAGCCTATCCACTCGGCGGCCGAGTCGAAGGCGTCCCCTCCAGACTCGGTCCTTGAGCTTCCATCCATCAGACGCAACAACTATGTTACCGGTGATGCGTTCGCCGCTGGTGGCTCGACAGAGTTGTACGAGCCAATTGTAGCGTACGAAGGCAAACACAGATATGACCCAACGGCGGAATGGACCGAAAAGGAGGAGAAAAGACTGATTCGCAGGGTAAGTCTTGTGCCAGCAATTGCAAACGCCGTGTTTAGCCAATGCACTAATTCAATTGCCACTTTTCCAGCTCGATTACCGAATCGCCTCTTGGGTCTGCCTCATGTTCTTTGCTCTGCAGCTTGATCGTGGCAACATCTCCCAGGCTCTGAGCGACGGCATGTTGAAGGATGTCGGTTTGTCGACAAACCAGTACAACTATGGTCAGACGATATTCTACCTTTGCTTCTTGTCGGCTGAAGTACCGTCGCAAATGATCTCAAAGAAACTCGGCCCAGACGTCTGGATCCCCATTCAGATGGTTACGTGGAGCGTCATCGGCATTTGTCAGGGCCTCATTTCGGGCGAGAAGAGCTTCTACACCATCCGTGCGTTACTGGGTCTGGTTGAGGGTGGCTTCATCCCCGATGCTCTTCTCTATCTGTCATATTTCTACACCAACAGGGAACTACCAATGCGGGTGGCGTGGTTCTATTGCTCCTCGCACTTCACCTATATCATTGCCGCTTTCCTTGCCTACGGAATCCTCCACATGCGTGATGTCGGCGGCTGGGAAGGCTGGAGGTGGTTGTTTGTCCTCGAGGGAGTGTTGACGGCGATTATTGGGGTGCTTTCCTGGTTCTATCTGCCTCCCAGTCCAACACAGACAGCGAGTTGGTTTCGAGGCAAAGATGGTTGGTTCACTGAGCGTGAAGAGGTCATTATGGTCAACCGAGTTTTGCGTGACGACCCAGGCAAGGTGAGGCTCACTGTCCCCATCACAGCAGGAGTCCTCAGATGAATATGGCTAACAATTTCTCACGCAGGGAGGAATGCACAACCGCCAGGGTATGGGACCAAAGTTGCTCTGGGCTTCCCTCACGGATTACGATCTTTGGCCGCTCTATGCGATAAGCCTCACTTTGCTCATGCCGACGAGCCCGCCTGCTGCATATCTCACCCTAAACTTGAAAGCGGTTGGTTTTGACACTTTCCAGACCAATCTCTTGACGATTCCAGCATACGCTCTTTTCCTGGTCCAGCTGGTGTTCTGGACTTGGTACTCGGAAAAGATTAATAACCGACAGATCATTGTCCTCTTCTATTCATTCTGGTGTCTGGTACTACTCCTTGCGTTGGAACTGCTTCCGACGGGTTCAAGCCCCTGGAGCTGGTATGGGATCACGGTGCTGATGATCGGTTTCCCTTATATCCATTCAATCAATGGTGAGCAAACTCAACTAAACCTGTCACGAGTCCTGTGAGATTGTGCAACTAATATATTTTAACAGTCAGTCTTACATCGCGCAACGCCGGTTCTGTACGCACAAGAACCATAGGCAGTGCATTATATAACATGATTTGTCAAGCATCTAATGTCATTGCCTCCAACGTAAGTCGCCTTGTTCAACATCTCCATGGCTCATCGAAGAGACCTTGCGAGCGTCGTGCTAATAATGTTTCACGGCAGATTTACCGCGCGGATGATGCACCTTTGTATAGACGGGGGAATAAAGTTCTTCTTGGCATTGTCGGATGGAACATACTCATGACTGTCTTTGTCAAGTGCTACTATATGCACCGCAACAAGACACGCGATCGTCTCTGGAGCGCAATGAGCTCGGAAGAGAAGGATCACTACCTCAGGACAACCAAGGACCAGGGTAACAAGAGGCTGGATTTCCGATTCGCCCACTGATTTGGGTATTCTTGGATACGACTGGCCATCACGCGAAGAGGTTGGGGCATGGTTATGCTGTACTTGTTGCTTGTGCGGGCAGCATTAAGCAGAACAGGCTCAAAGGTGGTTGGTGGCAATGGCAGAAGACGCCCGGGCATGCAAGGTGTTATGACAGTGCAGCCCTCTGTGACCCGATGTATTGTTCTAGTCAAGGAAGTTAAGAACCTGTCTTTAGCATGAGTCTCTTACAGCCAGGGTTATCGCTGGTGACTCCCTGAGCAACATCATTAGAGACGGAAACCAGGTATCAGACCTCTTCGGCTGTCACTACCGGATCAATGACTCTAACTACTTATCCATACATCTCCATACTCCGCTTCCAATTACCAGCAGTTCTCGCCATTAATTACGTGATTTCGGCTGCCACCTCGACAAAGCAAGGTCAATACATCGGCAACGTCTCAATTAGGGATATATTTCCAGGAATGCTCCATCTTTAGAGCGAGCGATGAGCAAGAAGGCTGGCTGGAAAGATTTTGAGGGTTACGTTATATTATGTTGAGAAGAGAAGGGGAAGAGCAGTCCTCTCAGTCGAATACCCCACTTTGGCATAGCCGTTGGCCTTGAGGAAATGCTCCATCAACCAGTTTAATAAGAACTCGCCAAGGCGCCGAGCTTTGGAATGCGAACTGTGTTAGTAAGATCAACGCAATTGATGTAATTACATGCCATTATGCGTACGAATACATGTCCATCGTTCCATCGGGGGCAATCGTCGGCAATAAAAGCTGCGCCCGCCGAGATCTGACCGGGTCTCGGAGCAATTATCTTGCCGTCATTTGCTTAAAACAAATCCGGCGGTTCCGACATAAACAAACCTCCCTCTTTTCAATTCTTTCAAGCCCACCTCAGAAGCCTGACAGGCATACTATCCGCTCTGATAATATTGTAACCATGTCTCCCACAAATGCGTCGACATGGAATACGTTGGGGCTATGTGTGGCAGCAACCTACGCCACCCTCGGCGCCAGTGCAATCTTGTTTCCGTCGCTAACAGCCGAAACGCTCGGATTCCGCTCGTTGCTCGAGTATGCAAAGGCCGACGTGCCTGGCGTCATGGGTTTCATCGGCGGCCGCGACCTGAGCATCGGTCTCGCCATCTTCGTACTAGGCAGAGCCGGCAGAAACCGGGAGATGGGCACGCTCATCTTAAGCTCCATGTTCCTTTGCGCGATCGACACCTACGTCTTCTGGGCGAATGGGAAGTGGTTCGAGTAAGTACCTGCTCCACAAGCCCACCATAACTTTGGTCTTACACATTTAGGGCACTGGTTTCTATCCCTATTGCCTCTCTGGCGGGATTTGTGGGACTGCGGTTGATAGGGTTGTCTGATTGAATAATTGGAAATACTATTGGTTTCAAATACTGGGCCGCAACTGCATCATTAATACAGCACCGCAGGGACAAGCATAACTACACTCAAGCCATAATTCTGCCTCGATAAATCCCCCACTGCAATCCAGGATGCTGATATAATGATGAAGATTCCCAAGGGCATCGATAGCGAATGATGACGTTGAACGAATGCACACTACGTCACATTGCACGAAAAATGGCGTCATCTCAACGACTGGGAGATACGCATCTCTGTGGAGGTAAAAAGGCCAAAGGAACACAAATTCCCAGCAGAACATTGGAATTTCCTACTAAGCGCTTCATCAAAGATATTTCAAAAACAATCCCCTACGCCACTTTGGTCTGATTAGCCCGAGTGGAAGCCAGTGGAAGCCCTTTGCAGTTTCGCAACTTTCTCCTATTGACTACCAAGATGCTCTCGAGGTTCGGCATCGCTGCGACGAGGTCCGGAATGATATCGGGGGCACGCGTGGGCATACTCGGCAGAACGACAATGCTCCGCCCCCCTCAAAGCTCCCACGGACCTGCCGCGACTCAAAAAAGACTGTTGATGTCTGAGCAGACAGGCAAGCCGGAAATGCCCAACATGCCGTCAAACAGTTGAGTTTACTGCCACATCACCCGGGCTCAGTTACATCTTAAGCTGACTGCTTGCCTAATTTTAGGGACGAATATGATTATCGCGGCGGCCGTCTTGGCGCTGGGGGGTATTGTCTACTACAGGAGGTCTGGGACCGAGAAAAAGGGTGATACAAATAGCAGCGCTGCTTAGATAGGGCATGCAATTGCAAAGGCGGACATTGGGGTTGCTCCCTAGTTAAACATCCGCCTGGCCGTATAGAAGAAATCCAGCAGGAATAAAGCAGGTTTTCTCTTTGGAGAGGACGTAACAAATTGCCACGGACTAGAACAATCTAGGAATCAAAATGTCATGCTTTCATAGCTCCTCCACGTCTGTATGCATGCGTAACAGCGTCCACAGTCGTATTGCCACATATATTAACCTCCAACGCCTTCCTGGAGTTGCATGTTCCCCGCGTTTTCTTCTCCGTTATCGAGCCAATAATGGTTACCCTAGGCTTAGGGCTACATCGTCGACCCGGCAAAACACGCGACCGCGCTGCTCTCCTACGTCCTGCCCACGACGTCGCCGCCACGGTGCAGCTCGCATTCATCGAGTTGGGCAACATGATGCTGCTCGTCGCCGGCCTGATCGCCCTTGTCATGTGGTTTAGCCGCGTAACCAAAGATTATCCACCTTACCGTCGCCGCGATGGCGCTAGGCGACATATCTCACTGGGGTGCGGCTGTCTGGGTGATGGGTTGGGAGAGATTCCTCGACTTTGGGGAGCTGGAGACCAGCGCTGAAGGTACAGATGTTTGGGCTGCTGGTTGCGTTTGCTGTCAAGGTCGCATATTTGATGGGATGGCTTGGGAAGGATAAGGTGCCAACTGTAGAGAAAAAGAAAGTGTAGCAGTTCTGCTCGAGAATCGGTAACGCACGCCTCGGGCTAGGGAATAAGTTTCTCTTCTTCTTTGTCGTCAAGTTTGTTGGTGTACCAGTTGCACTACACGTCCTTGACACGATTATACTCATTATGGAGAGAATAGAACTAATAATTAAAGGATACAAAGTAACTGTATTACATTTGCAGAAGTTGACACAGAATAAAAAACTTCTTGTTTAGATACAATCCTTACAAGCTATTTACGCTACCATTTAGCAAACGTAATATCATGTACGTAAAATATGTTCCCTGATCGCCGGCGAGCCCAGGTCCTTGTTTGGCTTGACTACGGCATCGGGAGCGTGGAAGTGGAGGGCGAAGGAGGTGCCGATGGCTGCAGTGTGGCTGGAGCCGAGGTTGTAACAGGAGCAGAAGGGAAGGTTGAGGATTTGGAGAGTGGTGGAGGGGGTTTAGGGGGGGGGGAGGGAGGCGCTGGGTCCAAGCTCGGCGCAGCCGTGTCATCCTCGGTGGTCGGCGACGTGATAACAGCGGGGGATATCGGGACGAGAACACTTGACACCGGTGCTGACGATGCCTCCGACAACGTCGGGGCAGCGTCGGCGACGTAGACGTTGAGCCGGTTGGGGGCACCACACCACTCCTCCGCATCACCCATACAGAGCTCACTGCAGTCGTCCTCGGGCGTGGCCACGCCGCCGAGCTCGTTGCCGCAGTAGCGCTCGCGCAAGTGCTTGACACCGGAGTAGTTGAAGTCCTCGTAGAAGGTTGCGCAACTCTCCACCGTCATGTCTTCGCTCCGGTACTCGGCCCTCGTCAGCGATCGCGCGTCCCCCTCGTCTGTCTAGCACGACTTGTAACCGAAGCGGGATATATCCGCGGGCAGGTCGCAACCCTCGCCCTGCTTATCATTGTTGCAGAAGACGTGGAGCCGGTCCGCATCGCCACAGACGTAGTCGTGTTTGCCACCGCACCGCAGCGTCCATTCACTTTGTGGGCGCTCTTCGGCAGATGTCTTGAGCTCAGTCCCGCAGCAGCACTGAGACGCGAATTCGACGACGAAATACGCATGCGAGCTGCAGTAGGCGGCATAGACCTCCAGGGTGAGGTCAGGACCGTACAGAACGCTGCCAGTCAGCGACCGCTGTTTGCCGTCGTCGGTGGTGTAGCAGCCAACGTAGTCGAAGTTGCCGATGGACTCTGGAGACGGAATGGGAGAACCCACACGTTGGTGCGTCAACCAGCGCCGCAGATCTCCGAGTCGTCGTCGGCGCAGGTGAAGGAGCACTCTATTCCCCACCGCCGAGGAACGCTAGCGCATCTAAAACTCCAGCGGGGCTAGTTTCGGCACCTTCATTGACCCACCGGTCCACCTTCTCAGACCCAAAGCATATCGACAAGACGGCGCGCCCGAACTCGCCCACCTCCGACGGTTTCGCGTAGCCGAAGAGACCATCCAACCGCATGCTCTGCAAGAAGAGCGGTCCACCGTCGCGACAGGCCTTGGACCACGCATACGCAGTCGATGCGCTCCATATCCCCTCTCGCGCGGTGAAGAACAGGCCGCCGGGGCACTCGCTCCAGCCCAGCTTCAGGGTGTCGTACACCGACAGGAGGATCTTCACCGTCAGCCAGGTGCGGCGCACGCTCTCCGATGTTATCCACGTCCTCCAGCTGCGCAACACGGCGTCGTTTTCGGGCGGCGTGGTCGACATGCCCTGGACTCGGTTGCCGCCAGCGGCACGCTCCCAGAGCTGACCCACCCATCGGGAGAGCACGGGGCTGTGCTGCTCGGCTTGCGCTCGCAGGCGGATGTTGCCGTCGAATAGTCGGATGACCTGGTAGACCAGGAGGGCCTGGACGCGCGCGAGATGCTCCAAGATGTCGAGTGAGGATGGAAGACTGTTCGGGGGCTGGTCTTGCAGGAGCTGCGCAACGCGGTCCTCGATGATGCGGAAGGTCAAGTCCTCGTTTTTGGGATTCTTGGCGAGATAGGCTGTCAGTGCCGTGTATGCGTCCTGGATGGACCGTGGCAGTCGCTGGCGGTAGAGCTGGTGGTGGATGAATGGATTGTGCCCGTCTGATGCCCATTGCTGGAGCCATCGCTGGACGTCACTGACGAATCGCATTAAGAATGAATCGTCGAGAAAGTCTTGTTGCCGTCCGGGCTGCTCATGCTCGACAGTCCAGGAGTCCGGACATTGGAACCAATCGTATTCAGCATCGCCTGCCGTGGTGGCCGAGAGCGCATTTCCAGTGTTCGTCGGCAGCTGCATCTGGTCGGTGCAGAGCCAATCCAGAGGCGGGAGCGGGTTCAGTTCCAACCCGAAGTCAGTGACGTCGGCGTCGACGTCGAGGTCCGGAAATGCTTGGAAACCTAACAGAGCGCTTTCTGAAGACAAAGTATCTGGTAGAGTGCTCTCGAGCGGTGCACATATGCGCCTAACGAATGGATATTCGCACACCGTACCTCGTTCCCTGCACCGCCGACATGCTGGGGTTTGTTTGTTGCATTGCCTCTTGGATCTTGTACATTCGGAACATGCCTTCCGTCGCCAGCTCGTGGGGGGCCTTCTATCGGGTGCCATGTTGCGGGCGTGGACCTGCTTTCCTCCGGTCATTGACGTTGGAGATGAGCCAAGGAAAGGGGAAAGAGGGGAATTGTGAGTGATTAGCAATAGGCTCGACCAATGGAAGTTGCGGAAAGTTTTCCGCCAAAACCCGCAGCGGAAACCCACAGATGCCCCGCTCCGGTTTGAAATCCAATCATTGGGCGGGAATCGGCGGAATTGCGGGAGATGTAGGTGCGGGTCCCGCCTATGCTGCCGAGAGCGTGTCTAGCCTCGAGGATGCAAGTGTCTCGAGCGGTATATAAAGGGAACGTATTCAGTCAATTGATGTCCCACGAACATCTAATTACCTCATTCATTCCCACCTAGGAGCAGTCCAGCACAGCCGTTAATCATGGCTTCACCGTACACATTCACGAAAAAGTCCCACAAGGAGCCATACGAGTCCATATCTCCGCTCCGACCACAATTGTCTCAGGCTGGCAAGACGGTCCTAATCACCGGAGGCTCCGATGGCATCGGCCTTGCCATTGCAAAGGCATTTATCCAAGCCTCGGCCACCAAGGTCATCATCATAGGGCGCCGACAAGAACGCATAGACACCGCCCTCTCCAGCCTCAGCCAGTTCGTGACGCAGGATGCTAAAACGCACGTCAGTGGACGGTCATGCAATATGGCCAATCCTAGCGAAGCCCAGCGCCTTTGGGAAGACTTAGGCAACGAAGGAATAGCTGTTGACGTACTCGTCCTGAATGCAGCAACTGTTTCGACGCAGCAGACGATTCTGGACCGAGGCACCAAAGGAATTTGGGAAGACTACGCTATGAATGTTCGTGCACAGTTGGACTTTGCCGAGAGATTCCACAAGCAACAAGGCGCAGGTGCAAAGGGCCCCAAGGTACGTGCCTCTGCGAGACTATAATCCCGCTCTGAAAATGACGACCAACGTCTCGACCTCGAGCACCGTTTACAGGTTAGCTAATCCAAGTCCCCAGTATCTTGTCCATGTCTCGACGCATGCAATTCACGACTGGAATGCAGCATCTCAGCAGCCGGGCTACGGCCTGACCAAGAATGGCGGCGTAGCCGTCCTACAACAAATAGCCAAAGACGTGCCTCCAGAGACGATGCAGATCCTGATTTTCAACCCCGGGCCCAATTTAACGCAAGCTGCGAGGGATGCTGGGTATACCCAAGATGACTTCCACTGGAATAACCGTGAGTCTTTCCACCGTGCGATCACCGGACTGATGCTGACGACAGTGCCCCAGCTGATCTCTCCGGCCAATTTGCGGTGTGGGCAGCGTCACCGGAAGCCAAGTTCCTTCATGGCCGCTTTGTATGGTCCGAATGGGATGTGGATGAGTTGCAGACTGGGGAGATCCGAAGGAATATCGACGAGGATGCGTTCTTTCTCAAGGTTGGTGTGAAAGGACTTTGAAAGCTCATGGCCAAAAAACCTCTAGCGGATTGAAGATTGGAAGTTATAGCTTTCTGTCTGTTTGGATTTTCCCTTTACCTTCTTCAATTCTACTTCGCTTGCGTCGTCATGTCGCCGAGTCTTGCTGCTAGTCACTGTCCTCTAGACGTAAACCCTTCGGTTAAGTTAAATCACCCCCCTTCCGGTCACCCCCACCTTCTGGCCACCTAAAAATCCGACTTATACCACCACTACTACTTTATTCAACCTGACTTTCTACCTTCCTTGATTTTACTACAATACAACTGCCTGACTTACTAGGTAATTCAGGCTTGCTAAATTCATCTAGACTATCCTTAATATGACCAGCCTCTAATTAAGCCTTCTAGATTGCCTTAATGTTGGCAAACTTTGAATTTGGGCTTAATTTAACCTTCTTCTTCTTCCTAGGCTATGCAGCTTCAAGCTAAGCCTTTAGTGATTCAACCTTTTGTAAAGAAGTAGCCAACTAGATATCTTTTTTGTCAAATGCCTTGTGGATCTTCTAGAATAGTAGTTGTTGTGTGAAAGTAGGTTGCTTTAGGTGGCTAAATTGATATAGTTAATCTTAAAGCTTTATAGCTTTTCTAGGAGTTGACTATACTATTGCAGCTGTATTTAAGTTTTATTAAAGGATAGGTTTACTACTAATTGCATGCTAAAAAGTCGAATTTTCTAGATCTTAGGCTTTTTTGTTAGAGTTTTCTAGCAAAAGTAGGCTAAGTAGAGGTTTGGTTATAGAGACTAGCTATAACCTTATAGCTTTCTACTTACTCTTGATATTCTGACTAGTCAAAGCAGTCTTGCAGGCTTTTTGGTAGCAGGCTAGGAAATTCCGCTTTTCTACTACTATAGAATCTACCTACTAAGCAAGAAAGCCAAGCTCTTTCTAGTAAGCTGTTTTGAAAGGTCTAAATACTAAAAGATTTAGTGGTTGCATAATGTAAAAGGTATATAAAGGTAAGAAAAGCAGGTAAATCTTATGCTAAAAGCAAAGCTATATAAACTTGGTTGTTTTGTAACTGCTATAGCTATCTAAGACTAGTAACTGGTATTTAGAAGGGTTTGTTGGCTAGGTTTTTGAAATAAAGACCTTTTAAAGCTATTTAATAGCAGCGTTATTAGAAATCTAGCCATTTTTGAAAAAGGAGAACTTCTATGTAGTATAAGAAGCTAGTTTGAATAGAAACTATTAGGCTTAAAGCGATTTTCCTTTGAATATAACTAAAGAATCTAAGGCAATACTAGTTGCTAAGATATACTTTAGAAAAGTTATCTAAGCGTATAACCTAGGCTTTTTCTTTCAAATTGCTTTTTTTTAAAGCCTTTTAAGACTAATCTATTAAATCTCTAGCTTTCTATAATCTTAGATTTGTCTATATTATACTAGTTGTATAGCTTAATAGCTTAGATAGCTAGAATCTTTAGATATTAAAACTAATGTCTAATTATATTAGTTGTAGCTTTATTAATATGTTTGGAATTGATAGATTTGCTTTTTTAGGTCTTGATAGCTAGATTTTTGCATAAAAAAGCCTTAACCTAATGCTTTCCAAGTAGCTAGGAGTTTCTTTTGGCTTGCAAGACTTGCTTTGCAAATTCTTTTAGCTAAAAGTAGAAAGGTAGAAGTCTTAAGGCAGCCTAGGTAAGGACTTATTAAGCTAGGTGGCTTTCCTAAAGTAGTGAGAGCCTTTGGTAATTCGAAAATGCATCTTTCCAAGGTATAGTACTATTGAGGCGGTTCTAAAGAGTAGTCCTTAGAACCCTTTATTTTAGAAAAGCCTTGCGTAGACTTTAACTATTTGCAATAGCCTGCAAGGCCTAATTAACGTTATCTTTGGTATATAGCTTTATTGTCAACTAATCAAGATAATTGCAAAAAGTAGGCTTAATTAGGCTTAATTTGATCAAGGAATAGAAGTTTGTTTGGTGATGGTTGAAATGGCAGTGTGGAATTTTTGGGTGGCTGGAAGGTGGGGGTGGCTAGAAGGGGGGTGATTTAACTTAATCCTGGTATCGCTGTAGGCCTCGAACGGCCTGCACATTTAATTAACTCCTAGAAGCCTGCGGTGGCACAGCTGTGGTGCTTCGCTTTGCCTAGTTGGGCTAAGCCTCGAAAGGCTGTATATCTAATGCCTAGCATTCAACATCTAACACTTATCGACGGGCCGTTGCAATCCCAGGAGACGATTTAGATCATTTCCAGCCCAAGCCCAAATAGACAACCCTTTCGGAATTATTATCGTAGGACTATAACACAGATCTCATCTAATCAGTGAATGACATCTTGATATTTCAAGGCAATTTCTCTAATGTCTAGTCTATTTGAAGTTGCTGTTTAGCCAGCTCATCAACAAGTCCAAATGTTAAAACTTGACGCGATAGTACTCAGCAAGCATCCCGGCGCAATAGTCCAGGTCCTCCTGATTCATCCCTTTCTTGTATCCCACGAATGATGTTTGATCACGAAGGACGTCAAAATATACCCCTGGTGCTGTGTTAGGATCCCTGCTGATGGATCCATCCGGGTAGAGAACAGCAAACTTGTTGTTTCCCACTTTCACATTAACATGAGACCCTTTACCAGGGTCGTAGTCCCAGCGGAGCTCCCAATAATCGCCTGGCTTGATATCAACCTGTCTCTTTCCGTTGCCATACTGATAAAACCCCTTAGCCGCAACGGTAGCCCGACCGCTAAGACCCGTCACATGTTCCTGTTCAAAACTAAGTGTCTAATGAGTATCCTTTCGGCTTCAGAAATTGGAAAATCGCACAGAAGGTCCATCGTACCTCGTCCAATGTCGCTGACCTTTATCCCATGTCTCAGTCGTATCTTTCTTGGGAAACTTGCTGAGTATGATTCTCTTCTTTTGGGCATGCTCAACAACATCCGAGTTGCCCAAGATTTGGAGAGCATCGCACAATAACTGAGTACTTGGAACAAGTTGCTCAGCCATCACTGCGTTAATACCAGGGACGGAACCTGGAAGATCTTCGAATATGTTATGGAATCGTAGGTGGCTAAGAGATAGGAAACTTGAGGAGAGGGGTCAACATGATTTTAATATTTTTCGTCAATTCCTTGTCTTACTGTTAGAAGCTACCTATGACAAACGCCAAGTCACTGCTCAAGGCTAAGTGATGCATTATAGGTTAAGACATTGCATTTTTCAACGCCCATTAACGCCCAATTCTGCACTTTCAAGCGGGAAGATGACCCACCCCATGCATATCCAATAGGACCTTAAAAAGGCAATCAGCTGAATAGCCACGTCAATTGCTCTTTTGCGCACCTGACATCTTTCAATCCAATAGTTTGAAGCCACGCTCGTCGTACTTGCAGAAACGCACATTTCCCTGTATTTCCCTAGTCAAATGAGGAGTGGGTTTGAGACTCTGGGCCGGCCCATCAAGCAATTCTGGTTCATTGACACACTCATGGTGCCGCGTGAGTTTTGAAGACAACGAATCTTATGAGTGGCATTATAACACCTACTAGTTCGGTAATTACTACCCACATCTGTCGAAATCCTCTTCCGCCTTGTTTAATAGGCCTGTTTGTCGTCACAGAATTAACTTTGGAGCATCAACCTAGTGTTCGGAGGCTGCGAGTCGACTTGTTGAGACAATGCTGCCTCTAAATGCAGTGCAAGTTCTGGAAGACGACGAGGTAGTAGTCTTTAAGCTAAAGATCAACTTGAACCCCTTAGCCCTCCTCGAACCCCAGCAATGTCTCCTCCTACGCACCTAATACCGTTTTGGAGAAACAATGTCCCACATGAACGACCCCGAGGTTTTGATGAAGGTGATGAAGCAGTCTTGGCGATTTTGGCTCCCAAGCTGGTTTAGGTGGGTGTCAATACTGTGATCCGTCCCAAGATAGTCGCAGCACAGCCATCGGGTGGAGATGGCTGACGCCCGGGTGGTAGCACTTGAGGATCAGGCCGTGGCCCGACAGGTGGGCGGCGCGAGATAGACGGTCGTGCAGGAGCTGCGCAGTGGCGGAGTTGGGTTGGAGCAGCGACTTACGGCGGCGAGGTAGGGTTCTGGCCCGTCGCCCGGCGCCGCAGAGCTTGGTCGTCGTCCTGGTTGACGGGGAGGAGGTGCAAGTAGAGGTGCGCCAGGAGGCCAGGAGGTCCGGTTCTGGCAAGACCCCGGAGTCGGAGCTGGAGACGAGGAGCTTGTCGGCCTTTGACTGGAAGGGCCGCATATCTATGGTCGAAAAACAACTCGCGGCAGTAAAAACAATTCTCAATGTGATGCGGAAGCTGGAGCCGCCTGCCGTGAAACTCCTTCGGAAGTTCGGAAGCCAAAAGCTTATTTAATGACGAGGACCTCAGGCCGATAGAGGTGCACGTTCGCTTGCTCTTGCAGCACGATGCATGGCTGGACGACGTAGACGGCGGAGACGGGGATTTGAGGCTGCATTCGGAGAACTCAGCAAGATCAAGTGGGTGTTCGACCTACGTCTGGGATGCCATTTCCGCCGCACTAGGACCGTAAGGACCGTGGCAGCAGTGGCAAAATCTTCACAAACAAAACGAATAAGGCGGAGGAAATATTGCCACTCGCATGACCTTATCATGCGGAGGATTCCCGGCCGGCAAGGACTTATCAATGAGATGAATTTGCCTTGTAACCGTGTTTCTTATCAAAGGCATCTATCCTCTAGCAATTCGGGCACTAGAAGGTTAGACCGGGGTTCTAGAATCTATGACTAAAACTAGCTGTATCAAAATGTCCAACCAATGAATGGGGAGTGGGGATTTAGGTTGGAGTGAGTGTGTGCTAATCAGACTCGGGCTTCATTAGCTATCAAAGATTGGCAGATAAGCGCGATATCTCCGACGTTAGTCAGGGTCCCTTAGCCTGACATAGCGACGAAGATATGTACAGGATATTCAGCGATAAAGCAATTGGTTGGTCTAGGACCATTGGGAGCCATTACTAAAATGTGGGGCATGGAGGATCACACCCTTCCAGTATCCAATACACCCGTTTGCCACCCTTTATCTTATCTACTTTAGCACGAGATTGGAGGGTTCTTATCTTGTTACCTCTTCGCCACCCGACACCTACAGTGTATGCGCCCTTTTAAGGTAGCTTAAGGCTTGACTTGTGAACACAAAAATGATAATGCCGCCGCGGCCGGCCCGGCACCAACCTGAAATGACCAGAGTCTTGGTTCTCATGAAACACTTTCCCCAACTCTCGTCCAAATTATCTTCTAGTCATAGTCAGCGACAACATGAAGCCGGTGGCAGAAGTGATGGCATCCAAGGCCGATAACCTCGACACGACTGAGAAGATGGCGACTCTCGACAGCAAGATTTCCAGTCTCGACGACTTTGTGGTTGCCGAGCAATTCATGGTCGACCCCAAGGCCGAACGAGCGCTGGTTTGGAAATTCGACTTGCGCCTGCTCCCTGTCCTCGCCATCATGTACCTCTTCAACAGCCTCGACAAATCGAACCTGGGGAATGCCAAGACTGCTGGACTGGAAAAGTCATTGGGTCTCGTTGGGGATCAATATAACATCATCTTGAGTGTGTTTTTTGTACCCTATGTTCTCACTGGTAAGCTGTGCTCTGGCTCTGGGGTATCACTATTTATTTCGCGTTCTTCGCTTAACGAATTGCAGCCCCTATCCTCGGCATATTGGGCAAGAAGTACGGCCCAAGCCGAGTCCTTCCCTGCATGATGTTTGTCTTTGGATGCTGTACCCTGCTGGTAGTGGCGACAAGGAATTTCGCTGGGATCATGACTATTCGTTGGTTCTTGGGCATGAGCGAGTCGGCCTTCTTTCCGCTCGTCATTTACTACCAGACCATGTATGTCCCCTAACCCACGTCTCCCCCCTGAAGATGAGACGAGATTTTAACTAATTTTATCACAAAAAAAGGTTCTATCGCAGGGGGGAACTCGCCCGCCGACTCGCCATATTCTATGCAGCGCAAAGCATCGCCTCCGCATTTGGTGGCCTCCTCGCCTTCGGTGTATTCCAGATCAAGGGGGGGTCGCTGGAACCCTGGCGCTACCTCTTCGTCATCGAAGGCTCCTGCACCATTCTCTTCTCAGTCTTTGCGTTCTGGTACCTCCCGCGCTCCGCATCCGAAGCCCGCTTCCTCAACGCCGCCGAGAGGCAGTTGGCATATCATCGCATGGCCATCGACTCGTCCTCGGTCGTCAACGAAAAGTTCAACATCCGCGAATCCCTCAAGATATTCAGACACCCATCGAGTTGGGTCATCATGGCAATTGAAATCTGCCTTGGTGTGCCTCTACAATCCGTCCAGCTGTTCCTACCGCAGATCGTCCAGAGGCTCGGCTACGGCACGACGAAGACGAACCTGTACACTGTGGCGCCGAACGTGTCGGGCGCTGTCATGTTGTTGGTCCTGGCCTTTGCAAGCGATTACACAAGACTGCGCTTCCCGTTCGTGGCGCTCGGCTTTGCCTTCACTTTCACGGGTATGGTGCTGTATGCATGTCTTGACGTGCAGGCTCAGCTCCACGCCGCATACTTTGCGTCTTTCATGATGACCTGGGGAACCAGTGCGCCGAGCGTGCTGCTCGATGTTCTGTACAACAACAACATCGCGCACGAGGGTCGGAGGGTCGTCTTGACTAGCATCGCTGTGCCGGTTGCGAATTTGATGGGTGTCGTGAGTAGCAACATCTTCCAGAATAAGGATGCGCCCAAGTACATCCCAGCGCTGGCGACGACGGCGGCATTTGGTGGGATGGGGTTTGTGTTGACTTGTCTGTTTGGGGCGTACATGATGTGGGATAACAAGAGAAGGGATGCAAGACAGGGTGTCAAGGTGAAAGCGACGGATATTTCGACCGAGAAGTTGAGAGACGGTCCTGATTCACCAGATTTCAGGTGGTGTCTTTGAGAGCCGCAATCATCATACATTGACAACCATGACGACCATGAGTAGCAGGTCTAGCATGAAATTGAAAACAAGTTCTTCCTTCTTCTTTAAACAAGGGCACTGCTATTCATCACGTGAGGACCTCGTGTTATGGGCTTGTCAAGCGCACCTAATTATTTCCAAACTCCATCAACATTGTCCCGGCAACGCAAGCCTGAATGCATTCACCAGGTCTACCATGTTATTCACCCTCCTTATCACCCCCAGAACTCCTCCCCGTATATCATGATCAGGTTTGTATCCTCCCGCGCCAAGACCACCAGGTATGACCCCCCCATCGACTCCACCGTGGCCTTCACTTCCCCTCCCAACGCGCTTACTCCTTGACATTCGCTAATCTCGGCGTGGGGCTTAGTCTTAGTATATTCTTGACCTTGAACTTAATCCTCTCTCTCATGTACCGCCTTCACCACTGGATTGACCTGCTGTCTCATGTCCGCGTCTGAGCAGTGCTTCCCACTAGCAACCACAAACACAGGTACCTCCTTGGTTGACTGAAGGGGGCTGTCTGGTTGGACCTTTCTCAAGACACTTGCAGTTCCCCAAGGCTCTTCGTCTCCAATCATGTCTTGAGTCAGCTAGTGGGCCAATTTGGAGCGAGAGAACGAAATAATGCGTTGAAAGAAGCTTGTCCCCTTTGTACCCATTAGACCATATAAGGCGTGTCGTGTTCGCGTAATCCCACCGGCTTGTGCGTGCATTCTGAGTCTCGGCGGTTCTGCCGTGGGCGATTCCCTATTCGTATCCCTCCTCTGGTGGGAAGAGGCGACGACAGATTCCCGCATAATAATGTCCAGTTATTGTACGAGACAGGAGCGACGGCTGATTGTTGGGCGGTGGACTGCGCCGGAGATGTCCATATTTAGCGACAGGCCTCAAAGGCACTTGGGAGGCAATGTGTCTCCATGCGACACTTACACTTCCCAAGCCCACAAGATGGGTTCGTTGCGGTCAGTGACACTTTTTAGACTCCTGTGTATGACTCTTGGGCTGCTTGTGTTGTACGCTGTATCAAAGCAGGGGCCGAATCAGGAGAGAGATAACTCTCGTAGAGTGTAAAATCGTCTGCCATGCTGACCGAATGTAGCAATTGCAGCTGCAACAGCTGTGCGAGCCCATAGATGTTTATCTAGGCAGCGCCGCCTCACGTTTGGCCCAAGTAGTCACCAGAGGGGGTTACTGCACTTGCTCTCGGCGACGAAAACACCGCGAGCAGCAGCAGGAGGAAACATACCAGGATTCACAATCATTGCCAGTGATGGCGATGAGGCCGCGGATCTCAAAGTTGGAGATGTAGTTGGCTATGCTTATACATCTACCGGGAGTGGCTTCTTGCCAATGTAGGTGCAGTCTTGACCATAGCCATTAGGTGTCGTCATCTCAAACAAGCGCGGTCAAGTGTCATGCCAACGATGACTTTGCTGGCTTGCACGACGGCGTGGATCGTCATAGCCGGTGCGGCCGCTGTCTCCGTCTTGTTGACGTGGGATCGCGGACAATTCCCTCCTAGACATCCATTGCTGGTTGCTAGCTGAAAGAGAATAAGCAGGTGTCTGAGCCATCTGGAGAACAGAAGTAAGTGACGGAAAAGAGACAAACAGAACTTACTTGAATCCCACTGTCCATGCAGATCATGGGTTATGTAGACGATGCAATCGACCACGTTCGCTATGGATGCGATGGGGAAAATCCCCCTGAGATATCAAGACGAAGCGGAGCGGCGATGGCGAGAGACTTGCCGGCTGGGACGGAGGCTCTCACAAGCTGCAAGAAGGCTAGCGTGGCTAGGTAGTTTGGACCGTCGTCTAGGCTCCAGGTGGGATGCTAGGGATAGCGAGGGCGTTGAGGGTATTCTTAGTCGAAGTCGACGCCGTCGAGCCCGTTGTTGACAATGAAGGCGGCTACGTTGCTGGCAAAGGTGTCGCTGTACCGACGTTACGCCCTGGCGGAAGATGGGGAATGTGTCGTAGTCGGTCAAGAACGACCAGCCTCTAAAAGACAGGATGCGCTTGACGCCGGTGAGGCCAACACTTACAGGGCTGTCTTCTACGTCGATGTTGAAACCCTTTATGTTCGTCAGCGCTTGTCATGTCACCCTCATGCTGCCTTTTTCATTGTTTTGCTTTCCAAGCCAAACGCCAAACTCATATCATGAATTCCGGTAGACGCGCCAAAGTTACTGAGCCACGAGAAGATGATAGATGGCGAAAGGATGTGGGAGGATATTCAAATGCGATAGTGACCTGGTCAGCTGACGAAATGATAGGAGGGGTTAGGGATTTATCGAGGAGATGAGGATCTGCTGAAAAGCGGGGATGACCATGCTTTTCCCAATCCACCAACCAGTAAGAAATGTCACCCAAGCCCGTAACTGGTAGGTGGTATTGCAACGTTCCAAAAAGTTAGGAAGGTCAGAATAATGTAACCCGAAGGTCACGTTCACGTTACGTTACTAACAATTCAATCCAGCACAGGGTGACTAGGTTGCGACTGCGACGCAGCCCCGAGTATCGTGAAGGTTTTGGCCCAGTGCGATATCAATGTAGTGGTTGCGGCTCCAATTAGTATGCGCAAGGTTGCATGTCTAGTGCCAGACCTTTTTGGGGCACAGGCGGCCGTTAATTAAAACGCGGGGAATATCTTTGTATGTATACTACATGAGGGACGGATTACATTCAGCGCATCATTGCCTAGATGAGAAATCATTCATCCCAAATTTGACCCCACAAGTAATAACCGGCAAACTCCTTGTGCGGCTAAAACTCGGTGGCGGGACACGTCGAAAATTAATATCGGTGGCAGCGATCTCCCTTTTCCACCACCCCTTCGAAGCTAAGGCAACATTCCTTGAAGATGCGTGTCAATAACGTCGTCAAGGTTGTCACAGCCATCACGTGCGCATTGGCTGGCGTCGTTGACGCCGTCCAAGTCAATCCGCTCCCAGCCCCCGTATCCATCAAATGGGGCACCTCGGGCCCGAAGCAGGTCGCTGGGTATCTGGTCGTCCAGGCTCCGTACCACCAGCTGGTCAACGACGCCTGGAACAGGGCGTTTAACACCATTGCCTCTTTGAAATGGGTACCACAGGCCACGGAAGCGCCAATCCCCACGTTCGATCCGTTTCCCACTGAGCCACCCGCAGCTACACCCGCAGCTACACCCGCAGCTAGTCCTACCAGTAATGCAACTCAGGTGTCGACTAATAAATCGAAACGCCACGGTTCCCCGCTCCTCATTGAAGTAAAACTTGACATCAAGGATTACAAGGCGGATCTTCAGCACGGCGTTGATGAATCCTACACGCTAGACATCACGGCAAGCTCACCGGCCATCGACATCACTGCCAAGACCGTCTGGGGCGCCCTCCATGCCTTTACGACGCTCCAGCAGATTATCATCTCCGATGGTCGCGGCGGGCTCATGGTCGAGCAGCCCGTGTCCATCAAGGACGCGCCCATCTACCCGTACCGCGGAGTCATGATTGACACGGGGCGGAACTTCATCAGCCTGAAGAAGATCTTCGAGCAGATCGATGGCATGGCCCTCGCGAAACTCAATGTCTTGCACTGGCACATCGACGACGACCAATCCTGGCCGCTGAAGGTGAAGGTCTTCCCGGAGATGACCAAGGACGCATACTCGGCGCGCGAGACGTACTCGCACGACGACGTCCGGGACATCATCGCGTACGCCCGCGCCCGCGGCGTTCGCGTCATCCCCGAGATTGACATGCCCGGCCACTCGTCTGCTGGGTGGAAGCAGGTCGACCCGGACATTGTCGCCTGCGAGAACTCGTGGTGGTCCAACGACAATTGGCCGCTCCACACAGCCGTGCAGCCAAACCCGGGTCAGCTGGAGATCCTCAACGACAAGACCTACGAGGTGGTCGGGAAGGTGTACCAGGAGCTCTCGGGCCTCTTCACCGACGACTTCTTCCACGTCGGGGGCGACGAGCTGCAGACAGGCTGCTACAACCTCAGCACCATCACCCAGGAGTGGTTCGCGGCCAACTCGTCGCGGACATACGACGACCTCGTCCAGTACTGGATGGACCATGCCCTGCCCATCTTCCAGAAGCCCAAGAACCGCCGCCTGATGATGTGGGAGGACGTCGCCATCAACGACCCGCACGCCCACCACGTCCCCAAGGACGTCGTGATGCAGAGCTGGAACCTGGGGCTCGCCAACATCAAGAAGCTGACCTCGTCGGGCTACGACGTCGTGGTCTCCTCGTCCGACTGGTTCTACCTCGACTGCGGCGTCGGCGGCTACGTGACCAACGACCCGCGTTACAACGAGAACGCCAACCCGGACCCGGACACGCCCAGCTTCAACTTCGGCGGCACCGGCGGATCCTGGTGCGCCCCCTACAAGACATGGCAGCGCATCTACGACTACGACTTCACCACCAACTTGACCGAGGCCGAGGCCCGCCACGTCATCGGCGTCACCGCGCCGCTGTGGTCCGAGCAGGTCGACGACACGTGCGTGTCGTCCAAGATGTGGCCGCGCGCCGCGGCGTTGGCGGAGCTAGCTTGGTCGGGGAATAGGGATGCCCAGGGGAACAAGCGGACCACGCTGATGACGCAGCGGATCCTTAACTTTAGGGAGTATCTGGTCGCGGTGGGCGTTCAGGCTGCGCCGTTGGTGCCGAAGTACTGCTTGCAGCACCCGCATGCGTGCGATTTGTACTATAACCAGAGTGCGGTCGTGTGATAGCGCTTGTTTTGGGGGGGGGGGGGGAATGTCTCATTTAAGCCTTAAAGCCAGCTCTTCTAGCCAAAATTAGAAGTCTGAAGTACCCACGATTTAATAGCATATAGCCTGTAGTAAATGCTCTTGTGCACTACTGGCGTTTTGGTTTGGTATCGGTAATGCTTTGTGAGAAGGAGCGAAACAGCTGGTGGCTAGACTCACTTCAGAGGGCCGAAACATCGAAGTGCCTAACACAGATTCTCCATTCTCCGATGCAAGTTCGAAATATCATGTTGGGCACCTCGAGTGACTTTATTGGCATTGATCGCGGTCATGCAAGTGTCCTGGGCAAGGCCGCGCGGACGTACCACGCTCTGCAGCTGTGGATGAGCTTTGTACTGTACATGCTCTTTCTAAATTGCGTTCAATATGCAGAGCTGCAGCGATATCCCACGTGACAAAGAAGCATCGAACAAACTCGGGAGCAACGAAGGCCAGCCATAATTAGGCTACAACGATTAGGCTGCAACGATTAGGCAGCAACCGACTATTGAGGACACAATGGTTGGACATCCTCCCCAAGATTTTCTTTCTCCTAGACATGTTCTCTTATCTGTCACTACATTTCAGTATCATTAAACCCCTTCCACCATTCAATTGCCTATCGCATTATGGAGCTCCCCAATGAACATTTTGGTGGGCTGGTTCCTCATTCCTGCTCCCATTGCGCTCAGATCATCATCATTGGATCTGGTTCACACTGTTCAATCGGGAGGAGAATGAGCGGTGAATCTGAAAGCAGATTCACCTATGAAGAAGCGGAGCAGGCGAGCCGAGATGGTTGTTCCCTTTTTAAGGAGCGATTTGCATCGCTACAGAATTTGCAACAATTCACGTCCTCGCTACCAGCTCAATTACTTGAGTCTCTTTCGTTGAAGTTCAGCACTGCTCTGGTTGACGGCACAGACTTTATTTTCTTTGCCTGTGAGTGGGAGATGGACGAGCAAGCGATTGTGCCATACGAGGATAACGCTGATAAGTTATGCGTGCTGGAACTGCAAGGTGTGTTACAATATCCTGGGAAAGCCTAACTGTTGGACAACTCGCACTTACATACCTGATAGGAAACAAAACGGTGGGATTTAAGCCACCTCGGCCTCTTAATTCGGATCCTGGGTCCCAAGAAACATTCGAAAGGATTCGAAGCTGGGCGCAACACTGTTGGACGAAGCACCCTCAATGCGTCGAAGCGAGAAAGAAACGACTGTCTCTCATAGAGGCATCTCACTCAATACCCGCACGACTAGTTGAAGTTGGTCCTATTGGAGGTGGAAATGTGGTTCTTCGTGACATCCTACCATCCATCAACCAAGATACCGATATTTCTGATCAGCACACATACGCCGCACTCAGCTACTGTTGGGGTGACAAGAACGACAACGTCCGAACACTGAAAGGGAATCTCGATGAATTTCGTCATGGAATCACCCTCGCCAATCTCCCGAATACGATCCAAGAGGCTATTTATGTAGCACGAGCTATAGGATTGCCCTACATATGGATCGATGCTTTATGTATCATCCAAGACGACGAAGAAGACAAGAAACGAGAACTTCCGAAAATGGCGGCAATCTATGCTGGTGCTATGGTGGTCCTCTCTGCAGCAGTGGCTGAATCATGTCGCCAAGGGTTTCTCCGCCGCCGGAAGATCTCGGATCTATTGAGGACCGTGTACAGACTCCCTTACTATCCGACTATGGAGGGATCGCAGGAAGGATTCTTCATCCTCTCTGAGGGGCCGATCAATGACGACGAGGTTGTAGAACCTATTGACAGAAGGGGATGGACATTGCAGGAACATGTCCAAGCGGTTTCACTTCTCCGGTTTGGCTCGAGGCAAGTGAGGTGGACTTGTCCAACATCTATGGAGATTGACGGTGGTAACGACATTTCAAAGACATCAGAAGATCTTGATTCGGAAGTATTCGATGGCAGTTATCACGAAGGTGTCCTAACTCTGCCAGAGATTCTCAGCAGTCGGCGAGCAATGGAAGATTTCTGTGATGAATGGAGGAGGTTTGTCGAGAAATACACCACCCGATCATTGTCGGAACAAAGCGATTCCCTCCCTGCCATCGGTGCCATGGCACAGAACTATGATCGAATCACAAAAGGAAAAATGGGACGCTACTGCGCGGGCTTATGGGAGAAAGATTTAGCACGACAGTTACTTTGGTTTAAGCCAAACCCTTCGAACGGGACAAAAGTTACAAGACTGAAGCCGTCTTGGGCTTGGTCGTCTTTACCCGGCTCGATACTGTACCCTGCCCTGCACCTTGTGGAGTCCAGCGTGGAAATCATCAACTGCATCTTGGAACGACACGATCAAAATTGGTCCTACGGCAGCGTGGCATCAGGTGCTCTGACCGTCGATGCACAACTACGGCCCTTATTTTGGAGAGATTATCCGTACATCAACACCGAATACGACGCTGCGGACGATGAGACATCGCCAACCATGCATGTTTACTGGGATACAGATATCCAATGGGATCCGGGACATCTGTTTTGCATGGAGATACTTTCGGCTGCAAATGAGGTTTCGAAGTCCAAGGGCCTTATCTTACGTCGCCTTACGGATGGTAATTTTGAGAGACTGGGTTATTACGAATGCCCTGGATGGCTCGTCACTGAGTTCGACAGCACAGATACTGGTATATCGGACTCTAGAATCACTATAGTTTAGATATAATTTGGTAAGTCATGCCCTACTCGCATCTTCACCTTCCTGGAGGATCTCGCTCACGTGGTAGGCTACGAGGTAATTAGACCACGGAACAGGCTGGGACATTACTTAGACGTAGGGTGCCTTGCAAGTGGACCGCACCTCCGTCTAAGATTCTCGACGGTTTCTCTTCGCCGATGGTTCATCTTGGTCCTGTAAATCGCTAGAATCGCCCTCGACATCAAGTAGAAGTAGGATCTCTCTAGCCATCGGACGCTCTTGGCGTTGATTCGTGTCTTGCGCGTACGGGTGCCGCACCATTTGTAGGGTTGCGACGCGGAGTGCTTCAGACGGGTCAGTCTGTTCACGCTCTCGGGATAACCGATCACCTACCTCCATAATCCAAGGCCTTCACTCTTTCAACAGCACGCTCATACACCTCGAGAAACCGCGGCCGTTGCGACTCGTCCTGCACATCCCGACGCCAGGGATTTACCCTTTGCTGCCAGGGATGCTCTCCGAACAAGAGTAGGAACGTCAGCACGCCGACTGCCCACACATCGGTGGTCGCAGTAAAGCCCGTCATCTCCCTCTCGGGCGACAGCCAGCCCACGGTGCCGCCGTGGCCCGGGTTGGGAGACACGAACCGCGTCGGTGCGTGGATGGCATCGTCGATGTCGAGTAGGACTATGGATGGGCTGGAGTGGTTCCAATTTCGCACGCCGATGTTGGCGGATTTGATGTCGCCATGTATCCAGTTTTCGGAATGCAGAAAGTCAAGGGCTCCTAGGATTTGGGTGGTGATATGCTGGACTTTGGAGAGTCTGGGGCATGAATAAGATTAGAGCGGACGAGCTGGGGAGGTGAGTGTGGAGGTGGCTGTGGATCGTGGCTCACCTGTGTTGGAGAGTGTTTGCTTCAAGCTCTACAATAGCTAGGGTTCCCTCTACGGCTGGTTCGAGGGCGAACCACACATCAGTTGTGAGATTGCGCCGTGTATGATCGTCAGTGATGATTTCAACGAGGCGCATAATACGCTCCTCCCCTGCCGAGGTTGCGAGTCGCGTGAGAGACTCCATCGTTCTGGTCCGCCGCTGTACAATCTCGGCATCTCTCCCAAATATCGAGACGCGCTTGAGTGCAACTACCTTGCCGGTAGAATTCACTCCGATACTCACGCGGCCCACACCGCCCGTGCCGATGGTTCCAGCGTTGGTTAGATCCCAGATGCCAACCTTGATAGAGTTGGCTGGAGACGGAGTTGGAGTCAGGGCTAAGCGCGAAATACTTAGATCTGTACCATATACTTCGTTGATGTATCTCCGGAGTTTGATGCTGTGAGCCGGAGTCTGCGCAAAACGAGTGTATTCCATCTGATACGCCAGCTCACCAAAACGGACTCGGGTGGAATAGTTGTTAAGAAGATGGATCCCACCGAGTGTCAACGGCACGCCGTCAATCTCGACCTCTGACCGGGACGAAGCTTTTTGGATATATATGCGACCGCTTTCCTTATGGACCTTCACAATTGCATGTCGTTGTCTCATACCATAGAGGGGAGAGTCTTCCATCGCCATGACGAAGTCGTTGTTAGGCTCTTGGAGCCGGACTCGACCAGCTGCCCACCCACGCAGGTTGCGGACGAGGTCAAGGAAGTAGCATCCAGTCCAGATAGATTTGACGCTGCCGGCCAGAACTTGAGACTCTGGTGCCGTCGTGACTCCGTCATGGGCAGGCGGAGGAGCGCTAATTGAAGAGCTGGGCGACGAGGATGACAGCTGCCCGAAAGCATTGCGACGCAGAAACCTAGTAACATCGGCGTCTATCCGCTTCTCTGGCTCGCACCACATGAACTGCGCTGCATGAGCCCGTGCTTTTGTTGTCGGTGTCTCGCCCTGACCTCCCTCTTCCTCAACCCCTGGTTGTTCCAAGATCCAGTCTGAGACTTCGGAGAACGCAAATTTAGCGGCGGCATTGGCAGGGGTGATAACCAGTGTAGCCTGAGATGCGGCTGAGTCCGGTCCAGTGGGATCCTCGTTCGTGCACTGGCTTCCTGGGCTGTCGGCCATGATTGTTGCAAGACTGAACGAAGTAGAGACGAAATATTACCCCGCTTTCATGGTTGACAATTAATTGTACGGGCTCAGCCACTTCTGCGCCACCTTTGGGCTGGCAAAGCATTCCATAGCATCACGTGGAGCGGGGAAATCATAATCCGGCGGCGGGTTTTCTTGGAGTCCACCACTACTCAAAACAAAAAACGCGTCATCTCCCTCCGCACGCATCGCGGCGTTGACAGCGCGCGTCTATCAAACAATACCACGCCATCCCCTCAAACTGTTTCTTCTCTTCCAATCTCGACTAGGAGCATCGCGACCCCCCGACAAACACATCAAGCCAAAGCTAACGCCGATGGTGAGCCAGATGCGCGGCCTCCTGTCGCAGTTCAACCACCACCCAAAGTCATCGTGAGAGGAAACCAACCGCGTGTCCAATCGACTCGACCAAATCTCCTCCATCAATGGACGGGATCCTCCCACCCACCACAAGACACAAAAGCTGGCTGCAACTAATAGCCGAAGCGTACGAAAAGGAACATGGAGTAAGGACCCCTAGCTGTGGTTTTTCGTCGACTTGCGCTTACGTTTCGTCTTTCCGCAGCCTCTCCCAGACCCCGTCTCGACTGCCGGGTCCTTTCTAGTTACCGCTCCAAAGACCCCCGTCGCCTCATACGACATGGTCGGCTTCGATGACGAATTCGTTGCCATACTCGAAGAAAAGCTCAATGGCATTCTATGGCACCAGAAATTGCGACGGAACCTATTTGGCCCTGTCGCTGACACATTCCCGATCGGACATACACCTCCAGGCTTTCGGGAACCATACTTTGCTGAACGGGATAAGCCAATCGACACCGACAGCGAGGACGACGATAGTCCTGAGACGCAGCGTATACTCCAGAAGTTCAGCATCATTAGGACAATGAAACGCGTTGCTATGCCGCGATCACCAGGCTTTGATAAGCGCAACGCTAAAGCAAAGAAGAGGAAGGTAGAAGACATTAGGGTTAGGGAGGATTTGCGAGGTTTATCTGCTCCCTCTTTACAAACTAGTTCATAATGCGGAGGAGATACTTCCTATACAGTCAAGGACGGGTTCTTCCCCGCGTGTATGTGGGTATCGCATTTATCCACGTAGCAATTGCGAATTGCATGTGCAGATAACCCTAACCCCGACTCTAGGTACGCGGCATTTGGCCGATGACGAAGGGGGAGGGTATCCTGCTTCTTGGGGTGTCGCCGTCAAGGAGTCTTTGGGCTTTCAGGTTAATGGCGGTGGAGTGCGGAAGAGTTAAAAGGTGGAACCGTATGAGAATGTCGGATCACCAACCTTGCCAGCACCCAAAGCTGTAACCTGTCTTGGAAACTTACTTCTCTCACGTCCATGCTTGGATTCACATGGTCCACCAAGGAAGACACTGCTAGCAGTTGGCTGATCCGCTCGAACAACCGAAGCTGGAAGTCGTGCTGCATGCCATATTCCTGTTAGCGTTGAAACAAATACGGAATCTTGAAAATGTAGCCAGGCGTGCCGACTTTACAAGTTAAACAGGGGATGAGTTGAGAAGCTAGATTGTGTCGACTGCAATAAGCTATATCTGCGTGGAAATCCTTTGGGCTTTTATCATCGTGGCATTCAATGACGTAAGTAGTTTTCTGGAATATCTTCAACCTCGATAGCCTTTGCTCCATCACTGTGGGCTGCAACACCAGGCTTACGTTAGATAATATTTTATCGCCACTTACCGGGTAACAGGCTTTACTGGCGGAGGCAGAACCCGGTGACAACACTGTATCCCGGAATCTGGGACAAACCTGCCGGCGAATCGGCAACCCCATTACTTTCCTTCCGTCGCATTACGTCTCATCTCGCCATCGCAAACATCACCTGCAGGGGACGGAATCCACAACCCAGGCGACACGACCACTCAAACGGCAGCCTCCCCGGAAGGATTCTCACCACACGATTGAATGAGCTGGATCTCCGACTTAATTATGCACTGGAAAATGCTGCCGCTGAAGAAATGGAAAGCGGACATGGAGTTTAGACTGTCCATGACGAGCAAGATGGACCTGAACCTGACCCTTGCATACGGCACGCATATCGCGTCCAAGGTCCTCTTACGCCAGACTATCGCCTTGCCATCGGCGGAGTGAGACTTTAAGAACAGACTACTAGGCAACAGACTACTAGGCAGCTGCAGCGCAAAAACGTGCCGGTGCCAGACAGCAACCCCGTACACAAAGCCATGGTTGCGATACCGCTTCCTCGCGTTGACATTGTCGTTCGCCGTGCAGTGTTTTAGGATCCCATCGGACCGGCGTCCCTATACCACGTCACAAACTCGGATACGGTCTTCCGTGCCATTATTCAGCTCAAACCGGGCCATCTCCGGCGCGGCACCAAGGAGAACTCAAGCGTACCCCTGACCAGGATGACAGCCGCGTCCAGAAACCGCGCCTCCAGGCGATGTTGCCGCTCCCCGCTCAAATCCTGCAACAAGACCAGCATACCGTTTGCATCAATGACTCCCACGCTGGAGTCCCTAGCAAACTCACCCGATTTCATTAACCCTGGGCACGTCGAATTCCAGTCGTGCAGCCGACGATCCGGCAGCAAGTAGGTAGGTTTCTATCCTTTACAGGAAATACTCAACCACACTGCACGCTGCTTTGAGGAATATGCGGTCTCTTGTCTAAATTTACGTCTACATGTATCCCAGAATTCTCCAGGCCTACCTGCAGGTCTACGTCGAATCGTTATAGTACCTTTGCGCCGTAAGTTGGCTCTTGACCACTCTGGTCGGGGGATCAAGATTGGTTACATGACAGGTCGAGTATACCTTCCGGTCCCAGCGCAGGCCTTCTTCCAGGCCGCGATTATAATCTTCTTCTATCTTTTTCCTGCTTGATGAGTCTTAGATGAGTCTTTAGCAGCCTGCGCGCGAGCGTTTCCGCAACACATGCCCGAGTCAAATGCTGATCTAGTCCCGGTGGGAGTTGGATTTAGATCCATAGGCCTGCGGGATGGTCAGCGGTGCCAATCGGAACTCGGCCGAGTACTGGGGCGATGTGGATAGTTTTGACCAGCGCAAGGGGACATGGGGTTGATAGCCTATGCGCTACTCACCGCGCCAAATTACTTCGATGCGGCGAGGTTGCGCGAGGAGGAGGTGGGCCCCCCGGGGGGGGGGGGGGGGGGGGGGGGGGGGGTTGCCTGGCTGGGTGGTTCGGACAAATCAATCGGAGACACATTTAGACAGCTCAAACTCGTTCTACCTCTGGGATGGGTGGAGCAGTGACGGCCTTTGGGGCGACGAAAGGAAGCAGGAGGACTTTTACTGGGAGAACTTTGCGATACAGTTAGCGAGGCTAGAAAATGGAGATTAGCCTGGACGCATAGGGGTGGCCATACCATTTAGTCAAAAGATAACGTGTAGGTCCGCTTTTGCGACTTTCTAGACAGCTGTTGTAGTGGCGGGTATCAATTTACCGCCGCCGCTTGACCGCCTTGATGCTGTTAAGGGTCTCCTGTTGCGTCCTTTGCAGCGGTAGTCTTGACATACTGGCATTTCCAACACAGATGGGATGTTGAATATCGGCTACGCCTGCTTACATAGGTATATAGGCAGGGGCCGCAACTCGTCCCAGTTCGCATACTGGTGTCTCAAGAGCTTCGTCGTGGACAGATTACCAGAGACTCACCCGTTCTGGATGTGCAATAAGCTGCCCCACCCGCTCGACTCGTCTACCCTCAAAACACTGGGCACCGGAGATAATGCCCAACAGCACCTAGACGAAGTGGTGGTTGTCTGGCCTCCAAGGCACAACCTCTGCAGCATCCCCAAGTGCCATCTTCCCCTCTCATCGGGCGCTATTGGACGAGAAGATCCCACAAGGCACGAGAAGCCAAGTACAAGAAGCTGGCATACTCGTCTACTTTTAACTTCAGCGTCCCCACTAACTCTCTCCTCAAACAGCTAGCGCCTAACAGCACGCTTAGCATAAGCACCGACGATGGTAATACTGGGAGCGTACAGTGGGAGCCCTTTGGTGTCCACCTCGATTTCGTGGAGATCATCCTCCCTGACTGTCGGGCAGAGAATGTGCCCGCGCTTGTCAGTACCTGGAAGACACGAAAGGCGATGGACCTCCGGGTGGAGGCAACATTGATCTCTGCGATGAAACATTGGCCAGCATGGCACTTCCGCGTATACAGGGTAATATAAAGGCCATCCACCTCAACCAAGACACGATCCGATTAGTCGAGGGAGGGTTCGCTGTGTCTGCCTAGACTCGCAACGGAGTTATTCTCTGAAAAGTCCCATGAGAGATCACCTCTAGACAACCTCCTGTCGACGGCGAAGGATGGTCTACGAGTAATCGTGACTGCACTATATGGTCAGACGGGGGTGCGAGTAGAGTTGCAGATTCGTTCGACAACCTTTGGGCGAGTGTTTTGGGCGAGTGCGGCGAGTTAAATACCCCGATGCTTCGGCAAGAGACGGAGAGTGTCGTGCTACAACGTGATGCGAACGTGAAGTTGATCATCGCCTAGGGGACTTTGATCCCCACGGTCCAGCATTAAATCACCATCTGCGAAGGAGACACGGCTGGTAGGGATAATGGAGGCTAAACGGGGAAGTCGGAACGTCGTCCTAAGGTGGACCTATGGCCATTCACAGGAGTCTTTGCCGTGTCTTCAGCCTTCGCCGTTGATCACAGCCGCGCGCAGGCTCACTGGTTGAGAAAGAATTTGGTACAAGCAGCGAGCGACCCTAGAGGTAGGCCGCAGATCAGGGAGTTAGAACAAGTTACAGAGTACTAAAGTGAATTGCGCCATATTTGATTTTGTTTTTAGCGAGAGAAAAATGAGGTTCTGTGTGTGATGGGATTTAAAGCTAGTACTCCTTTCCTCTTACCGACGCTAGTGGCATGATACAGCGCAGCTTACTGCATTCCTGTGAGGGAGCAAACCTGCCACGCTGTTTAAACTGGGTGCCTATTTGTGGCGGCAACGGGTACTGTCGCTGCCAAAGATAGAGGCGAAGAAATGCTTAAACGGAAATTTAAGAAGCAAATATTCGCGTAATCGAATCATGTGGCTTAGCTAACAAGTGACGTCTATACATGGATCCAAGAACACAACGCAACTTCTCAGAGGCTTACCACAGTATCGAATACAAGGACGACCTCTAGCACCTTAGTAATTACATGGAGCTCCGGGCTAAAAGCTAATAGATGTAGGGTAGGGGGAGCTTCTTGAAAGTCGATATGCCGCTTGGCAGACGCATCCGTCTGCCAGTTCAATAAAGTACAGGATGACTCCAAAGTCGCTCACACCTTATCCACCTCCTCGACGGCGAGACTATCCCGTGCCCTCTTCTCGTCGCTTACCATAAGGTCCTCGACGCGGTCCTCGTGACCAAACGCCGCCGCCATGTGCTCGAGAGGCACGCCCTTCGTCTCCGGGACGAAGAACCAGACATACGCAGCTCCAACGACGACCCAGGCGGCGAAGAAGACGAAAGTGCCCCAGCCAATGCTCGAGATCATGAATGGCGTCGCCTTGGTGATGACCAAGTTCATCAACCACTGCACCGAGGCGCCGAGGGTGGCGCTGGTGGCGCGCACGTTGAGCGGCACGGCCTCGCTGGACAGAATCCAGGGGATGCCGGCGAAGGAGGACACGTACCCCACCACGTATAGGTAGATGAAGGCGCAGGCCGCGATGCCGCCACCACTGATTTGCCGGTCGGCACTCCCGTCGGCTGTGGGCCCAGCGACCTTGATGTACACGCCGACGAACAGCAGCGAGAAAGTCATGATGCCGCAGCCGATTAGCAGCAGCGTCTTGCGGCCCAGGCGGTCGACCAGGAAGAACAGGGCCACCACGGCGGTGACGGATTTGACGACGCCGTAGATGCCCGTGGCGAAGAGGCCCGTGCTGGTGCCGACGATGCCCAGCGACTTGAAGATGGTGGGCGAGTAGTAGTTGATGCCGTTGATGCCCGACATCTGCGCGATGAACTGCGTCACGCAGCCAATGGAGATGCGGTACAGGATGTCCCGCTGGACGCAGTCCCGCGCCAGCTTCCGCACCACCGTCCACCGCGAGTCGTCGGAACTGACCCCCATCGCCGACCGCTCCAGCTGCACCTCGGCCTGGATGTTGGCGAACTCGCGCTGCACGTACCCGTGCGCAGGGTCGAGGCCGCGGAGGCGAGCCAGGATGGCCAGGGCGCTGTCGAGGCGGCCCTTCTTGACGAGAAGGCGGGGCGACTCGGGCAGGAAGACGCAGCCCAGAAGGAATACGCCGATCAGGGGTAGCTGGATGGCCACGGGGACGCGCCACTGCATGGGGTTGGAGGCCGGGACGTGTAGGTTGACGCCGTAGCTTATCCAGAAGCCTAGCAGGCCGCCGAGCTGGTAGGCGATCTCGAAGAGGCCGATGCACCGGCCGCGGAGCATGGGCGGGGCGATCTCGGAGACGTACAGGGGTACCACGGAGGTCAGGGGCCCGACGCCAAGGCCTGTCAGGAAGCGGCCTGCGTACATGGTGTCGATGGAGCCGACTAGCTGGATGGCGGCGCCAATGATGAAGATTAGCGAGGCGGCTACGAGCGTGAGGCGCCGCCCCCAGATCTCGGCGCAGGGGAGGGCAAAGAAGCAGGCGATGAAGCAGCCGGCCTGGAAGGTGATGACAATATTGCTGGAGAGGGCGTCGAGGTCCTTGGTCGGTAGGTTGGTCAGGCCGAATTGGTCCCGGAACGCGGGCAGGGCGAGTGTGCCGCCGAGGAAGGCATTGTCGTAACTTTACGGTGGTGGTTCGAGTCAGCTTGTGCATCTTTGTTCCTGGTCTGAGTATTGGGAAGAAGGAAAGATTTGGGGCAATTACCCGAAGAGAGATCCGCCGAAGCCTGCGCAGATGGATGCGGCGTATAACTTCCAGTTGTAAACCTCGCGCGGTGTATCCCCGTCGTCTTTGAGTTTCCAACCCATTATGCTCGACTGCTAAAGTTCACTCGCGGACGTGGAAACAACAAAGGATTTCCTTGTTTGTTTTGAGGTTCGCCTAGCCAGCCTTTCAAGTGTCTCGGCCTGAAGGCGATCATCCTCTTCATATGCAGACGGCCCTGGAGAGGTTTTCTGCTTGGAGACTAGCCATGTCCTCCATGTTGGAGGAGAGGGTGCTGGTGTTGGAAAAAGCCGCGGGTCCACATCCTGAAGACAAACGCCATTGACTAAGTGCGCTAGCCCATGGGGAATGGATTCTCCACTGTGGAAACATGGAAACCTTGCCACCAGAAGGTTAGTGACTTCTGGTCGGCTCAGACGTCTGCCGACAAGGCACGCCGCGGTAATATCAAATTCCGCGGGTGTGAAATTTCACGACGGTGTCCCTGCTAGGTGGGTCCTCGAGACACATCTTTTCGGCGAGCCAAACTTGAGCTAGACTGGCTACTAATTACCTGCCAAGTGGTTTGGTAATAGAAAGAAAGGTGCAAGGGTTACCCCGTCCACCAACTAGCATACGTCACTCTTTAACACCATATGCGCCAAATTACTAGGTAAATTATTAGTAGATACTTTTACCGCGTTAGTAGCCAGGGTATTGGCCCTGTTTTTTTTTTCTTTTACTTTAGTGGGGATTATTAGATAGAACCTCTCGCATCAAACCGGTTTTGTCAACAACATGTGTAGATTAGTCTAACGTTGCTCTATGGCGTAAAAAGATCTATCCAGACCGTGCGTATTCTCTCATCTAATTATACAGCTGCTGCAAAATATCCCACGCTCGCTGGCCCCGCTCGGCGTACCGTTCTGGCAACGACTCATCTTCCACAAACAGCTCCGCACTGAAAGATTCGAGGCTAGCCCACCCCCGATAACCAAGGACGTTGATGATGACGTCGAGAATGATCGGTATGGGCAGGTAAGCACCTTTGTCGGTCTCAAAGGGGAAAAGCCGAGCGTTCCGCGACCAGGTCATCCTCTCGGGCTGGCCGGGGATATAGAGCGGATTCCCCGGTATTAGCGGAGAATCGAGCATCTCGGCATCGCCGACTTGGATGTAAAATATCTTGTCGACGTCTAGTTCCCTCGCCATCTTCGCCAACGTAGCCGCCAAGGCTTGGTCACCCCTGGGGTTTCTCCCGGTTGGGGAAGTCGGGTCTGCCCAGACTCTGCTGGCGATGTGGAACGTGTCCAGGCAGAGCCCTAAATTGGGCATGTTGACCCTCTTCACGATCTCCCATGTGCCCTCCCATGTGTCGATGTGCTTGCCCCAGGAGACGCCTTCGTAGGCAATTCTTATGACGGGGGTTTCCTTGGCTGCGAGCCTAGCAAACTCGACTAGGTCAGCCGTGATTCTGTCCAAGTCGCCTGTCGTTCCATGTTCTTGGAAGTTCGTCGGTATTTGGATGATGTCGGTCCCCAGTATCTTGGCGATCCTGAACCAGAATCGAAGTTTCTGAACGACCTTTTTGCGCTCGTCGGCGGAGGTGAGACCATCAGCGTGCTTGAAAGGCTGGAGACAGACTATGTCCAGACCGAGTCTGTCGCATTCTGCCCTGGTTTGTTTTGCGGCCGTGAGAAGATTGGCCTCGGTCAGACCTCCGGGAAGAGCCCGGGCATGATATTCGAGGCATTCGTCAAAGATCTCGATGCCTTCGAACGAGTACCTCGCGGCTTGTTGGAGCTTCTGGAAGAGTGTGTGCCCGGCGGATGAACGTCCCAGAGACACGGTGGCAACGGACGAACGAAGTCTCATATCTGGGACTGTAGAATTGCGATGGAGATGCTAATATCGAGACGAGATGCCGTGTAAACAAAGAAGGATGGCGCCAGTCTTTCGGCTTCGTGCAGTAAGGACAGGTTTAGTTCTCTCGAATCTCGGAGGAGCCATGCGTAGATATCGGGGTCAAACGGGCTGGGCAATGACAACCGGGCGGAACGATACCGGAGATTTGGCGACTTCGTAATTAGCGACTGTGTTATTCGACACTGCGAAATAGGAATGGATAACCTCTCACGCTTCCAAGATTCGATCGCTCAAGCTAACGAAGATAGTCTACCTAGCGTATGTCCACAGCCCCACCTAGCGGCGAAGCTCAATTCCACGGCTAAGCTCAATCCCGCGGCTTTGTGTTTTAGCGCTCTAGCGCCATTCCCTCCATTCCTTTTAATATTAGCGGCGCTTTCACGCACGCCGTGGGGTGTTCAACGCAAGACTTGTACGTAATATGCATATGGGAATTGTAGCTGGCCCCCCCATTAATCCCGAACGTCCCATCCACCTAGATTATATCTGGCATGCTCTTCAGCAGTCACGTGGATCCCATGCCATTTCCCATGCCATTTCATGAAACGACACGACCAGCATCTTTCGTGACACCGACCTTGGTTCTCAGCGCACATCATCTCGTCGACGATATGGCCAGTGCTGAAACAACAGATGTCCACGGCGACACCCGCCACCTCTATTTACTCGGCCACCACATCTCCCACTCCCTCTCTCCACGCTTCCACAACACCATCTACACCTCCCTCAACCTCCCCTGGAAATTCCATCTCCTCGACACTCCCAACCCAAGGGACCTCCTCCCACGGATGCACGACCCCTCCTTCGCCGGCGCATCCATCACCATGCCCCACAAGGTGACCTTCATAGACCACGTCGACGAGCTCACCGACGCCGGCAAAACCATCCGCGCCATCAACACCGTCTTCATCCGCGACGACCCGACCACGGGGAAGAGGACATACGTAGGCACCAACACGGACTGTATCGGTGTCCGAGACGCCATCCTGAATAACTACCCGGACACAGTCAGGGGAAAACCTGCCGTTGTGCTAGGAGGCGGTGGCGCGTGCAGGGCTGCCGTGTATGCCATGCTCAGCTTGATGGGTGCGAGCGAGGTGTATTTGGTGAATCGCGATGCGGGCGAGGTCGAGGACGTGATTGGGGATTTCAGACTGGCGGGTCTGGCGGACCGGTGCGTGCATGTGAGGACCGTCGAGCAGGCGCAAGGTCTTCCGCCGGCGACGGTTATTGTTGGCACGGTGCCTGATGTGGCACCTCTGTCGGAGGACGAGATCAGGGCTAGGGATATTGTCGCGTGTTTCTTGCGGAGGTCGACGACTAAGGGTGTGTTGCTCGACATGTGTTATCATCCGAGACTGGAGACGGCATTGATTGTGTCGGCGCGCAAGGAAGGGTGGGGGGTGGTGTATGGAAATGAGGCCTTCTTCTATCAGGCTCTGGCCCAGGTTGTCCTCTTGACGGGGAGGACATTGGACGAGCTGCCGATCGAGACGGTTAGGGAGCTCATATGTCCTAATACCCGTGAGACAGGCGCTAGGTAGGTAATGGAGATGATTATCGCTACACGGCCCATTGAGTACTGAGATCATGATATCTTGTCTCTGGTGTGTCTAAAAGGAATCCCCGGAAACTCTGCTCTTGTCCCGGTGAAGGGGTAATCTATCTCTTACAGACCTTGTCCGAACCCGGATACAATACTATTATGTACAAACTTCAAAGTCTACGGCACCAAGTCTAGGTATGTACGAAGCGTTTACTCTCTTTAGTAACGTCTCTTACGCGAAACCGTGAGTTCATCGCCGTGGCGATAATTCATGGAGCGTCCATGGGACGAGAAAGGTCCGGGATCAAGCCGGTGAAGCCCAGATTCTGCATGAACTCGGATGATTGGGCATCCCTATACCAACCGTTAGTGCTATGTAATTCCGTACGTTCACGAATAAAACAACCGCTGGAACTAGGACTCACCATTCTATGCCGTCCAGGGAGCCCAGCTCCCCAATAAAGTTATTATCAGGCAGAGGAAATCCACCCATCGTAATGACACCGGGGTGCTCGTGTGAGGCTTCCCCGGCATGTCCGAAATCTACATGTTCTAGTGAGAGTTGATGCTGACTCCTGCTCATGTCTGTTGGTACCGCGTAAGAGCCTGAAACCTTTTAGCATTTTTGCGACAAGCTGTAGAAGAAGACTTGACACACCCTCTGAGAGACCGAATGGAAACGTCTGTTCGGAATGTGAAGCTGCAATACTGTCGCCCGGGGTTGCTGACATGGCGTCTTCCGTCGAGCTGTCGACAGCAGGGTCCAGCGTAGGTCTCCCGAATCGGAGGCGTGCTACTCGGTGCGAATCCGGGGTTTCGAGTTCGGCGTTCAAGCCCGACGGTATGTAACCATTTTCCTTGTCGCTTAAAGATTTGTAGCTGGCGAAGATGGGGGGAGTGACGGGATTGCCAAATTTCTCGTCGTAGATTGAGAGAAGGCGGAGAATCAAATGACGCTTAGGTCCAGGGAAGCGTTGATCGAAGGGCATCCAGTGTGTTGTCGGTGAGGTGTGTTGTTTCCTCAATAGAACTAATGTGGTCTTGAAAGCAAGATGAAGGTTCACAAGCTGAGGGGAAAGCCTGGTCGGAACGGCTGAATGACCCGGATCCAAAAGCCATGGGAGAGCACAGTGGTGCGGGAGGTGATCGGACCAATGACTCAGAGACGCCAGATGTTTTGCGGCAGCCTGGTCTGGTGATCCCACCACTGGCTCCCACATGACGTCGTTTAGAATGCGAATTATGTCGACGAAGAGGTTGAATGTGCTGACTCCTCGCATGGGCTCCGGTGGACCGGGCACGGGGTTCAGCCATTGACTGTGCGGCGGAGCCCAGGGCTCCCACTCGTTTGGGCCGGTCTCTGCGAGTGTTGGCAAATGCCGGATATCTGTGCTTCTCAGGTGGGGTGGCTTGTCCAGATGGCTTGACACGATTGTATCAAGCACGAAGCAGCCAAGGAGAGTGCGGGTTTGGTTTTCGTCTGTGTCGCTTGTCGGAATAGGCGGTCGCCTTTGTAACTCAAGGGAGGCCCTAACCGAGCGGCCGACGAGCCGCCAGGCAGCGGACAAGGCCCCTCGATACATCTGATATAGGCCAAGTATGAGAAACGCCTTCCCATGGCCAAGTTCTGGACTCTCCTCCTCGTCCGGCATTGACCTCTTGGCCTGGTCGTACATCCGACGAGGCGTCAGGTGAGTGCCTTCGCCATCCCGCCCGTCTATCGGTGCGGCATCGACGTGTCCTCGTGCTTCTTGAAGAGATGAGTATGCAAGAATGGCCCAAAGTGTGCATTCATCCCCCTTGCTGGTGGCAAGGGATCTCGGAGAGGAGTAAAGAACCTCGAACATTTTGTGCTTTTCAACAATGGGCAGCCAGCAGTTGGTGTAGGAAAAATATATTTCGAGGAGGCGCTGAGCATACGGCGGAAATGCGAGTGGTTGTATGTTCTCTGACAATGGTTGCCCCTTATTCGACGTTGTATTACGAGGGGCTATTTCTATTTAGTGGTGAGAAAGTTAAAATTACGTTCCTTATATTGGATGACGGTACCTACCAGGCAACATGGAAGACTCGGGGTCTTGAATACTTTGGTCTGGCGAGCTCCGCCGAATGGGATCGAACCGGGCGACACCAAACCGAGACAGATCGAGGGCAGAATTCTCCACCCCAGAGCTGTTCACGACATTCGGGTTGGCATCGACACTCGCCTCCAGTCTCGATAAACGGCGTTCCAGCTCTATTTGCATGCGGCTCTTCACCCACGTCTGCCTCAGAGTTTCTGGGTCGCCAACCAACTTGCTGACCAATGTCAATTTTCCCCCGGAATCGAGAGCGAACTCAAGGTCGGCCAGGAGGTCGGACACAATCTTTTCTCCGTTCGGGACGACGGCGAACACGAGTGCCCACAACAGCTCTAGAGACCGCACGTATCCCGTCGGAAGACCACGCTTCTTAATGCCTAAACCGTAGTTGCATGGCGAGTCCGACATGGAGCACGGTGTACAAGTCGGTTGCCGTCCGTCACATTTGTGCTTTCGGCCGCGGCATTGATCGCAGGCTCGGCTAGTGCGCTTTCGCTTGGCCGACGAGCCGAGTTGGGGCGGGGACTCGTCGCCGGTTCTTGACGCATCGACATCGTCACTCATGGCTGCTGGTGAGGCTGTCGACGCAGGGAGAGTTTCTCAGCGCTGGAAAATTGGGCTGGCCCAGCTGTGATGTCACCCCCACTGGTTCCTGGCCTGGGGACCTCGTGCGGGGGAGATTTGACACTAGCACAGAAATGTGCTCATTTAGCGAGGTTTTGGTTTCTCACCCCCCAGTGCTTGTAACCGGAAATATTGTGGGTTCTGACTTTTCCCGCCGTCTTTTTAATACTTTTTAGCGCTAGGCTAGGCTGTCTGACCCACGGTTGGTTCCAAGGAAATCGCATGACCACCATCTGAACTCTTTTCTTGCTGTCCCCGTTCTATAGCCAGCTAGGCCACTGACGCTCTATACGCCAGCCAATCCTCGATGTCGTGTTTGGAGACACCATGGTTGAAATATTGTGCGAATCTGTCTCGAGTCTGGGCAGCACCACCGGGATGGGGAGCCCGCCCAACTTCGATCTCCCCGTCCCAACTCTGGAGAGATTCGATCCCAGGGCCTCGATTGTCATTGTCGGGGAAGCAAGGACAGGCAAGTCGACCTTGGCCGTGATCGCCTGTGCTGCGCTCGGCCGACGCCTTATCGACTTTTGTGCCTTTTTCCAACAGCGCACCGGCCTCCGAAGACGGGACTTTGAGGCGGATCACGGAACCGTCGAGTGCAGGTCTCGCGAGTTGGCGCTCCTCCAAGAGCTGCTGCTGGTGAGCGACAAGGGTCATATCATCATCGTCCCGACGACCTGCGTGGCGTACCCGGGTTCTCAGCGCCTGATTAGGAAATTTGCGCAATCTCACCCGGTCATCCACATCGCCGGCAACCTCGAGAACGGCACTAGCCCACCGCCGGAGGCTGACGCATTCCAGGGCTCCAGGAACACCAGCTATCGGATCAGCCAGTCGTGCTCCAACTACGAGTACTATAATCTCTTCGAGGACTCAGCCGATATAACTCGCAAGTCTCCCAGCCACGGCGTCAGCGATTCCACGGCGGCATACAGCTTTGGATCCTCTTTCCTCAGATTGAAGCGTGTCGAACAAGATTTCCTGCGCTTTCTCGGGTCCGCTTTGATGACTCCACGCCGTGGTTTTCTCAGTGGGATGGAACAGGACTATCCCCTCCCAGTGCAAACGCCGTTCACCTGCGCTCTCTCACTGACGCCCTCCGAGCTGCAAAATGCTAAAAATCTGGAGGGTATGCTGTGTGATGGGGCTGATGCTGTGGAAATCAGAATCAGCCTGGCCGATGACAACTGGGCTAGATCTTCCCCCACTTCTGACATCTTTGAGATTGTCAGCCGTGGCTTTACCGCCGTCCGCCGCATCTTTACGGGGCCGATCCTGTACCACGTTGTGAAACCGGAGCCTCTGAGACACTCGCCGGAACCGGAATCGGTGCACGATGGAACCCAGGAAGCCATATATCTGGATCTCCTCTGCCACGGCCTGCGTCTCTGCTCGGACTACCTCACGGTCGACCTGTCCTGCGATGATAGCTTCATCAGGAAAATCGTGGCGTCCCGGGGGCCAACGCAGATCATGGGACATTATCACGACCCTTCTCTTCGTCCCGACGGATGGTCCCGTGCGGACCGTATGGTCAAGTATATTCGGGCAAGGTCGCTCGGCTGCCGGATTGTTCGCCTTACTCAAGTTGCCGAGTCAGAGGCGGACAATCTCGGCGCCCGGCAATTTGCCCACAACGTCCGAACTTCTGGGTACCTCCACCCTGAGCTAATCGCCTACAATACTGGGCTTCAGGGTCGAACGTCCTGCTGCTTCAATCCGATATTCACTCCTGTCTCTCCCTCTTTGCCCCTCATGTCAGGAGGCAGACCGGTCCCGTCGAACCAAGCTTCATTCTTAACACTCAAAGATATACAGACAGCGCTCTATGCTTCATTTGTCCTGAACAAGATGCATCTATACATCATCGGGACCGACGTATCCTCCAGTCTATCCCCGCCGATGTACGAGACGGCCTTTAGACATCTAGGCCTACCACACACATTCGTGCCCAGGAGCATGGCGTCCATTCGAGAAGTAGAGGACTTAATTGCGGACGATAGCTTCGGCGGCGCCAGTATCGCGCAGGGACACAAGGTGTCGGTACTCCCCTACACGCGATACATATCCCACCACGCTAGGATGATCGGCGCAGTCAACACGCTCATCCCCATCAGATGCAAGTGGGAAGGGCGCAGCACTCCCCCGCTCGGGTTCTGGCGGCAGAGAAACAGATCTGGTCCCGTCAAGGGTCTCTACGGAGAGAACACGGATTGGATCGGCATATACAGATGCATAGCCAAGAGGCTCTCGCCGGTCAACGCTATCAGCTCTAGGACAACCGGTCTCGTCATGGGAGCCGGCGGCATGGCCAGGGCGGCGGTATACGCCATGATGCAACTCGGAGTGCGCCATATTTTCCTGACCAACCGCACAACCGTCAACGCATACACCCTAGCCGACCATTACAACAGCCAGACTGTCGGCCAGAACGGCGTGCCAGACGAGTCCGGCGCCGACACGCTGAACCTCTCCAAGAGGGCGTCGGTAGGATCAGCACGGGTGCACGTCATTGAGTCGCTGGACCACCCGTGGCCTCAGGGCTACGCCCAGCCGACTATGGTCGTCTGCTGCATTCGCGCCCCCGTCGAGATCCACGGCACGCAGCCCGGTATCACTATACCGCCGCAGTGGATCAAGAGCCCCAATGGCGGAGTTGTGATTGATGCAAGTCTCGAGTCCCAACCAGCACTTCTGAATATTGTGCGCTAATACATACACGCGTTCACACAGACCTGTTATGAACCCCTGCTAAGCCCGCTGATCCGCCAAATGCGCCGCGAAGCCCACAGGGGCTGGGTAACGGTCGACGGACTGCTGCTGCTGCCCGAGCAGGCCGCCGCGCAGTTCAAGCTCTTCACCGGTCGGGAGAGCCCGTATATCCGGATGTGCATCGCCGTGTTGCAGCACTACCAGTCGGAACTCGATCCAGAGACAGCCGACTTGATACAGCTTAGAATGAAGGAGCTGTATGGCAAGCTTGGTCTTGACCCTCCGCGTTCCGGTGTGTCATGATGACCGCTGACCGCGGTTCCCATACACCTTTTCGACGGATCTCTTCGGCTCAACGACATGCCTAACTAAAGATAGGACAGAAAAGACTTAATGGGGGATCAAGAGGTCGGCACAACGGAAAGTTGTACATTTATGCATACCAGGAAGCAGCATTCATCGTGGAGTTCTGTTTAGCGATACTTGTTTGTAAATAGTTGAGTGACTCTGTGATTGAGATTACCTGCTTACAAACTATATGGTTCAATATCTACAGGCGCTTCTGTCTCTAGCGACTTCTTTACGGCCTCACAAACAATCAGGGCCGCCAACCCCGCCTCCGGCGTGCACCTTGGCTCCTCCCGGTCTCGGATGACTCCCACAAAGTGCGCCAGCTGCCGCTCAAACGCCACCCCAGCGTCCACCTCCAGCCGTTGCGACGTCATCTCCCCTTCCCAGCTCTTGACCGCACAGCCATCGTACGACCACCTCGTCATATCCGGAACACTCAGCGTAGCATCCGTCCCGAATATGCGATAGCAGTCCTGCCTACTAAGTGGGAACCGCGGATCTTCCCCAGTGCCAAACTCCCAGCCGAACGGCGTCGCGACGTTATCGCAGAGGAAGAACGTGCCAACGGCGCCAGTCTTGAACCTGAATATGATGGCCGCGCCCTCCTCGGACTCAAAACCCCGCCGCGAAGGCGTCTTCTCAGCATGGACCCGGACAATGGGGCCGAGGAAGGAATGCAGCAGGTCCACGTCGTGGACGAGGTTGATCAGGACAGGCCCGCCGGCCTTCGTCCTCCGCCACTCGGCGTCATAATACGACATCGGTTTGAGAACACCCCACAGCCCGTTCACGCCGACGATCCTCCCCAGCGACCCCGATCCTATCGCCTCGGCCGTCGCCACGGCATACGGGTTGAACCGGCGATGGTGGCCCACCAGTGTCCTTACACCCGCCCTCACGCGCGCCCCTTCCAAATGCGCTGCTAACTCCCTGCCGCTCTGCGCGGAGGTGGAGAAGGGCTTCTCGATGATCATGTGGACGCCCGCGTCTGCGAGCTCCTTGGCGGCTGCGGCATGCGTGTGGTTCGGGGTGCACACGATGGCTGCGTCGGGCTTGTGCGGGGACGCGAGGAGGTCGTCTATGGACTGGTAGAAGGCTGCGCTGTATTTCGAGGCTGCTGGCTGGGGGATGGGGTCGACGATGGCGACGAGGGCGAGGTTGTCGTTCTGCAGGATCGCGTCGGCGTGCCGTGGGCCGATGATGCCGAACCCGATGACGGCTATGGTGATTTTGCTGTCGGTTAAAGAACCCATCCTGGCTTTTGGTACCACGGCTTGAGCACAATTAACTGTTACTAGTTGTTTGGTGTGGATACTGGGTTCCTGTGTTGCCAAGATGATCACTTCAAAGAGCAGCACAGCGCCCATCAGAGCAACTAAGATCTATCGGTGCAATAATAAATCATGTATTAAATGTCACAGGCTTTAAAATTCCCCGCAATACCCATAATTGCCGTAATCTAGCATCGTCGCGATGTTGAAGGTTGCGGGATAGTTCTTTCCCAGGATCGGCTAAGGACTAGCCGCCGTGGCGACTTCGCCCGCCACAACCGGGATTTCGCTTTTCCCCCGCCCCTATGTCGGAACATGTCCTTATCTGCTTCTACACAGTACAGTACATAAAGGTGGGGGGTTATCAATTATGGGTGGATCTAGGTACAGACAAATGAACAGTGCGATGAAGTATCAGTGGGTACTCACGTGATCATCTGGCCCAAGACCAATGTAGTTAAGCCTAGTAAAATGGGCTTCTCCTGCATAACCGAGGAACGGAATCTGGGGTACTTGACAATTCCCCGGCGGGGATTCCATACTTTCTTTCCCGTTTAGAACGCCTCAATATGTAACCCAAATGAGGATACGTTGCCCACGTAAAGCCGATAGGTGTCTATCGTTTTGCCTTGTCGCCTAACGCCACCAACATAGCACCCATCTAGGTAATTTTAACAAGCACCAAGTACCAGGGCGCATGCGGTGTAGAATAACCCATTTCCTCGGATCTCGCAGCCCAAGCTTGCAAAGTCCTTGTAATGCGTCACCACGAAAAGACAGGCCGACATTTACTCTTCTGGGAGAATAGTCTACTCCAAGAGCGGCAATCCGAGGGTTTCTGAACCCTATGGCGTCATGGGATAGATAGCTCCGTCGCTAGACAAGGCAATATTCGCCCATTTATCCCAAGACTAGCTAATGCACCAACCGCCGTCCAAAACCCCCCGGGCAGATCCGCGACCCAATCCGGTAAGTATTCCCGTAGACAATACAGCTTCCAAGATGGACGCCTGACGCGACGCGATGTAGGTCATTTACTGTCTGTATTTAAAGAAGAAAAAGATTCGAGGCGTTACCAAGGCTCAATTAACCGTTTCCACCCTTCTGATATCCTCTTGTGAATCCCCTCAGTAGACAATTGTTTTGATTAGAGTTCCCAGAGGCTACCATCGCCATATCCAGAAGCCCAAAATGGCACCCATTGCCACCTACGCCGACGACGAGAAGAACGGCGCCGCCCTTGAGGCCACCTCGGACGCCCTCGACGCCGTCAACATCCTCAAAGCCAAGGCGGCGGCAACACTCGAGCAGTCCCTCGAAGCCGGCGGCTTGGTTCCCGAAAACCCACCCAGGTTCGACTCGGAGAAGGACAAGACATCATTCCGGCAGTACGAAGAGGCATGCGACCGGGTCAAGGCCTTCTACCAGGAGCAGCACGAGAAGCAGACGGTGGCGTTCAACCTCGGCGCGCGGGTGCGATTCCACTCGGCGTCGCGCGAGGGCGAGGAGATGTCCATCTGGGAGGCCATTGAGAAGCTGAACACGCTCATCGACGAGAGCGACCCGGATACGGAGCTCAGCCAGATCCAGCACCTGCTGCAGACGGCCGAGGCCATGAGGAGGGACGGGCAGCCCAGGTGGATGCAACTCACGGGGCTGATCCACGACCTGGGGAAGCTGATGTACTTCTACGGCGCCCATGGCCAGTGGGACGTGGTTGGGGATACGTTTCCGGTCGGGTGTGCGTTTGATGAGCGCATCATCTACCCCGACACGTTTAAGGGCAACCCCGACTCCAAGGATCCTGTGTATAGCACCAAGTTTGGCATCTACTCGCCTGGCTGCGGCCTGGACAATGTCATGCTTAGCTGGGGACACGACGAATATCTGTACCACGTGGTGAAGGATCAATCGACTCTGCCGCCAGAGGCTCTGGCCATGATCCGCTATCATTCGTTTTATCCATGGCACAAAGAGGGTGCTTATCGGGAGTTGATGGCGGAGAGGGACCACGCCATGCTAAAGGCTGTGAAGTCATTCAACCCCTATGACTTGTACAGCAAGAGCGACGATGCGCCGTCTGTCGAGGAATTGAAGGTACGTCGTGAAACTCACCTGTCCCTGGCGTGCACCGCGGTCGAGGACCAAGCTGACCTGATTCTCTCCGACGTAGCCATACTACCTGGAACTGATTGACGAGTTCTTCCCGGAGAAGCGAATCAAGTGGTAGATGTTTGGGGCAGATGCCATGACGGGAATTGGGATTGTATGCCTCGGCAAATCTACATAGTCGCATATGTTCTTTCCGCCCTTACACACATACAATCCACCTCTTCCTCGGAGCCTCTATCTTGCGAGATCAATGCAGTACCTCATCCGACTCACAAGCGATATCCCCTGCCATATCACTGTAAGTAGCTTGGGCCTCACTCTTAAACCAGCATACACCAATTTGGGACGACCCTCCATGCCCCAGCGCGGCTGAATCAGTGACTGTCATTCCCCTATGATGTCTTGCTCCCTTGACGCCGAGTGTCACTACAGAGGCAGATAGTAAGAGGCAGCAGCATTGAGACAGACAGGACGTATTGATATTTCATTAGTACTAGTACTATTGAGCCTCTAGGCCACCAACTTGATACTAATTACAGTAACCCTAAATGCCTGAATCCACCCATGGGAGCCTTGTTAGCTCTACAATCTGGCCTGCTCAATACGGCGCCCAGTCTCATCGAAGTAGATCTTCTGACCCGAGTTCAAGCTCTCCTGCAAGGCACGGCCGATCTGGACGGCCTGCACAGCGCCCGACAACTTGAGCGGCAGCTTAGTTCCATCCAGGCACGCGGCAGTAAACTCGTTGGCCTCGGTGACAAAGGCGTCCTGGAAGCGACCCCAGTAGTCATGCGGGATCTCGCGACGCACACCCGTCGGCTCATGCATCTCCACCAGCGACCCAGTCGGGTTGCCATTGACAACCAACTTCCCCTCGGTGCCGACGATCTCCGTCATATCGTGCTGCCCAGCAGCCATCATGCGCGACGAGTAGAAATAGGCAAGCTTGCCGCCCCAGAACTCGACGACGCCCACGCCGTTGTCCACGTCGGCGTGCCGGCGCAGCTCGGGCTGCACGGCGCACACCCCCGCGGCGGCGACGCTTTTGACCACCGAGTCCTGCCCCAGAAACCACAGCGCCAGGTCGATGTCGTGGATGTTGCAGTCGACGAAGATGCCGCCGCTGAACTCGGCGTACGCCACGAAGAATCCTGTCTTGTCCAGCCGGTCGCACGTCTGCGACCGGAACACCGAGGGGCGCCCGATGGAACCGGCTTCCATGCGGTCGTGCGCGTCCCTGTATGAGGCGTCGAAGCGCCGGGAGAAGCCGCACATGACTTTGAGGTGGGGCTTCCTGTTGGCGGCGTCGACGACGGATTGGGACTGTTGGGCGGGTCAGCCTTGGGAACGGAATAATAACATATTTCGGAATGACTACATGTTGGTGATGTGGAGATGGACGGAAACTTGAGGGATGAGGTGACATAAATAGGAGCTGAACATACAACTTCCACACTCGTGCTCAGCGGCTTCTCGCACAGCACATGCTTGTCGGCATTGATGGCCTTGATGGCCTCCTCGGCGTGTGCCGTCGTCACGGTGGCAATGAGGACGGCCTGCAGTCCTGGGTGCTTGAGCATCTCGTCATAGTTGGTGTAGATGGTGACGCCCGACGGCTCAAGCTCGCGACGAGCCCAGTCCACCTCCTTTGCGTCTGGCGTGAACGTTGCCACGAGCTCGGCACGGGGAGTTCGGCTGAGGAGATTCAAGGCATGGCGAGCGCCCATGCGTCCGAGGCCGGCACAGGCGATCTTGAGTTTTTGTGGAGCCATGGTGACAGTGGGTAGGTAGCTTTGAGACTGACGTAAACTGGCAGGGGGGATGGGGGTGGCAAAGACCGGTTACGACGCTGCGTGGGACACAAGAGCCAATAGTCTGGTAATTAGAGCTCCAAGAGACGTAGTGAGAGAGAGACCTTACTGGGTCTGGGGCCAGGTCCCGAGCCCCCAAACTTCCAGGTCTTATACTTGTACATAATATTGGGGCCAGCGGATTGCGTCGACGGCTGCGAGATAGGAGTTGCACACAAGAAGCGGTGTCCCACGTTCAGCGGAGTCGGACACGTAGAAAGAACTCCAGGCCCCGCCGCAAAACCTTCCGAATTAACCAGTGACAATCGAATTGGTACTGCTGAGAGATAAGCGCGGTCTCTGCAGAGGCTTCATGTGACTCGCGTGGCGGGACATGGTGGGGAAGAAGTGGAGATCGCTAAGAAAGGCAAGTCTGGCGGCTCAACGAGGTAAGTCTCGCCTGGTGGGAGTGGAGCTATGACCAATTATATAATATAGGTAGACGGAGATTTCCGTTATCTGGCTAACCCAGGTTAGGCCTACTTTTGGCACTAAAATGGGCTCTCCCCGCATAACTACTGTGTAAGGGAGAGCTGCAGGGGCACCGAATCTGGGGGTACAATGCCTCCCCGCGCATAGCCCAAATGAGGATATGTTGCCCGCACGTAAAGTCGATAGGGGCGCCGTTGCATCGCGCCCCACCAGGGGATGTATGTATGTACACTACAGTACATGCGCTAGTAGCGTGAACATCTCAAACGGGTAATTAATGCTTATCATACCATCCCCCCTCGATTTCGCCTCTAGTCTCGCCATAGGATATCCCAACAGTATCACAGTGAGACGTTTGGCGTTTTCAGAATGCGGTCCTAAGGGCCTATGCCTCAAGCATGCTCTGCATCAACTGCATGTAGAATCTTGGGAATGTAGATAGTGAGGGGCTGTTGCCTGATTAGCTTACAATCTACGGATTAACTATGCAAGGAAATGTACTCAATAATATACACGAACATGCACCTGTTGGAGAAGCCAGTGCACCATATGGTAGATAAATGGATTGACGAAATAATTCCACAGGGATGTTTACAACACCTAGTTCCATCTACATATCTAATAACACTCGCACACTCACACTCCACAGAGCTACCACGCACTGAAATACTGAAACACCCTTGCCCCGTAGCCAACTTCACACTTTGTCGACAGCGTAGTGCACAGCGACTTCCTTCCTCCGCCTCTGAATCTCCCTGGCCTTTTTAACACCAAACCCGTGGTTGAACACCTCCCGGATGTCCTCCAACGTCATGCCCTTGACCTCAGGGTAACACAAGTATATGGCCACCCAGCCAAAGGCGCAGATAGCCGCGTAGAAGCCAAATGCGCCCGACGGGGTCGTGTTCTCCATCTGAGTCAAGAACGTCGACGCAACAATAACGTTGGAGCCCCAGCACGTCATGGTGAGCATCATGGTGCCCATGGCGCGCACCTCCATGGGGAAGAATTCGCTGCTAAGCCACGCCGTGTTGCCGATGCCCGACGAGTAGGAGGCCACGTACACGACCATGCTGACCAGCACCAGGATGGCCGGCCACCCGATCTTGGCGCCCTGCTGCAGCGACAGGTCGTGCTGCACGGGAATCCAGTGGAACGCGATGGCCGCGATGACGAGGAACAGCGCCATGAACGGCACGGTGCACAGGAGGATGCGCCTGCGCCCGAGCCGGTCGACGAGCATGAGGTTGACCCAGGTGAAGAGGAAGTTTGCCCCCGCAATGACGGTACCGACAGCGACGGGGTTGGAGAAGCCCACGAGCGCGAAGAGCGTCGGCGAGTAGTACATGAGCGAGTTGAAGCCGCCGAGCTGGGAGATGGCCATCAGGCCGCAGGCCGACAGGAGGGCCCGCAGGTTTGCCGGGACGACGTACAGCTGCTTGAGCACCCACCACTGCGACTTGCCGCGGTTCGTGTTCTTGGCGTCCTCGACGTGCATGGTCATGTGCGCCACCTTGCCGGCGACCTGCTGCTCCGTGCCGTGCGGGAAGATGCGCCGGATCACCGCGGCCGCCTCGTCGGGCCGGTTGTGGTAGATCAGCTGCCGCGGGGACTCGGGGCAGAAGGGGAGCAGCGCCGCGAGGAGCAGCGCGGGGAGAGCGCCGCCGCCCACCATGTACCTCCACCCCCCGGGCACGTAGGCGAACGCGGCCCCGATACCGTAGCTCAGGAGCTGGCCGCCCGTGATAGACATATTGTCGAGACCGATCATGCGGCCGCGGTACTTGGCCGGTGACACCTCGGCAATGTACCTGTGATTGAGTGAGTGGCAGGTCAGCAAGCACTCTTGTCAAAATAAACGACGTGTGCAGCGTAGCGTCGGTGGGGGATCATGGTCGGTCTTGTGCTTACATGGGAACAATCATGGCAGCGGACCCGACGCCGAAGCCGACGACGAGGCGACCGACCGTCATCTGCGCTAGGGAGAAGGCGGCGGCCTGCAGGATCGCGCCGACGGTGAAGAGCACGCAGCCCACGTAGATGGCGATCTTGCGTCCGTAGCGGTCGGCGGTGGCGCCGGCAAAGATGGCTCCGAAGAAGGCCGCGCCCGAGGTGATGGACGTGATGAGCTCCTTCTCGGACGAGCTCAGCATGTGGCCGAGGTCATCGTCGATGTAGATCAGGACCGCCGAGATGATGCCCGTGTCGTAGCCGAAGAGCATACCGCCGATGGCTGCGGTGGCCGAGATCAGCCACGGAAACTTTCCCGTCTTGGTCTGCTCGATTGCATCCAAGTCTTCGAGCACTGTTTGCTGGTCGAGGGAAGCATTGCTGAGGGAATTCTCGAGGTGTCGAGATTCGCTCTTTAGATCGTCCACAGCCATTGTATGCTGGACCTGGGCTAGACTCGCTGCGATGAGCTAAAGTCAAGCTTGATATCTCTTTCTGTGGTGGATAAGGTAGGGGTGAAGTGAAAATGAAGTCGACGACTGAGCGGCTGTGAGAAACGTGGCAGGCGGCATTTCCCCGGGGGAGATATGCGCATTATAGATAGAATCCGACCACGACCCTGAGATGACGTTGTCCGTGATAGTTGTCTGGAGGCACCCAAGGGTTAAGGAATGTGGGATGATTCCAATTGAGAATGGCAAGGGGATGGAAGGCCGCAAAGAGGATCCAAGCCTGTAACAGCCAATGGCAGCGAGGGGGATAATGCTTTTCACGGGGAAGGGGGGGGGATTCCTCGGCACTAAGCCCTTCTAAACCGGATGTGGAAAGGTCGACCGGATCCGACATGGCAGTGGATTCACGTTACCCCAGACTTCCCCGGAACGAGTTCGGGTCGGATGCGGGGATTGGGCACGGCGGCAAGCGGTGGTACCAAAAAGCCTCGCAAAAGTTACCCAGCGTACTAACCCAACCAGGTCACTCCTTAATAACCATATAGAGAAGGCCACTAGAAATTATTATTGAATACTTTTAATCTACTAGTCAGTAAGGTAACTCGTGCGAGGGATTTTTTTTACAACCGTTTGGGTGGGTCCCTATTTCCCATCGCCTATGCTAGCGTGCAGGGGGCAAGTGAGGGGGTGGTGATCTGCATGATGCGGGGACTGGGGCAATTGCCGATGGCCCGGCCGACCTTATCTTCCAAGCTTGAAGGCGGCAATCTCCCCCGTCAGGCAATTTTCATGGACTTTCCGTTCTTGATCGCCTTTAAAATAAAATCCCGCTTCTTGCTCATTTTACCTGATGCCAGATAGGTAATCGTCGCCGCCGCCGTTATTGTCACTCGCTTCATCATCCCCATAGTGGCTCCACCCCCAGCCATCATCGCAGTCGGTTCCCGGACTGCTACCAGATCAATCGGTCTCTTGTTACATGAAACCGTAAGAGGTGCTATGCTATGCAGGAGGCGTCCGCCAGCGCGGGCTTACCAATCCAGAGACCTTTTAACCCTTGCAACGTGGGTTTCCAGTCCCCATTCCCCCTTCCGAATGAAGCAACTTTGGCCTGACAGCTACACACTAGGCTTGCAAAGCAAGGTAAGTCCACGAGTCCACGTCCATGACACCTCTACGAGAGGGGCGCAGATTCCATCGTCGTCTGACTTGATATCGTGCCAGGCACCAGAAATGTGAGTTCCAGGCAGTGGCTCCCCGAACGGGCCGATTGATCACCATCCAATATTGACGAAACTAGGCGATAACCGCCGACCGTCGTGTTCTAGCTGTCGCAGGGGTGGCATTGAGTGCGTGCGGGGCCATAGCGTGCGCTTCCGGCACACGCTGAACCCGAGGTTGGTCCTCGATCCTAGGTTACCCGACTCGAGTCGAGTGCGTGTGCTAAAGTCGCGTCGTGGTGTCACAGCGTTCGACCGAGAAGGGCGTCAGAATCCGCTAGGCGAGACTATACCTTTGCGCGCAACCAGCCGTGGGTGGAGGTTAGCCGAAGCTTGAGTTTTGTCGACGAGACGCAGGTGATTGTTAACAACATCAACGATTCCGGGGCCGGCAGCTTTGCTACTGCAGGTGATGGCGAGGACAACGCCACAGTCAGTATTAGCGCCTATCCAAGGAGGCAGCTGCCGTCCCCACGTTCATGCACCGCTGTCGACACGTCCCCCTCTCCATCTGCACCTTCTCAGACATCACAGCTTGCTTCATCAGGCCCGGACAACGCTCCCACGACTGAAGACAGGAGTGTGGTGGTGGGACAGCTAGGCGATGCGATAGCCTTGAGCCCGGACTCGACTTCCGGGGCCGCTCTGTCCTCTCCCGGGACTGATGTATCGTCCTTGCCGGAGCAACCGCTCAATCTGATTTTCAGCCCAGGAAGTGTCGATACGGCAAACACTTTTGGGTTAGGGCTAGACCAAGCTCTGCAAGGCCAGGATGTGCTTTTCGGCCTCCCATGCGAAGATAGCTTTATCCAACTGCATAGCGACGGGTTAGCAACAAGCCCTCGCCATGCTGCGGACCGACCGGGATCATCAATCTACCTCGACACGCCGCAGTGGCCACTCCAGGACTACCAACAGGCGTTTCTACTCCGGTACTACGTCGAAAACGTGGCGCCACTCCTCGATCTATGCGACCAAGACCGGCGACACTTTGCCACGGTTGTGCCGCAGCGCGCAGCCACCTGCCCGCTGCTCCTCCACGCCATGCTAGCAGCCTCGGCTAAGCGCCTGAGCAGGATCGGCGACTTCGACGGCCTCGTCGTGGACCGGTACCACCAAGACTGCCTCCGGCTCCTGATTCCCGCGCTCTCCAGCTCGGCGGCTGTCGTGGACGAGAACCTGCTCACGGCGATCGTTCTCCTTCGCTACACCGAGGAGCTGGACGTGCCCGTCGCCCCGCCCGGCCCCGAGTTCCACCTCATGGGCACGCGCGTGTTCCTGGCGGCCCAGGAGAAGACGCTGAGCGACTTCAGCGGGCTGCGCCTGGCCGCGTTCTGGGTCGCCCTCCGGCAGGAGATCTACATGGCGTTCGTGCACTCGCGCCCCGTGCATGCCAACTTTGTGCTCAGGGACATTGGAAAGCTCATCCAGCCCGACGACAATGGCTCCGGCTTCGCGAACGGTATCATCATCCACTGTGCCAACTGCCTGCGGTATTGCTACGGCTCCGAGGAATGGAGCGTCGGTGCCTGGAAGGAGCTGCGGGAGTACCAGGATCGATGGTGGAGAGAAAAGCCTTGGTACTTCCAGCCCACATGGGCCAGCGAACCAGAATCGAATGGTATTTTCCCGACTGAGATCTATCTCAGCGATGCTGTGGTGACTGGTCTCCAGCATTATCATCTCGCTCGGATCCTCCTCATAGCCCACAACCCAGAGATACCTAAACTCGGGCCCGGGCAAGTCTCGGCGTTCAGAACGATGAACGACGAAATCAAGAAGACGGTCCGCGTCATCTGTGGGATCGCTGAGGTCCAGATCCCCCCCCTCCATTCCCACCGCAGGTTGATAACTGTGCTGACATGTCAGGGGTTTCGTTGACAGTCTAACCCTCGCACCGCTCCGGCTTACGTGTTAGTCTACCGCGCACACTTATTTGACTCTTGCGGAGTGTGCTTTTACTGATATAGGGCGGCATCCGGCAGCAATGCATGCATAGCCATAACCATGGCAGGCGATCGCTTCACAGAACGACATGAGCAAGAAGCCTTGTGCGGGATTCTCGAGAAGACGGACAAACAGATGGGCTGGCCCACTCGCTCTGCGTAAGATCTGCTTCGCCTCGTGCGAAGATATGGTGGGCTAACCTATGACAAAGGCAGGTAGGATTGCGGGAGGCTTGGGGTTGGGAAGAAAGCCATTCCGGCATGTCTATCGCGGACATGCTGAACACCAGATCGCAGGCGTCGACGTCGTCGCAAGTAGAGCGTTGAAAAAGTGGAACAAGAAAGTAACCCTAGGTCTCGGAATTTATTAGACTGAAATTCGGTATTATCAACCTAAAACCTCCTTATCAATGTATGACCTGTTGGGCACCGTGACAACATTGTAAATGCCCCTCGCGAACAAGAAAACGATTCGATAAATTGACGTCCTAGCAGGTTTACCGAATCCTATCCCCAGACATCCTCTAGCCACTGATTCCGCTTCTTAGCAAACTGGCTCCAACTCTGCACCTCCTCATCACTCCACCCATTCACCCGCCCCATCAACCCTTCTACCACCCTCCCAACCTCCCTCGCCATCGCCGCCCGCCCGCAAATATACATATTTGCCCCCTCCCCAAGCAACCCACACACCTCCTCCCCCTTCTCCGCCACGCAGTCCTGCACATACATCCCCCTCCCCGACCGCGAAAACGCCACGACAACCTCCAACATCCCATCCTCCGCCGCGCGCGCCAGCTCCTCGCGGTATAGGTATCCGTCGTCGGGGCGGCGACACCCGAAGAACAGCACCATGCGGCCGACGGGCTTGCCCGAAACTGCCCGGAGGCGTGCTCGCTCCTGCACGAAGGCGCGGAAGGGCGCGATGCCCGTGCCCGCGGCTATCATGATGACGGGTTTGCTGGCTAGCGATGGGAGCTTGAAGGGTGATCTGCGGATGTGGGCGAAGACTCGATGGCTGTCGGCGGAGGGCAGGGATTGTCTTGTGGTGGTGGTGCCGTTGATGGAATCGGCGAGGGCGAGGAGGTAGTGAGTCGTCAGACCGGGGATTTCCTTGGACGGGTCGCCGGGTAGCTGGGTCTTGTCTACGGCGACGGTGAGGGAGGCTCGGCGCGGGGTGGCGGAACTCGAGGATGACACGGAGTAGTAGCGTGGCTGGAGGGGCGGGATGGTTTCGACGAGGTAGGAGAGTGGTAGGTCCTTCCAGACTATGTTGGGAGCCGCGAGCGAAAGCAGGCGGCCGATGGTGACGTGGGTTTTGGCAGTGTAGGATGCATACGCTTCCTTGTCCTCCCCAAGCGACTTCAGGAAGTCCTTGGCCTTTTGGGAGGGCGCGAAGTTCGCCAACTCACGGATGGTATCCCGAGACACAGGGGCGCAGATCTCGAGGTAATGCCGGAAGAGAGCCAAAGCGGTTGTCGGACTGGGGATTGTGGCCTTTGTTGCCTCCTCCAAGGGAGTGATCAGCAGCGGCGTATCTGCTCGCGCTCTGATTCCGACGGCTTCCATGATGAGCTGCATTTCCTCGTCCGGGTTGATTGGATAGATGGCAAGGTGATCGCCGGTCTGGTAGCGCAGCTCTGGGTGTTCAACCAGGTCCAGCTCTATGTGAAGGCAGCTAGCCTCGGAGGAATCACCAATGTGGCGAACCTCCTGTATGGCCAAGGATTTAACAGGCGAATATGCGTTTCTAGCCTTGGCGATCCCACTTCGCCGACTGACGGGTTCGCCATGGTGTAGATCAATTGGCGAAAGCGAGGTGTCCTCGACAACTGCAAAACTCGGCTCGTATGGGACGCGACGCTGTTGGAATCCGAGCTTCTCCACGAGGAAGGAATGGAGCTCGTCTTTCCAGGCAATGAAAGCCTCCTCTGTGCCGCCATTCGCGTCATCCGCCCTGCCTATGGGCATCAGCCGACGGGCCCCAGCGTTATCGAGTGCCTCAACAACAACGTCCACGACTCGGTTGTAGTGCTTGTAGTTGCTATTGCCGAGGCCAAACGCGACGTATCGCAGGTTCTGCAGGCGCACTTCCGAGGCATCGTTCCGCAGCCATTCCCACAGGGCAGTAGCGTTGTCGCTCGGGTCGCCCTCCCCAAAGGTTGAAAGCATAAATATGGCCAGCTTCGACTCCGGGATAAGCGTAATCGTGTCGACGTCGTAATCAGACAGGTCGGCCGTCAGGACGGCCTGGCCGAAGCGTAAGTGGCACTCGCGAGCCAACCTGTTGGCGAACGCCTCTGCCGTGCCGGACTGCGAGCCCCAGAAGATGACGATGTCCTTGTTCTGCGGGGTACAAAGTTAGCGGGGAAGGGGAAAGAGGTGCTGAGGAGGACAAATGCTCCGAGTAGGGAATAGCGTACAAATTCAGCGAGCCTTTGCGCGATGTTCCGCGTTGCTTTTTGACGGGGAGCAGCCCCGGCATCTCGCAGCTGCGGCCGCTCGAACCAGACTCCATGGTACGGGTCGGGTTTGTCCCAAGCAATGCCTCTGAGCAAGTGAGTTGCCAAACCCAGTCCCACTGCGGCGAGGGCAACAACATCGGCCATCGAGGCCGGGGCCGCGAGGCGTGCAAGCTCTGAGACGTCCATCCGAGACATGAGATAATTATTAAGCTGTGGTATCGGAAACGCTTTCTCACCTCATGATCCATTCAACCTTGCGTCGCCCAGGAACCCGGGTCTTGCGTGCCTTCATACTTCATATGGCTGAGTTGGAGCGGATTGCCTGCCTGAGGCCACAACGAGAATGAAGACGCAGATCCATTGTCGTGATGCATCTAGACTAGGCAAGTTGCATGGCGCCAAATATCGACTAGTGTAGAGTTGGTCGTCAGGAACCCCGCCCAGCGCATTCTAGGCGGCGAATATTACCCACTTCAGTCCACCAATAGGAGTGAGGGCCGAAAGGGGAAACTTGCCTAATCGAGCACGATCGCGGGCCCTGGATCTTGGAATTTTTACCCACCTAAGACTTTCATGTTGCCCTAGCTAAGCATCTAACTAAATACGGGAATCCTGTACTTCCTGCCTAATATGTCAACTTGAAATGTCAATTTTCAGTCATTGATGGCAACTATCTGAGAGCAGCGGAGTTGCATGCCCTCTCGCTCTCTCTTCCATTTACTTCATTTGTTTCGCAAGTACTTACTAATTGGTTAACTGGCTCCCATGCATGTTCCTTTTTTATCCTCCAACTCCGCCCCTCCCGGGACCCCCTTATCTAATTAATAGGCGGCTTTCTCCCAGCGATTTCACTTCCATCAGCAATTGAACATCAAGTGCGGCATATTTTCCTCTCTCACAAGCCGTACAGTCCAACATGTATGCGCTACTTGTAATCCTCGCAACTACTGCTTTTCTTGTCACATACTTGGTCCTTATTCCCGTTGTCGACTATTTTCGCGACCCCAAAGGCCTACGGCGGTATCCCTGCCTTCATCCTCTCGCTGGCATCACGAATCTTGTCTTCGTCCGAGAGGCACTGAAAGGGTTTCGGTCCAAGACACTGTTCGAAATACACAAGCTCCACCCTGTCATTCGCACGGGGCCGAATTCGCTCTCATACGGCACCGTCGGCGCCATCAAGGACATCTACGGCCATGGAACGAAATGCCTGAAGGGCGAGTTATACGAGACCCTGTCCGGGACCCATTTCCATCTCGCCGACGTGGTGGACAGGGCCGAGCATGCCCGCAAGCGCAAGATCCTCTCCGCCGCATACGCGCTCAAGAATCTCGAGAACTGGGAATACAAGGTGGCAGACAAGACGGAGCGATTCATCCGCGCTGCCGACCGCGCCTGTATTAAACCACCCCCCCTTGACGGCTCTGCCGGTCCGGACTCGGCCGACCCGACAACAACCTTCGACTACCGAGCCTGGACCAATTTCTTCACGCTGGACGCCATCGCAGACATTGGCCTCAGTGAGCGCCTCGGCTTCCTGGACCAGGGGCACGATCTGGCCGAGGCCGAGCGAATGGACGGCACCGTGTACAAAGCCAACCACCGCGCCTGCCTGCACGCGACTGCAAAGGCCCAGTCGGTGATTGTGTGGACCGGGGAGTGGTACAACTTCAACAAGAGGCTGAGTAGCCTGCTGTCGCCGACCTTCCGGCGCTTCTGGGACCTCAACAACGGCTGGAACGACCTCGTCTACCGCCGCGCTACTAACCGCCTCCGGCGCTACGAGGCTGGCGAGAAGCTGTCCGACTTCTTCCAGTGCCTGATGGAGGACCGCGACGGCAACCCGCACGGCCTGGAATGGGGCGAGATCGTGGCCGAGGTGTCTATCATGATGAACGCCGGCTCTGACACGACGGCCATCGCCATGAACAACGTCATGTATTGGCTCCTCAAGAACCCGACGTGCATGGCCCGCCTGCGCGCCGAGGTCGATGCCGCCCTGGACCCCGCCGAGACCGTCGCCCCCTACGACAAGGTCAAGCACCTGCCGTACCTGCGGGCCTGCCTGGACGAGTCGCTGCGCGTGTCGCCGCCGACGACGTTTGGGCTGCCGCGGAAGACGCCGCCCGAGGGGGCCGTGATCCTGGGGGACTTCATCCCGGGGAATACGACCGTGTCCATATCGGCGTACGTGGCGCACCGGGATCCCGCCGTGTTTGACGACGCCGAGGCGTACGTGCCCGAGAGGTGGCTGGGCGACAAGGGGAAGGACCTCCAGCCGTACTTTATCAGCTTCAGCGCGGGGGCGAGGGGGTGCATTGGACGGAATATAAGCTATCTGGAGCAAACTGTTCTTCTGGCCAGCGTGGTGCATAGGTATGAGTTTGCACTACCATATCCGGAGTGGGAGCAGGAGAGATATGAGGCTTTGAATCTCATGCCGGGTCCGATGCCTCTGAAGGTGTGGAGGAGGAACCTTGGTTAGTTTCACGGTTACTTTCTCGGGTGTGGCGAGGAGTCCCTTGGGAAATGATGCTGGAACAGAACAGTTGGTAAATTGTGTCTAGCATTGAAATGTGCATCGAACTAGGCTGATGGAATCCATGGCACAAACTTGAATGTCACGGATGCCGTGAGGTGCTCAACGGAAGATTCGTACGTAATATGTATCTAAGCTGTTCCATTTCCAGCAAGATATTCCAACGCCCCTAAAAGCTGCAAGGCCGCCTACTTCGCGTGCAAATCGTAACTCAAGACCGAGTAGTTGCCTCTAGCACAGCCATAGCAGCATTATGCCCAGCAATACCGCTCACCCCACCGCCACGCACCGCACCAGAGCCGCAGAGCAGAATACGTTCCCCGTGCTCGGTAGCCACGCCCCAGCGCTGCGCCGGTGTGTCAAGCGCGGCGTCGTCCTCGGCAAAGGGCCACGACAGCGGTCCGTGGAAGATGTTACCGCCGGGCATGTTGAGCGCTCGCTCAATGTCGAGCGTTGTCTTGGTCTCGATGCAGGGACGGCCCTCGGTGTCCGTCATCAGCACGTCCTCGATGGGCTCGGCGAGGACCGAGTTCAGAGAGTCGATGACGGCCTGCTGGAGGCGCGCGCGCTGCTCGTCGTTGTTGTCGGCCGAGATGAGACGGTCGGGGACATGCAGACCAAAGACGGTGATGGTGTGCGCCCCGGATGCTGCGAGCTCATGTCCGAGGATAGACGGATCGGTCAGAGAGTGGCAGTAGATCTCGCAAGGCAGGACCTCGGGGATCCGACCCTGCAGCGCTTCATCGTAGGCCTTTGCGAGCTGGCTGTACTGCTCGTTGATGTGAAAAGTTCCGCCGAACGCGGCCTCGGGAGAGATGGAGCTATCGCGGAGCTTGGGTAGACGCGACAGAAGCAGGTTGACTTTGACTTGGCTGCCTTCCGGTCGTATAGGTGCGGGCCGGGACTCGGAGTCGGAGTCGGAGTCGGAGTAGGAGTCGAACTTTCCGAGCAGCCGATGGAGCACAAATGGCGCGACGTTAGCGAGCACATGGCCACCGATGACAGTATGCTGTCCGTCGGCATTCGTATAGCAGACAGTCCCGTCGGGCTCGATCGAGGTCACCTCGGCCCCGGTGACGATGCAGGCCCCAGCAGCGCGTGCCGCGTCGGCGAGCTGGCGGGTCACGTTGCCCATGCCGCCGACAGGCACGTCCCAGTCGCCAGTGCCGCCACCAATGATATGATATAGGAAGCAGCGGTTCTGGTGGAGCGCATCGTCGTGGGCAGTAGTGAATGTTCCGATTAAGGCGTCGGTGACGGCAACCCCGCGCACGAGGTCGTCCGACAGGCGGTCCTCGATGAACTCGCCAATCGGGCGCTCAAAGATGCTCTCCCAGAGTTTGTCGTCCCCGAGCCGGGATTTGGCCTCGCTGCGCTTGAGAAGCGGCTCCGTGACGGTCGGCCATAGCGCCTGCGCTACCCGGGTAGTATCGCGGTACAAAGACTGGAATGCGCCAATGTCGCGCGCGGCGTTGATGCGCTCGAAGGACGCACCCGTTGCGGCCTCGTCGAGACGGTCGATGAGCAGTCCTGCGCCGTCGGGGTGTCCTGGGACTGGCGTGTACGAGGAGTAGCGCCGACGCACGAGCTCGAGGTCGAGGCCGAGATCGTCGATGATCTTCCTGGGCATAAGACTGACCAGGTACGAGTAGCGCGACAGCCGGGCATCGAGCCCGTCAAACGCGACGGCGCTTACGGCAGCCCCTCCCGTAGACTCTAGCCGCTCGAGTACGACAACTGATCGGCCCGCTTTAGCGACGTAGGCCGCAGCGGTAAGTCCGTTGTGGCCGCCGCCGACGATGACGACATCGTAAGTGATTGATGGCGAAGCAGTAGGCATGATCGGAAGTTCCCTTTTTTCACTGAGAGTGAATTACTATATGCTCGTCAAATTTATCGTGTCGGGATGACTAGTAACTAGCAAAGGTGTTCTCTTTTTTCAAGAGTTCCTTATAAGGTTTGACGTTTCTGAGGGGGTTTCATGACCCCGCCTCGCTTTTCGGCTAGAAGCGGCCATCTCTACTAACTAGGGTGCTAGCCTTAGATGTGTGCTGGGTTCCCCTCCCGGAACACCTCTTGTTTCATATTAATTACTGATGCAAATTGAATGCGAGCTTATGCAGTTGGCAGATGGATTTTCCTAGGTCCCATTTGCGCGAGCAGCTTGTTTACTAGGGGAGAGCATGAGAGGGTACACTGAGCGTGAGAGAAAGCAGGTAGAGTGAGATAGTTTCATCAGCTTGACAACTGCAATCCCTGGGTCGTCTTCACCAACCCAGTACTTATCAATTAGTAATGTCAATGACGATGAGCATGAAAAGAGACAGGACAGGCCTGAGGAAGCGATCCATCTCGTTATTTGTTCCTTGTAGTATGCGTATAATTTTTGTCTCCTCCAGCGCTCTGTTATCTCGACGGCAGAGGAATTTGTCGGATGCGTCGTCTCTGTCGACAAGATGGTCTGAATGGAAATCATCAATGACAGAGAGATGGAGGTGTTTGTTTATATGAGAGCACAAGATAGTTCAACGCGCAGTCACGCAAAGAGAGACGAGTCGTGCTTTGCCACATCCTTGCGCTATTGAAGTGGTATAATCTCCAAGACCCCCTGCGCTAGCCTCACGATAATTCCACGGAAGGTAGCGATCAGAGCTGCGACGACTGAATCAATTCTAGAGAAGGCAACAATTAAAGGCGTGACAATAACAATATGGATACTGTGGAGTAGCGATAAGGCGTTTGGAAGAAGAAGACGACACTCATGTGACTGCAACGAAGATCCTGCGCAGGATCTCCAATAGTGGCAAGACCTAGCCGTTGATTAAACTTAGTATCGTCTCTTGTTACCGCAATTGCAATACCTGCATTCCGTGACGCTATTGATACACGATATTACAATCACAGACTTGCTATTACGCTACTGCCATTCGACTGAGTGCCGCCAGACAGTATCGTTGTGGGGATGGCGGTAAATGCTTTAGTGGATGCAAATTAACATTCTGCACCTTGCGTGTAAGGCAGGGGAATTGGAGGCAGATATGCAAGTATAGGCGCAATAGTAGCAGCTGCCACTTTAAGTATCAAAGGCCTAGGATGCCTCAGCAATTATGCTAAGATGCATTTGAGAATATTATCAACCAGTGCTTCCAAACTTAAATTAGTGATAGATATTACTATGGCATGTATTTGTATGATAGTCACTGGTTTGTGATTGATAGATGCAATTGGTAATTCCTTGCAAAACCTAGAGTAGGTAATATCATTGGGAGAGACAGGAGCCAGAGCTGGTGCGGCTTAGAAGAAAGTTGACCAAGCATTATCTGGTGCATGTCAATGACGCGTGCTTAATCATCTGCGCGCATTGTCTTTATGTGCTTTCGACCTATTTTTAATTCTCCTGTTTTGCCAGCTTAATGAGGCGCCGATTGTTAGTACTTGCATGAATCATTGCCGCTTGGTCTCTAGATCCCCGTGGCGATTAATGAGCTTGCCTATGAAAGCAACTATCGTGGTGCAAAATACAGGATAATTAATCACACGGAATCACATTCTGAACTTTTAACCTTGCGTCTTGGTCGCACATAGTTCGTTTGCGGGTGGTGACCTTTGCTCTAGATTATCGACTATGGACATAAACCTGATGCACTCCAGCTGAAAAGCCATTTCAAAATTGCTTTCTCCGCCGGAGCTAAAGGCAACAGCAGTATCACTAGCTAGCTCTGTCGAGCGTAAAGAACCACAAAAAAGACAAAGACGATACCCAGCGTACCCAGCGAGAATCATTTTCGCACTGCAACAACAAAGAGGCGCGGAAACGGGAACAGCACCTTACCATCAGACGACAAGGGATACACCGCCTTCAGCTCTCCGAGATACTGATCAAGGAAAGCCCGTCTCTCGCGCTCCGGCAGCGGGTCAACAAACGGCCGCAACCCAGTGCCCTTGACCCACTCGGCAATTTCCTCGTGACTGTCGAGTACGTGCTGGTACCGCGTCTGCCAAACGTTGATGCTGGAACAGTAGGGGCCCAGCTGGTCGTACAGTTGCTGTGGCGTTTCGATCTGGCTGCGCACAGGCTGGTGCTCGCGGAGGAGTCCGGCGAACGGTTCCCTTTCCGCAACAGCTCTCATCGAGGTATGGGATGGCTCGGCTAGGTTATCCGGGACTTGGAATGCGAATACGCCGCCTGGGGGTTGTGACTGGATTAAAGTCGTCGTGATGCTGATTCTCTGAACAGGTGGGAGCCACTGCAACACGGCGTTGCAGAAGAACAAATCCACGGCCTCGGTTGGCTTGTATGTGACCAGATCTTGCAGCAGGAACTCGAGTTGCGGGAGCGTGGATTTCGCCTTTGCTATCATGTCAGGCGACGAATCCACCCCTAAGACTTCGGCCTCTGGAAAGCGCTCTACAAGCACTTCGGTGGAGTTGCCAGGTCCGCATCCTAGGTCGACAACCCGTCTTGGGGAGTGTAACTGGACTTGTGAGAGAAGGTCTCGGGCCGGGCGGGTGCGCTCAGCATTGAATTTAAGGTATTGCTCTGAACTCCAGTCTTTCTTCATGGTTAATTCCGTTGAAGAATAGGATTGTGAGAAGCGGAGAAAGGGCTGAGCCTGCTGAGAGGGGCTATATCTCAAGGGTGTGGTGATAATTCTTGCTGATGCTCTCCAAGCCATATCCAAGAGCTTGGTAGCCAAGGTCTTTGTAAAGGGCAGCCTTGGTTGCGTCAATAATTGATGTGTTTCTATCGTATTGAATGAAAATGATAGTTGTGAGATTTAACTAGCTTTGATCTTATTTCCGAGTTAGAACCAAAGTAAAGTCCGTCGGATGCGACTGGATGACCGAGAAATGACGTAGCGCAGAGACTACTAGCCTGCAGAGTTGCTGCGGGGATTAGCCCCTACTCACCGTGCTTCAAATGGTTAGCTAATTGCGGGGTAGTCGGCTTGTACACACAGAGGAAGGCGCTAGGTTGCAAAGCCACACCTCAATTGATGCGAATCGGCACAGATGATTCAATTGAAAGTAAAGCGCCTCACTGCCAGGTTGCAAAGCTACACCCACTGCTGCGCCGCATTGCCACACCTTGCCGCAACTTGCTACAAGTGGCGCAGTTTGCTAATCAGCGCAATATGCTAATTTGTACCAAGGCACCTTACTTCTTACGCGTTAATAGTTATGCTAATCGGCGCAGTATGCTAATTAGCGCAATATGCTAATTAGCACTAAAATGCTTTACTTTTTATGCAAGGTAGGTTGCTTATTAATATAAAGGCACTTTACTTCTTATGTGTAAAAGTATACTAATTAACACTAAGGCGCGTTACTTTTTACATAAAGTTGTTATACTTTAAAAGCCTAAGTTAATATTTATCAAAGGCATATGAATAGTGTCAAGGCTTGCAAGACTATTGACGTGGTGAATGGAAAAGGCATAGGCTGCTTCAGGCTAGGATAAGTCAGCTTTAGACCAGATTTTCTGCGCTTCCATATAAGAGCGCGATTAGGGCCTCAAATTGTAAGATCATCATCAATTACGCAGACTTACACAGATTTACAAGCGGCACTCTTTACACCTTAGTTATTTCCAAGCTTTCTACGCAATAATACTTGATTTACTGCATTCTATTCCTTCCTTACGCTTTCAATTCAATAGATTACGCTGCTAGCGTTTTCCTACCTTACTTACACGACTAGATTTAGGCACTACCGCAAGATGTATTGGGGCTGATTAGGGTTACTTGACTAGTCACATGCGCTAGAGGTAAGAAAGAAGCACGATTCTATCTGCCTGCTAGCTAATCACGTAGCTACTGCTGTTAAGGCCTATGCTTTAGCAGCAGTATACTATGTTGAGAGGTAGATAGGTAGGTAGTTTTGTGTCTTTCCTCTTTATATTTGGAGGGCAATCTAGGATTGATTTAAAAAGCCTACTAGAAGGCTGCAGTCTAATTAGACTGCGCAACTATAAGAAAAGCTAGGGCACCTGCTTAACCTTGAAGGCTCCTAGTCAGTACACTCCTTTCTTTTGTCACAAACTGAATACAAAGATGCTCTAGAAGCAGTAGCTTTTTTATTTCGCAAAGCAATTAGCTTTCTGTGTTGCTAAGGCAACCAAGCGTTAAGCAAAGAAGACTTCTAATTATGCTAAAGTAGCGTTGAAACCCTTTTCCCTTTTCCCTTTCCTTTTCTAGAAGATTACAGGATAAGATGATATAAACCTAGAGTTACCTAATTGGCTAAAAAGAGTAGCATGTTGAGAAAGAGAGTATAATTAGACAAGTGCTAGGATTAGAAAGAGAGAAAGGACAAAGATTAAAGCTAAGAGCTATAATAAGAGGATTAGAAAAGCTAAAGGCTAGTAAGGCCTAGACTAGACAACCTATCCTAAAGCCTAAAAACTAGCTAGTACAAACTGATTAGTTGGTTGCTAAGAAGGCTAATGTATGCGCAAAAAGGCACTAGAATGTTAAGACAGGAAAGAATTGCCTAAAAGAGAAACCTAAAAAGAAAGACTCTCTAGTTTAAAAAGCGGTAAAGAAAAAACCTATGATTAGTAATAATGCAAAAGTCTGCGTTTAGGCTAGAGCAGTGATAATATTGCTATGGTTTATATTCTTTAGCGTAAGAAGCTTGAAAAGCATCTTGGTATTTGTTAAGGACCTAGAATTGTAAGGATAGGCTATTGCAAAAAACTTAAAGCCTCTAATTAGATATCTAGGAAAGGCAAGCCACTTCTATAAAAACTAGGAAAGCAAGAATTAGACAATAAGCTTCTTGCAAGCAGAGGAAATCAGACTGAATCACAAAAAGAGAAAGTCTAAGCAGTTATCTACCTTGCAAGTCACATAAGCCTTTACTAAAGATTTTAATTCTTTAAGGCAGCTTACTTCTCTTCTGTCATGTCAACCTACCTCTAGCCTGCTACAAGATTAGACTTTAATTGATGCGTAAGGCTTGGTAGAGTAGAAAGGATAGTTTCTACTAGCTGTAAATAGACAGTAAAGGCAAAGCTTAAAGTAGCCTTAGTAGCCTGTAACCTAGCCTATGCGCTAGCATAGGTTAGTCAAAGCCTACCCCTAAATACAGCTAAGCTATGTAGTAGCTATCTAAAGAAAACGCTATACAAATTGCAAACCTACAATTAAAGACAAGAGGTAGCTGCTGTAAAAAAAAGGAAAGTAGCTGCTAAAGACTTTTTCTTAGCCAAAATAAACAAAAGTAGTATACTTTTAATTAGCAAATTGAAAAGAATCTAGCTATAAAACTTTTAGTTTCCCAAGCAGCAGGTGCAAAAAGGTAGAGCTATATTAGAATTGTAAGCGTTAGGGTTAGGATAGGTTAAAGCAAGATTGCAACAGACTAGAGTTAAAAACCAACAACTAGTCAAAGCAGCTATTTAATGCAAAGGTAGCATAATAAAAGTAAACAAAAAAGTAGAAAGAGGTTGAGATTGCAAGGTTAAGTAGAATAGTTTAAAGCATTAAGACATTGTTAGATTAGCAAGAAATTATAGAGCTATTTAACCGCTTGCCCAAATACCTATTTATTATTTGCACGAAATGCAAGGTTAAATGTTATGCAGGTAAAGCCAAGACCTATTTATGCAAAAAGCATAATTATATAAATGCAAGGCAGCAAGCAAAAGTCGTAAAGGCAGTAAAGAGATTGAAAGGTATTGTGCAAAACTAGGATAAGTTGCAGACATTTCAATTCCTGCTACCAATAGTTAACCTAATCCTATTCATTGCGCTGCCTAAGTCTAACAGATTGCAATGCAACAAATGCAGGTTTGTTACGCAAGGCAAATAGTAAATAAGAGATTATTGTAGGAAAAAGCATAGATAGAAAAGCAGATAAGTCAAGGGCAGCAATGTGGTAAAAAAGGCAAAACAGGAGTAGGCAGTGCTATAGACAACAGGCATGCATTGCTAGCAGTTTTTCCAGTCGCATATAGCAAGCAGGTAGTTTAAAGTTAGCCAAAGCAGCAAGCTAGCAATAGTAGCAAAGGTAGGTGCAAAGACATTGGAAAAGCAGCTAACACAAATCTATGCAACCTAGACAGCGCAATTCAAGTCAAAAAGGCAGTTGATTAAGGCAGGCAACAAAAAAGCCAAGCCAAACAAGTAGTTAGACTGCATTAGTTAGCTAACGCATTTAAAAGGTTTAAACCCAGCCTAGTTGCACAGCATAGTTAAGCCAATTGGCAAAGACAAGGTAATATTGCAGCAGATATAAGAAAGCATAAAGCAGGTGATAAAGCAAGCAAGAGAGGCAGTAGTAAAGCAGCGCAAGCATGCAATATTATTCAAGATTAACAAAAAGAAAGTACACGTCAAGCAAAAAAAGCCATTTGACAAGCAGATAAAAAAGAATACATAGGCAGATTACAAAAAGATATACTGCAAGTTGTTATGTTACATGCAGCAAACATAGGAATAGGATAATAGAAACTAGCTGCTATATGCATTTACTAAAAAGCAAGGTAATTTGTTTGACAAGTTTTGCAAGGCAGTAGAAAAGCATATGCAAGTAGAAAGCATAATGCCATTAGATAAGGTAAAGCAGCAAAAGCGTAAAGACTAGGCAAACTAATTGTATTTAAATGCAATAGTTGCATTTTTCAACTATCAATACAAGCACATGCTATACAAAAACGCATTAATTAGCAGGTTAGCAGTGTTAAGATTGCGCAATGACAACAGTTAGTACAAGCCAAAAGATTATACGCTAAAGTATTTGGCAGTTATTAAGATAGCGCAAATGTTAGTTATATATTAATTAGTAGTTAAGCAGCAAGACAAGATAGCAGCATTAGAGAAGACAATAAGTGCAAAGAAGGTGCAAAAAGCAGCAACTAGGTTGTTTAAAATCACCTAGCTAAAGGTTAAGCAGTTTATAACAGTCATGTCAGACAAGTCTAAGCCAGGCCTAATAGATTAGATATTCAATTCACGCACATATAAAATGCAAGTCTAGTTTACAATGCTAGCAGCAGAGACAGTTGATTAGGTTAGAAATCAAATTACATACCAGCAGATAAAGATTAAGACAAACGATTTGGCAGATATATTGCACAAGATGGTTAGGAAAGTAAGAGCCAAATTAAGCAAGCTGTTAATAGTAAAAGGCAATAATTTCAAGTTAGTGCCAGCAATTAAGTAAAGGCAGATAAAAGACAACTATAGCAAAGACTAGGTTAGATATTCATTTTTGCAAGACAATCGCAACAAGTGGTTAGCAAAAAGTCAAGGTTAGATAGTGCAGCAGATTTTGCAGCAAGCAGACAAGTAGAAAGAGTAGATAGCAGCAAAAGGCAGCAACAAAATGCTATACCAAGCCAAAGCAATGCGCAAGTATAAGTTAGCAGTAAAGCAGTTTTAGGAAAGGTTATTGCAATTGATGCACATGTTAGAGAAAATGCCAGCATAGTTATAAGAGATTATAAAGATACAGCACTGCAACATAGCATACAGCAAGGTACGCAACATATTGATAGACTAAGGTATAGCAAGTTTTGTAATGTCATATCACAAGAATTACCACAACATAGGCAAGGTCAAGGTTATACACTAGTATTTGCTACGCAAAATAGGCAAGTTGTTAGTGTAGTATTTATAGTTAGTGTTGCCATTTTAGCAGCAAGTGCAAAAGATAGTCAAAAAAGCAAACAAGCCAAGTGCATTTTTATAGGCAGACAAGATTGTAAAGCGCAAAGACAAAGCCATTAAAAAGGCAGAAGTCAAAGCAAAAGAAGGCAAGGTTAGAGACAAAAGAAAGGTAAAAGACAAGGTCACACAGGCAGCATAAATCTAGAAGCAAAAGTAGACACTAGACTAGATGCAGCAAATCATGCAGTAGCATAGCAAGCAGTATCTAAAAACGCAGGTTAGCATAAGCGCATAGAAGCACATTGCAATTGCAATTTCAAACCAGTATTTAAACAAGGCATTTGGAAAAGACGTAGGCAAAGATAGCAAGTTTAACAAAGACAACAAAAGCATATTAGATAGCATTTAGGATTTGCAAGCTAGACACAGCATACATATAGCAAGGATAATATATATGCAGAAGTTGCAGCAAGAGGCATTTGAGACAGTTGCATAGCAAGATTAGTTATAGGCAATTAGCTAGAAATGGCACTGATTTTTCAGGTTTAGCGTAGAGGACAAGATTGCAAAGTCAAAGTCAAGGGGAAAACAAAAGCCAGACATATTCAACAGCATGCAAAAGAAGGCACAGTTTTAGCAGTTTACGCAGTTGTAGCAAGTAGACATAAAAAGTCAATTAAAGGTTATAATAGAAAAGAAGGCACAATTCCACAGCATGCAAGAGAAGGTAATCTAGGCAATCATCTAAGAAAAAAGTCTAATTATACAGATAGCAAGGATAGAGAAAGGTAAAAGCATATCATTTATATTGCTAGCATTTTGTTTGCCAAAAGGAGTGACAATTGTAATAGTGCTGTTAGTAGCATTGCAAAAGGATTTGCATAGGCAATGCAAGTCATGCAAAATCAATTCACATGTTTGGCAAAGCTAAAAGGCAAACTAAGCAACGTCAATCATATTTGTAACGCTAGAGTCAGCAGTAACAAAAGGTTTCTAGTCATTCATCAACTAGTTGCAGGCACAGAGGCAGTTAGACTAGGTTTTCATAGACAAGTGTCACACAGTGTTAGACAGCAATAAGACATTCTAGCTACAGTTAGGCAAGTTAGGCAAGGTGTTATAAGAAATAAAAGTGTAGGTAGTATTTTTGACAGCAACATTAGCGCTAGCAAATGTTAAAGAGTTTTTCGCAAGAATAAGAGTAGACAAGCAGCAGGTTTGTTTATTCAAGTCAGCAACAACAAGAAAAAACATAGGTTACCAAGTAAAGAAAGTTTCAACAGCAAAGAAAGAAAACAAAAAAGTATGCTAGGTTATACAGAAAGGGTTAGAGAAGTATAAAAGCAAAAAGGTAATCATATATAGCAGAAAGGTTAAGCAAGTAGAATAGTTAGGAAAGTTATTGTCATGTCTAGTGTTTTACAGCAAGGTAGATACAACAAAAGGCAAGACATGGCAGTTAAAAGAGTAAGTCAAAGATAGTCAAGTAATTGTAACGACAAATGCATTAGGGATAGGCATTGACGTTGCAAACATGTAGATAATGGTACATGCAAAAGCACTACGTTAGTTGCAAGATTACATGCAAGAGAGTAGGCAGGCAAGGCAAAACAGAAAAGCAAACAAGGCAGTAATAGTTTGCAAAAGCAGCAGTAGTTAGAGGCAGCAAAAAGAAGGGATAGGCAGTTAGGTAAAGCAAAGAGAAGAAGGCAAAGATAAGTCAGTATTAAAAGCAGCAATAAAGGAGTTTATAGAAAAGTCACAGTGCTAGCAGATAGTATTAGACTAGATAATAGACAGGCAAGAAAGCCATATGTATTGCAAAAAAGGCAAAAAAAGATGCAACATATGCAAATGCAAGTGCAAGTGCAAGAAGAGGTCAAGGTTAGTGTCAAGAAAGACAGCAGCAAAAGTAAAGAGGCAGTCAGGTAAGAGGATAGAAGAGTTTTTGCAAGCGCAATGCATAGCAAAGCAAAAAAGGCAACAGGTAGAAAGAAAAGCAACAAAAGAGTACAAAAAGGCAGAAGCGTTTTGGCAGCAGTTAGAAAGTTAGGTAGGTTATTGCATATTGTGTTAGATAGTAAGAGAAAAAAAGCAGTATTATAGTGCAAAAGAGTGTCAAATGCAAGGCAGCAAGAAGTAAGAGGATATAGAAGATAAGATGCAGCAGGTAGTTAGAAAGATAGTTACAAAGCAGCAGTATAAGAAGTTTTCAAGGTGTTTATATTGCAAAGTGCCGCAAGCAATATACAATTAGTAAAAGGCAATCAACAAAGACAAAAGGCAGTTTAGAGAGGTTAGAAAAGTTAAATGTCAATATAGTAAGATAATAATGCAGATGTTTGTAAGATTAGCAGCGCAGCACAAGGAAAAGGCAAGGCAAGTAGTGCAAGAGTTGATAGAAAAAGACAAGGCAGATAGGCAAAAGATAAGGCAGTAGTAAGAGTAGTTTAGAAAGAAGATTAAATAGGCAAGGTTAAAGGCAAAGTAATAATGTCATATGTTAGTACATTTAAGGTAGTTAGAAAATAGGTTTGCAAGGAAATAAAAGTTGCAAGAAAGTAATAAAGTAAAGTATATATTTTAAGTAAAGGTTTATATAACATGTAGTGTTAGTATAGTATTATATTAAGTGTATATTTAATAGTTAAAATAAAGTCAAGAAGAAATTTAAGGAAATGTATTAAAAGATAATAAAGACAAGAAATATAATAAAAAGAAAAGTTGA